AAATGTAACTGCAAAACGGCATTTTTTTAAAAGCTATGTAAATTCAATATAAAACATTTCTCTAAAAGGCTGGTAAACAACGAGATACTATTAATTTTCTTCTGGAAGGCTATAAAGAGCTGTTCTAGTGACATGGAGTTTAATTTACTCCTATTAAATTCTCGAGATGCAAAAACAAATTAAATAATGTTGTGTGTACATGTAATTGTATATGTAATTTGAGTAATCTTCTTTTAAAACTATATCTTTTACTAATCTTTATTTTGTCAGTGTTTCTGTGTTTGGGTTTATTTTATATTGTTTCTTGTATTAAATAGCTGACTAAAGTTATGGCTTATTCTCCATTTTTTGGAGTTGAACTATGTTCAATCTCCCATGGTCATCACGCATTTAACATGTGCAGTAATTTGTGTTGATTATATAGAGCCGAAAGCGAGGCTACAGTGGCGACCAATTTACTCTGATGATATTCAACAGAAAACATGCCTAAACATCCGCCACAAATAGTTCTTGTCATTTTCTCCTGAATTGATCTAATTTTTATAATTTGAAATGTAAGTAAATGTAATAATAAAGTAATCTTATTTTGAATAATAAATTTCGTTCAAAGTAAAACTGAATTATAAAGAACCTCCAAAGTTTTTCGTAATGGAACTCGTTTTAAGTGTAGCGTCATCTATAAACACCGAAAGATACGAACGACAACTCTACATACTGACGGCAAGCGGCTAATCTAGTCTTCCCGATGCCCGACGATCTCGAATTTAGGTTTTTAGCAATTTTTTTTTTACCGGTGCACAGAATTCATTCCAACTTTTCATGAACATTTTCTTGGTTAAAATGAATTCATTAATGCATAAAAACTTTAGGAAACATGCGTATTTATTACTAAATCCGCAGTATCACCTGCCAAAAAGTGGTAAATCTAGTGCTCTGTTATAAATGTTAAAACCAAAAACGGACACCGATGTTTTCGTAGAATCGGGATTAAAAACAACAACATGAAGCATATTATTATATTTTTTTTAATTAAAGGAAAACCTCATTTATATACCAGATAATTTATACGCACACAAACTCTCACATATACCACTGCTTTTATGTTTGGTCATTTCAAAAATATTTGTTTCTAACTTTGTATTGATTTTTTCTGCACAATATTGAAAAATTTAAGTTCTGGCGCACTCCATGTATAATGTTCAATGTTCGTGTAATTGAAATTATACATTTATATTCAAAGAGAAGTTTTATATATCAAACCTGTTAGCTCTTAAAAGAATTATGTATGGAAATCCACATTTTATCAACATTGATATTATTTCTGTGAAACTGAAATTTTCATAACACGTGGGTAATGGTGCCAAGGAAAAATATATTACAAATTTGAAGATAAACAAGAGATACTGTAAGCAGTGAATTATATAAATGATCAACTGCCTCTAATATGAATATAATGGCAGTGTCCATGTTTTGCAAAGGGAAACCCAAAATATGTGTAGGATGAAAAAGTAATAGAAGGTGCACAACGGCAATATGTAAGATTCTATAAAAATTTCAATCAGTGGTGTAAGAGGAGTTGCGGGAAAGAAATGGGTATACCTAAAGCGTAACAAACAGATGGATGGACATCCCGATTGATAAATACCCTCCCGCTTTTCAAGCAGGGGGTATAAAAAAAGGACTAATGTAGGCAGGCAAGAATTGTGGCCTATGAATTTTTTTTTTGCTATTCAATGTCTCTGAATGTCTTTCTCAAGATTGTTGCAACACAAAAAAATCTTAAACAGTTGTCTGTATTTGAAATTATAATATTGTTCACTCACTTAACCTCCCGATCAAAGATTTTATTTTAAACCATGTTCAACTCCCATGAGTACTTTCAGTACTTTAATTTTAAAAATATAGTTGTATGTTAACACTGGAGTTTTATGAAGAGACTTACTTTTACATTCGACAGCTAACTTTTACATTTTAGTAATGGGAGTTGGTCACAGTTTAAATTGTAAAAGTCAATCGTCGATTGTAAAAGTAAGTCTCTTCTTAAAACTCCAGTATTAAAGGAATAGGCTATTATTTTTTTTTTACTTTTCTTAAAAGAAAAACAGAAAAAAACATCAGTCGGCGATTTCCTGAAGAATTACCTCACTTTATTTTTCAGGGTTGGATGTTCTATATCTTGAACTCAGAAAAATATTACTCCGTTGTTTACTTTATGTTCTCTGGTTTTATTTCTTTTATATTTCACTAACATACATATATATATATTTTTAAGGAAAAATAAACTTGCTCAATTGCGCTATTATGATACTGTAGATTCTATCATGAAATATATCTCAGATATCATTTCAAACCTGTAAAAGGATGGTAAAAAACAATTTATTTGTTGTTGTTGTCTAATTTCTTTTGATGAATATGTGAAATATATACCTCCAAAGAAGTAGGCCAACATTTTTGGAATGTTATACCTTCTCTTATCTGAAAAAAAAAATCATGTAAAGGATAAATGATAGTTCAATCAATTGCAATCATTGGCTAAAGAAAAACTGAACATATGGATAAAATTTTCAGTCCAACTATTATATCTTAAATTTTAAGAATCTTTAAAATTTAAAATACATACGTTTACAATATACCTCAATACTTTTGGGAATACTTGCATATTCTGAAACACAATCCTGTAAATTTTATTTAAAAAAAAGGATAAAATAAAATTTTATATAAAAAATTCATAAATGAGGCATCCAAATTTTGGATAGATATACTTACTTCTAATGCATTGTTCACCTGAAATTTAATAGAAAGATATTCTAATAGTCATCCAACCATCAGTTTAAATGTTAAAGAAGCTTAAAAGTTGTTTATAAGAATAAATGCATATTATAATTTGTTGTTAAAGTCTATGAATTTATCAAAATTAACCGCTTTGACTTTGATATTGAAAATTGAAGATCTATCATAATTCTGATATCTTACCTCAATGGCTGTGATAATTCTTTCAGAATAGGAATCCTTTCTGACAATTCCAATGAATGTATACTTTCGTCCTATTTTTAGAGCCTTTGTGAGTTCATCTAGAGTAATAATTAGACAAGGAGGCGGGTAGGCCTCAATGCTCACCTGGAACCCAATGCTAAAGCTCAACTATTACAACTGTATTACAATTGTAAATTGTACTCTAATCACTCCCCTGTATACGAATATCTTAACTTTTTGTATGGAAATGGTATCTTAAGACATTCCCTGTTGTCCAATCCATTTAAATTTATATATAAAATAAATATTGCTTAAAGTATTATTCAACTATATCAAATATTTCTCATTAAATTAAAGGCTCATTAAGTTGAAAATATTTTATATTCATTATTGATAAGAAGAGTTTTATATTTGGGTGTTTATCTTGTACATTGCAGGAGTATAATAATTATTATAAAGCTTAAGTAAATCTGCTTAAAACTTAAATACCCCCTTTAAATTGCAATTTATAAGAAGACTTCCATTGGAAAATCAGAGTGCCAATTAAGTCACATGTCTTCTAGTAGGTAATATGTGTACATGTATTAGTGAATTGTAAATTTTTTCAGAAAGAAGATGACAAAAGTTATTCCTATGTGTCACTAGCTGTTTTATTAGAGAAAATAGTCACAGTTTTCTAAATGCAAGTTTGTGCTGCCAAGAGGTAAATTGACAAACTCTGAAAAGATGGGCAAAAATTTCACGAGCCATGAGCAGTTTAGATGAGTTTCACTGGCAAAGTTGTTATACAAATATTTGAGAGAAACAGTCATTGCTAATTTAAATGTTACAAATCAAAAAAGTATGAAACTTCATGTTTAAAGTCAGTCTTCTTCAGCTTTTTACATAAAAAGATAAATTCATTAAATGTGAAAATGCAAGTAATACAATTGTGTAAATTATTTTAACTAATCATAGCCATAAAAGAAAAGAATAAGCTCAGTACATGTATATGTAATTTAAGTCCAATGAACTGTGTTTTCATTCTGATTCATGTTTAAAAACTATCTATCAATACTCATGCAGTCATTTACAGTTTTACCTCTTAACAGCAATGTTATAATTTGCTGCTTGAATCTTGAGAAATTGTTAAATTTCAAGTAGCTCTCTGGAATCACTTCTGCCATCATTTTATCTATAATGATAAAGTTTCTTATATCATACATTAACAATCATTTTTCTAAAGTGCATCATTGCAACATAATCTTTCATGATGACAGATATATTACAAAAGTTTTCACCAGATTGAAACTAGAATTTCTTTTCTAAATTTCCTGCATTGTCAATTAATTCATAATACATGTAGTTGCTATTGTACAATTTGATACTTAGCTAAAGAGTTCTCTCACCTGATAGATGCCTACAGGAGACAACTTCTTCTAAAATCTGACCACAAAATCGGCATTTGAAATCTTTCCTGTAAATTTTGAAAAAAAATTACAACTGTAAATCATTTTTTATCTGCAAGAACTTTATTTTTGTGTAATTACGCGAGACAGTGTGCTCGTGAAATTCTAATTCTAACGATAGTATTCCTTAATATTAAATAGAGCGATAACCACAATTTGAAAAAATTTTGCCTCGCTCATTAAGACTACTTGTGAAAATAAGATGTCATGAAAGTATTGAAGTCAAATAACATTATCTCAGAAAAATATCCCTCTTTACATAATAGAAAAAAAATTCTTCTCACCTAATGGTTTCAATTTCTAGAGCTCCAGGCACATGAATTCTAATGTAATGATTTCCCTCATTCCCTTCACAAGACGAATCTGTGCAAATGTATCGCGTACTTTGACTGAAAAAAATAAATCAATTTATTTCATGGCAGCAGGGAGGATCAAGGTCTAGGTATAACAATGCAAATAATTATTTAAATTACAATTTCGTTGTAAAAGTATAATAATTAAACTAGAGGTACTGTGAGCAATGAGCTCACTAAATAATATCCCCGCCTCTCATATGAATATTATGGAAGAGTCCATGTTTTTTTTTTGTGGGAAACCCAAAATTTGTGTCATTCAGGCAGATCAAAAAGTGAATAAGGAGGTGCACAATGGCAATATGTAATAAAGATTCTGTGAAAGTTTCATCAAATTCCATCCAGTGGTATGAGAGAAGTTGCAGATGAAAGATGGGTACACCAAAGCGTAACAGACAGACGGACAGACAGACATATGGATTACTATATATACCTTCCCGCTTTTCAAGCGGGGGGTATAATAACATTTGATAAATAAAATTAAATAACTGGGATTTTTTTAAATACAAATTTTAATAATTTATTGATAATGAATACAGTACATGGTATTTAATGCTCAGTCTCTACACTTATTGTACAAGAAATGAATATAATTTGGGTGTTGTATATTTTAAAAATTAAAAACTTTCTGAACAATTAAGTCTGAGATTATTTTAATTGCTTGAAATGTTGGTGTTCCTAAACATAAGAACTAAATATACATATGTATATCAATTGATCAAGTGTTAACTGCTATTTACATATATATTTTAACCATACTTTAAAATAAAAAGATACAAAAATATGCAATTATATGTAAACATCTGATGCAGATAAACATACTAACGTGTATTTTGAAATGTCTGTTTTTCCAACTACAACACCAGTGCAGCAGACGTACCCTTTTCCACAAGAGCTCAGCTGACTGTATGTTTTAACTTCTGTAGCTGATAAATAATCCATCAATAAAATGTAATGATCAAAGTTATCCAAATAAAAATGTATATTTGTATGTCACAGACGAATTTTTTTTTTATAAAAAAGGAAAATATATGTAAACATTTTTTTTTTTCATTAAGATACCTCTAGATCTCGGTAATGATGTTAGCGTTGTTCTCACAGTGATCTGGTTTTCCGAGACACATGGTGATAATAAACCTAGCTCTTTTATGACGGTGCAAACCACCTTAAAAAAAATTAAAATTCTTTAAATTTGTTTTTTTTAAAATTACTTACAATGTTAAAATTTTACACACAATAAATTAATTTCTCTTAAATCTATGATTTTAAAGAATCAAAGCCTTTTTGTCTAATAATTAACATAAAGAAATTTATTATAACAAGACAACACTTACCTTTTTAAATAATGTATTTGCATTCATAGGATCAAAGATAAGGAGATTTCCAAGGGAAGCTATAATTTTGAAATGACAAGTGTCGAGTTCTAAAGATGCTTTTCTGATGATAGTATGAACAAACCGTATATACTAGTTTTTCATGACATTTAATTATGATGAGACTTAAAACTTTGCAAACTTTGTGTGTACAGTAAACATCTTCTCCAGTTTTATTACCGGTACTAACTTTATCAGCACATATTTATAATCGAAGTTTTAATACTTTAGGTCTTTTAAAATTCATACCATTGAAGTCCAACAACTTAATGGCATCAACAGCAACTTCAAATCTGTAGACCAACAATTCCTAAAAAAAAAAAAAAAAAAAAAAAAAAAAAAAAAAAAAAAAAAAAAAAGAAAAGAAAAAAATATTAACAAATACATAAATAAAATTTACTTTATTTTGCATGTACTAGATGTAGGCCTACCTAACCCACCCTGCATCACCTGCACTGGTTTAATTGGCACTTGCACTGCAGGGCAAATTAATAATTCAAGTTTTTGAAAATTTTAAATGACTTATAAAAGACAATTACTTTTACGTCATATTTCACCAAAATATATCATTTTGCCCTGCAAAAGAGTAGTACCGCAGTTATCGTGAAAGGGTCTCTATTCAATGAAAATTTTATCATTTGCTTCATGAAAGGTTTAATTAAAATAATTAATTAAGAAAAATGAATAGATCTTTTATACATATGTAAACTATATGTCACATAAAACTCTCTTCTTCAAGTTCTTGTAATACATAGCTGTTTGAGCTTGCTTGTTATAAAGCCTAGAGGAAAAGTTGCACTCTGACTTTACATTTGCTTCTGAGCCACTGTGGGCACATGTTCATGTCAACAACATTCATGGATGTTTTTTCATTTATCTGACGAACCTTTGACATGTTCATAAATTTGAAAGCTGTCTCTCTGATTCGCTGAAGGTTTCCACTAACATCCAAAAACTGCACAGCATCTTCAGTCAAGGAATCGGTGGAAAATTCTTCCATTCTCTAGAAATTAAAAGTATAAAGTATGGCTAAAGAGCTGTATGACGAATGATTGAATACCTTTCCTATGAACATTTTCTTTTCAACCCATTGCATGATGATGAAGATGACAATAATGTAACAGACTGACAAGACAATATATCGATACTGTTCAACAAAGAATAATACTCCAGCTATAGATTCCAAAAATTTACCTAGATGTATTCCATTCCCTTAAAAACAAACGCTGAAATGGAAAATCTCTCGTCTGCGATATGCATACAAGGTAATAGCACTTGCAGACGTGTTTACTGCTTGCAGACGTGTTTATAATTCCCGCCATTTTGACTTTGTTTACGAAGTGTTATTCGTACGAATTGCTCAAATGCGAGAAAATGAAATATTCATTGAACGACTTAATACAAAAATAGACGCATTTTTTTCATCGTTCATCCCATTTTAAAGAAAACTGTTTTAAATATGTCTACAGAGGTAATTATTAATATGAATTCATTTTTATATGATGTCTAAATTGACAACATTGTTTAAAATGCACATTTGTAACCATCCATTCGTAAAAATTGATAATATTGAAGTGTTTGTTTTTACTCGAATTTCCTCATATGTTTTAAAACAACTAAATATAGTTTTACTTAGTTGTGTTGCATTTCATAATGATATTTGTTTGAACATTTTCTCCGAATATCTTTGAAATCTTTTTTTATATAAATTTATCAAATTAAATCATGAGGCTAAAGTGCTGTTAAAATCACAGGTGCTTGCTCCTGGAGTCATGCTCCAAGTACTAATAATAATTAACTAAGGATAATTTCATTTCTGATTTAATTGCAAGTTGTGTATTATATTTGCAGGATGTACAGAAACATTCAGTACACACACTATTGGGTTAGATCCCTAGATTTCGTTTGAACGTCTTAGGTATACCATACGATGGATTAGGGTTAGTTTTTATCAAGTTAAGAAATTCAGTTGTTTCAATAATTTTTCCACATAATTCAGATTCATAGGCATTTCTTTCAAAAGGTTTGTAGATTGATGGAGAGGATTGATAGATATTTTGTACAGGATATGAAAAGTTTTATTAATATAAAAAATTTGTGAAGAATATGTCTTTATGTATAATATTATACCAAATATCTGATTTGATCTCAGTAGGTATAAATATTCATTGAATTAAGAAATAAGGTATCATTTTTTGAGTTTTATTGAGATGTAAAACGGGTTGGTCACATGATCAAATCCCATAAAGATTTGATCCTGTGCCAACCTATCTGATTTGATCTCAATAAAACTATAAATATTCAAATGATAAATTGTGTCAAAAAATGATACCTTATTACTTATATTTACATTTGTGACTTATTCATACTTTTAAGTCTTTAAATTTGCCTGATTGTTACTTTTAACGTGCGAAATGCGTTATTTTTCAAATCCAACGGCATGTATGTTATCCACTAAACGCGCGTCGACCCTTTATGACGTCACACAGAGATTACGTCAAATGTTTATCCAAACTCACATCTATGACCTCTTGACCCCGTACCTGTATTTATACAGTTATAAAATCGCTTGATTTCAGTAGTGTTATATAAAGGAAAACATTTGCAAATGTTAATATTAAATTGTATCAAAATTAATGTGAATAAATCTTCATGTGCTATGATGTGGACAGTTTTTCTGAAAACTTGCTCAGTTTAGGAAAGACCAACCCCCTGATGATTAAGTTAAAAAATGTGTTATTTTCCACAGTTCAATGTGTTTGTTTTATATAAAAATGATACTAGTATTCATTTTTCGAAAATTATGTGCACATTTTATAAATATGATATTTAGAGTCCATATTATATACAGGGAAATTTTGCCTCTATATTTTTTCTGACCCTTTCATGCTTGTTTGAAGCAGCACTCTTAAAACAGCTTGGACAATTCAAAGAAGACAGCATTATGTCTTTGAATACATCTGTTTCTAGGTGAATTAAAACAGGACAAATCTGTATGGATTTAAAGTGTTAAAGGGCTAGAATTACAAAAAAAACATGTATACAGTATTTTTTGTCACATCATTGAAACTTTACACCTGCCAAATACACAAACACGGGTACAAACGTCACCTACAAGAAACAGAAAAAAAAAACTGAAATAATTTAAGGTAAAAGTATTTTACTTTCCAAAATTTAAATTTAGTATAATTGCTTTAATTTCAGTGAAGATATAAGAAGAAAAATAAAACTATCAGATGAATACGGACTTGTCAAGGACCTTCCAAAAGAGGGACAGAGAAAGAGTCATGGCAATGTTGTAGAGCCATACAATGATCATCAGTGGCAAGGTAAGTAGAATTCAATATGTTTGCTAGTCCTGGATTACTATGCCCATCAATTTTGTATACAAAATATCCATATTTTAGCTGAATATTGTGCTATAAACATTAAAATTGTATTGAGTTTATATCAAGTGTGTAGAAATACCATCATGCACTATTATTTAGATGTTATTTTGCTCAATGAATGTCTTAATTAAATTACATTTATACTTTGAAGCTTACAGGTTTTCTGTATTTCATGTACATTATGACTATTTCTTTTTTCTAACTTTCTTCCAGAAAATGGAACATCAATTCAAGGAACACATCCATATCCTTCAGGACCAGGTAAATTATGCAAGATATTTTCTCTCCACTCCATGTTAAAAGTTTACTGACTCTGTCAGTCTGTTTGTCGACTTTATTTCATATCTGAAAGGATATTTTTAATGCTCTGTTCAGGTTTTTGTATGAGTGATCGTGTCATTTTCCAGAAGCAAAGTCAATTAAGCTGGGTCAAGGCTATAAAATAGATGTAATTTTTTTAAAAAGGTTTTTATGCTATTTAAAAAACGTAGAAAGGAGAAGTAAAAATATTATAAAACAATTTTGATTTTAAAAGTAAGATGATGTCATTTTGAAAAAAAAATGCTACAAAAAATTAGAATTTCATTCTTAATGGATATATACTGGATAGATATTCTACTGAGAGTACAGTATAGTTATTTATTGACAGGTGTCCAGTTAAGTGATGGTACAATGATGCAGACAGACCCCAGTCACACCGCACAGATGGAAATGGCTATTTACGAAAAAAACAGGTGACCAATCAGAATTTGTTTGCAACTTGAAATGAAATCATATTCCACCTGTAGTTTCATAAGCATATATAATATGTAATGTTCTTCAAACACGTACATGTATTAAAATATCTATATTAATTCTTGACAGTTAGTTTATCAATGTATAGTAAATGTCTGCGTTTAAGATACATAACTTGTGAGGCTTTTTCTTTTCTGTAGAAACAAAGAAGTTCCAAGTGGGGCTGGCATGCATGATATCAGGACACATCATGAAAAATCTGATCCATCAAAGGTCTGCTAAGCTTCAGTATATTTTTACTAATAACATATTTGAAGGTTTAAAATTGTTGAGCACTATGTATGATTTGAAAAAGAACAAATTGAAATTTGAAATATTTAGGAAGCAAAGAAAAATATGAAATAAAACGTATTTTAGCATTGAAGAAAGTAACAGTTTTGAATTTGTTTTGCTCCTTAAAGGCATTAGTTTCAATAGGAAATCAACAAGCACTTGTTCCAAAGAAAGCCATGACAATGCCTAAACCAGCCTGGCATCCACCATGGAAACTTTATAGGGTAATTTATCCACTAAAAATGTAATTCTTAATATAAATCCAAATAAACTTCCATATGTACTCTCATATTGTGTGTTGTGTATACAATTTGGGCTTTAAATAAAATAGCACAAATCTTTGAAGATCAACATTTTTAGCTTATAAATTGAATTTTTGTACAAAGTTTTTTTTTCTCTGACCTCCAATTTACCGGTAATTGTATTAAATGTTTTCTTACTCCTGAACTGTGAGTTGCTAGTATTAAAAGTGTATTTTTATTTCCTTTAAATCAGGTTATTAGTGGTCATCTTGGATGGGTCCGGTGCATTGATGTAGAACCAGGTAACCAGTGGTTTGTTACTGGAGCTGGAGACAGGGTTATCAAGGTGATTTTTTTTCTAAAATAAAAACTATATAATCTAAAAAGGGGGAAAAAATTCAAATCAAGAATACATGAATGTAAAACAGAAAAACAGAAAATTCACAATTAATTTTGAATATATTTAAAATTTTTTTTTGGGGGGGGGGGGGGGGGGGGGGGGAGAAGATCACTGAATGACTGATTAGAAAATATGATATTTAATTAAGATTGTTCATAATTACTAGATATGGGATCTGGCCTCTGGAACTCTCAAGCTCTCGTTAACTGGTCACGTCAGCACTGTACGAGGGGTGAAGGTCAGTCATAGACAGCCATATTTGTTTTCCTGTGGAGAGGACAAAATGGTTCGATGCTGGGATTTAGAGTATAACAAAGTAAGCACTTATTCAAATGAAAGTGGTATTTTCTCTATTGATAAAAGCCCTTACTACTTTAAATTACTTCTTATTTGCAAGAACTTAAATTTCATGTAATTGCAAATCTGTCATCTCTCTGATATTTTATTCTTGCATATATTTGTAATGAAAAGAATTATATGCCACAATTACAACAGCTTGCAAAGATGTTGTTTTGCTTATAAATAATTGTAACAAGTAGCTATCTTATATATATATAAAGTCATTATGGTGCAAAAATATAGTAATCTACAGTATTTCATTTCATAATATGTTTAATAACTGTCATCTCTCTTTGTAGACAATCAGACATTACCATGGTCATCTAAGTGCTGTGTACTCAATGGACCTCCACCCCACAATAGATGTGTTACTGACCTGTGGTCGGGACGGGTCGGCCCGCGTGTGGGACATCCGGACCAAGGCATGTGTTCATACACTGGTGGGTCATAACAACACGGTGGCTGAGGTCAGGTGTCAGGCAGCAGAACCACAGGTGAGAGAGATATTTAAAGTTATCAGTTAATTTGACTTGTGAATTAATGCAAAGGGGAATAACTTGAGCTCTATGATTACTATTTGTTTATAGTTGAAGAGGGTAGAGTGCTCGCTCTATTGCTAGAAGGTCATGGGTTTGTTCCCTTTCTGCAACAGATCTTAAGTTGATTTAATTTTCAAAAATATAGAAAATATTCATTGCAAAGTATTTGACACTACTGAAGTGAAAGTTGCAGGTCTTTTGGATGAGACCATAAAAAATTAAGGCCCATTGTCTGACAGGTATGAAACCGTCACTGCTCATTGCCTGTATGCCAAGTAGTCTATCATGGTTATGTTTCACAAAATTGAAAAATCTAACATGTAAAGCAATAATCAATCAAAATATTGCTGACAATATGATACTGGCCTTGGATTTTAACTTTTAAAATGGCTACAAAGAATTGTTTATGGGATATTTTCAATGTTTTTCGTTTGAATTTATATTGCTTTAAAATAAATGTATAACCTTTAAAGATGACCCAGACCATTACATTTGAACATTTTTATATTTCTGTTACATGTAAGCAGCAGAATGTAGTTATGAACATTGTTGACTGTAGTAATCAGTGTTTATCACTAAAAAATATCTTGGTCAGAAATAAACCTAGAAAAGATTTCTGTCCAAATAAAAAATAACAAAGAAAGGCTTTTGATGTCCTTAGGCCAATTAGAACTCTGATGAAATCTATAAAACACAAGTGAACACTTTTAACTGCAATCATTCCAATAGAAAACCTCTGGACTATTTTTGAGCTCATTGTTAAATCAGATTCTTTTGAAGCAGAATGGAGATCTTAGACCATTTTGATTTTTTGAAGGATCCTTCAGGGGTAACATAGTTTCAGAGAAATCTGTAAATATTTTGACAGCTTTTGATTTTTCAGAGTAAAATGAATGTACATTGTGTATAATTTTGTTTTTTTACAGGTGATCACTGGTAGCCATGACTGCACCATCAGGTTGTGGGATTTAGCCATGGGGAGGACACGAGTCACACTGACCAACCACAAGAGGAGTGTCAGAGCACTCTCCCTCCACCCCAAGCTGTAAGTATGACCCCCCCCCCCCCCCCCCCCCCAAAAAAAAAAAATTAATAAAATAATCATTTACACTTCTAACCAAATTCTTATGAAAAAAATCATGAACAGGTCCAGGAAAATCACTATATTTAGCTAAATCTACCTATATAGCTTTATTTACCTATAAAATATAGCTTTATTTAGCTATTTCAGAGTAAATTTCTGTTTTATGAAAAGCAAACAAAAAGTTGCATAATGAGGCAGTATTAGTTTTCAACTTTAAAATGGACTGAAAACAATTCACCAAAGACCCACTTCTAAAAATGTTTCTCCTTTTGTGCAATTGCAATCAAAGATCTGAAAGTTTTGGGGCTATGTATAACAGTTAATCTGTGATTAAGCAGCTATTTTAACAAAAAAGCAGTTTTTGGTCAACAAGATAATTGATTCAATGGTAATAATTCAGCACAATGCAAGGCAATCACACTTAGTCATGCCTCACCACACTTCCAGTGAGCCTTGAGTGAGGGACAGCTATCCAAACAATAGAAGTGTCTAAAAGAGACAATGTTTTTATCATCCCTTCGAGCAACTTGTTGCGGAGGGGATATAGCATCGCGAATGTGCGTATATGTGTGTGTTAGTGTGTTTGTGTGTGTAATTCAGTGTTATTTTGATTACTGTTCATCAGCATGGTACGAAAGTCTGTCCAAATCTTTGAAAAATAAGTTACAAGTTCTTCAAAACAAAACAGTAAGATTTATTTTAAATCTGAGTCCTAGAACCAGGATCAAATTGCGATATTTTAGATTCAATAAATACACTACGTGTATCTGATCGTGTAAAACAGTTAAGACTAAATCATGTTTTTAACATCAATCAAAGCCTAGCACCAAATTATCTAAATGAGAATTTTAATAGGAATAATAATGCTACTAGGGGAGCGTCCAATTTTAATTATCATGTACCCAGGGTTGGAGCATACAATGATTCAAATTTTTATTATCAAGCCATTTTAAACTGGAATTCTCTTCCATTGGAAGTAAAAACTATAGCCAATAGAGCTAGTTTTAAATCTGCTGTCAAGTTGCATCTTACACAAGAAGCTCGAAGGATGGAAGAAAGTATTTATATATAATATTTTTACAAGGGAATGAAACTTTTTAAAAATAATTTGTATTAACCTGAAACTGTGATTATGTATATACCAGGTATATGTCAAATTATTTTATTCAGGCTAGGAAAATTATGTAATCCTTAATTTTATTTTTTATTTTTTGTCTATGCTGTCTTAGTCAATTAGATTATAATCAACTGGTACCATCTTAGGACCCCATTGGAAATAAGCATGTTTTATATATTGCTTTCGTGGGTTATCCTAGGCAAAGATTGTGTTGTATGTGATAAGATCTGGTTCTGAGATCCGTTTAATTAATCCTGTGATAATGATAACTGTGATAATACCTGGAGTGATATTGTTTTAATGTGATAGCTACATGTATGTGCTAGAACTTTTAAGCGATCCCTAATTAATTTTTGAATGTAATTTGTGTTATGATTTGTAATGAATTTGACTCTTTGCCTGAATAAACATAATTATAACTAGGGCTAATTGTAACGGGGACCGTTACAGATGTTCCCCAAACGCTCCCCAACTCCCTTCTGGTGCCATATTCCCTGTAAGTTCTATTAAATAAGACATACTTTATGCAATTTAGACTTAAACAACGTTTTCCAAGAAGAATACAAAATATATTTAAATCTTAGCATTACACGCGTGCTCATGTGAATGCATGTGCGTCATGACCATTTCATCTTGTGTACACTATCTATATATTTTAATATACTTAATATCAAAGCATTTAATCCAGAAGTATTAAAAAAAATACACTCATTTAAGCGTATTTTTAATTTTACTCATTTCACGTGCACACACGTGCATGCATGTGCATGATGACCATACCTTCTTGTAGGAGTTCATTATGTCTATCTATATTCTAAATCCCATCCTGTTTGGTTGAAAAACAAGGGAGTTATAGCCATTTAAAGTTTAAGCCAATCAGATTGCAGCGCACGTGCATGCGCGTGTTTACATGATAATTGTTATATATCCTATTGTAGGACATCCTAAAGTATGTCTATGTTTTAAATTTCATCGCATTTCGTCAAAAAACAGAAAAGATACTGGGATTTTTGTTTCAGCCAATCAGAGCAAAGCGCACGTGCATGCATGTGCATGATGACCATACCTTCTTGTAGGAGTTCATTAGGTCTGTCTATATTCTAAATCCCATCCTGTTTGGTTGAAAAACAAGGGAGTTATAGCCATTTAAAGTTTTAGCCAATCAGATTGCAGCGCACGTGCATGCGCGTGTTTTCATGACAACTGTTATATATCATAGTGAAGGACATACTAAAGTATGCCTATGTTTTAAATTTCATAGCATTTGGTCAAAAAACAGAAAAGATATTGAGATTTTTGTTTCAGCCAATCAGAGCGAAGCGCACGTGCATGCGCGTGAGTTCGTGCTAATTTGACAGTGTCACGTTATCTACACTATTAAGATATCTTTATATAATGAGTTTCAAATCATTTCATTAAAAAATGTAAAAGTTATAGCTATATTAAGTATATCAGTCATTTCACTCTTATCACGCGCGCGCACGTGCATGCGTATGCGCGCAAAATGACCTTCGTTCCGCACACCTACACTACACACCTATTAACCCTAAAAAGGTTTTAGGTCAGTTGGGTGAACAGTTTCTGAGAACACTCGCGGACAAAAAAGTACCGGAGAACAAAGAAGAAAAAAAAGAATAATAATAATAACTAGTGCTAATTGTAACGGGGACCGTTACAGATGTTCCCCAAATGCTCCCCATCTCCCTTTTGGTGCCATATTCCCTATAAGCTTCATTAAATAAGACAAACTTTATGCATTTTAGACTTTAACAACGTTTACCCAGAAGGGTACCAAGTTCATTCAAATTTTAGCATTGCACGCGTGCGCATGTGAATGCATGTGCGTAATGACCATATCATCTTATCTACACAATCTATATACTTTGATATACTAAATATTAAAATATTTAATCCAAAAGTATTAAAAAATACGCTCATTCAAGTGTATTTTTGATTTTACTCATTTCACGTGCACGCACGTGCATACATGAGCATGGTGACATACCTACTTGTGGAAGTTCATTACATCTATCTATGTTCTAAATCCCACTCCGTTTGGTTGAAACCAAGGGAGTTATAGCTGATTAAAGTTTCAGCCAATCAGATTGTAGCGTACGTTCACGCACGTGCATACATGAGCATGGTGACATACCTACTTGTGGAAGTTCATTACATCTATCTATGTTCTAAATCCCACTCCGTTTGGTTGAAAACCAAGGGAGTTATATCTTATTAAAGTTTCAGCCAATCAGATTGTAGCGTACGTTCACACACGTGTATGGATGTGCATGGTGATCATACCGTCTTGTAGAAGTCCATTATATCTATCAATGTTCCAAATCTCATCCTGTTTGGTTGAAAACTAAGGGAGTTATAGCTATTTAAATTTTCAACCAATCAGATTGCAGCACACGTGCATGCACGTGTTTTCATGAAAATTGTTATACATTATGTTGTAGGATATCCTAATGCAAGGCTATGTTCAAAATTTCAAAGGATTTCATCAAAAAACAAGAAAGATATTGAGACTTTAGTTTCAACCAATCACAGCGAAGCGCACGTGCATGCGCGTGAGATCTTGCTATTTTGACCATGTCATATTGTCTATGCTACTACTATATCCTTATATTATGAGTTTCAAAGCATTTCATCAAAAAGGTAAAAATTTACGCCTATATCAATTAAATCGGTCATTTCACGTGTTGCTCGTGCGCGCTCTTGCAAGCACGTGCATACAAAATGGCATGTTGACAATGTTATCTTATCTACATTTATTATATGTCTATATATTCTAAATATCAAAGCATTACATCGAAAAAAGTAAAAGTTACAGCAAGTTCAAGTATATTGGTCATTTCACGTGTTGCACTTGCGCGCTCTTGTAAGCACGTGCACGCAAAATGACCTTCGTTCCGCAAATCTACATAACATGCCTACTTACCCTAAAAATGTTTCCCCTTAATCGGATGTGTACTTTACAAGATCATTCGCGGACAAAATTTTCCCGAGAAGAAAAATAATAATAATAATAATAATAACTAGTGCTAATTGTAACGGGGACCGGCCGTTACAGATGTTCCCCAAACGCTCCCCAACTCCCTTTTGGTGCCATATTCCCTATAAGCTTCATTAAATAAGACAAACTCGTTGCATTTGATACTTTAATTAACAATGTTTACCCAGAAGTGTACCAATTTCATTCAAATTTTAGCATTGCACGCGTGCGCATGTGAATGCACGTGCGTAATGACGATATAATCTTGTCTTCACAATCTATAGATTTTAATATACTAAATATCAAAGTATTTAATCCAAAAGTATTAAGAAATACGCTTATTCAAGTGTATTTTTGATTTTACTCATTTCACGTGCACGCAGCTTGTAGAAGTCCATTACATCTATCTATGTTCTAAATCCCACCCTGTTTGGTTAAAAACCAAGGGAGTTATAGCTGTTCAAAGTTTCAGCCAATCAGATTGCAGCGCATGTACACGCACATGTATGCATGTGCATGGTGACCATACTTTCTTGTAGAAGTCCATTATATCTATCTATGCTCCAAATCCCATCCTGTTTGGTTGAAAAACAAGGAAGTTATAGCTGTTTAAAGTTTCAGCCAATCAGATTGCAGCGCACGTACACGCACGTGTATGCATGTGCATGGTGACCATACCTTCTTGTAGAAGTTCATTTTATATATCTATGTTCCAAATCCCATGCTGTTTGGTTGAAAACCAAGGGAGTTATAGCTATTTAAAGTTTCAACCAATCAGATTGCAGTGCACGTGCATACACGTGTTTTAATTATAATTGCTATACATCATGTTGTAGGATATCGTAATGCATGGCTATGTTCAAAATTTCAAAGGATTTCGTCAAAAAAACATGAAAGATATTGAGACTTTAGTTTCAGCCAATCAGAGCGAAGCGCACGTGCATGCGCATTAGATCTTGCTATTTTGACCATGCTATCTTGTCTATACTACTAATGTATCCTTACATTATGAGTTTCAAAAAATTTCATCAAAAAATAAAAAAGTTACGGCAATATCCATTATATTGGTCATTTCACGTGTTGCACGTGCGCGCTCTTGCAAGCACGTGCGCGCAAAATGACCTTCGTTCGGCAACTCTACATAACATGCCTACTGACCCTAAAAAGGTTTCACCTAAGTCGGATGTATAGTTTACAAGATCACTCGTGGACAAAATTTTCCCAGGAAGAAGAAAAATAATAAGAATAATAATAACTAGTGCTAATTGTAACGGGGACCGTTACAGATGTTCCCCAAATGCTCCCCAACTCCCTTTTGGTGCCATATTCCCTGTAAGTTTCATTAAATAAGACAGACTCTATGCATTTGAAACTTTAACAACGTTTACCCAGAAGTGTACCAAGTTTATTCAAATTTTAGCAGTTCATGCGTGCGCCCGTGAATGCATGTGCGGAATTACCATATCATCTTGTCTTCACAATCTATATATTTCAATATACTAAATATTAAAGTATTTAATCCAAAAGTATTTAAAAAATTAGCTCATTCAAGTGTACATTTGATTTTGCTCATTTCACGTGCACGCACGTGCATACATGAGCATGGTGACCATACATACTTGTAGATGTCCATTACATCTATCTATGTTCTAAATCCCATCCTGTTTAGTTGAAAACCAAGGGAGTTATAGCTGTTCAAAGTTTCAGCCAATCAGATCGCAGCGCATGTACACGCACGTGTATGCATGTGCATGGTGACCATACTTTCTTGTAGTAGTCCATTATATCTATCTATGTTCCAATTCCCATCCTGTTTGGTTGAAAGCCAAGGGAGTTATAGCTATTTAAACTTTAAGCCAATCAGATTGCAGCGCACGTGCATGCACGTGTTTTCATAATAATTGCTATATATCGTGTTGTAGGATATCCTAATGCATGGCTATGTTCAAAATTTCAAAGGATTTTGTCAAAAAACAAAAAAGATATTGAGACTTTAGTTTCAGCCAATCAGAGCAAAGCGCACGTGCATGCGCATGAGATCTTGCTATTTTTACCATGTCATATTGTCTATGCTTCTAATATATCCTTATATTATGAGTTTCAAAGCATTTCATCAAAAATTGAAAAATTTACGTCTATATCAATTATATTGATCATTTCTCGTGTTGCACGTGCACGCTCTTGCAAGCACGTGCGCGCAAAATGACCTTCGTTCCGCACATCTACATCACATATCTACTGACCCTAAAAACATCTCACCTTAGTCGGATGTGTAGTTTACAAGATCATTCATGGACAAAATTTTCCCAAGAAGAAAAATAATAATAATAAGAAACAGAGTAAAAACAATATGTTCCCAAACTTCGTTTGGGGAACATAATAATAATAAGAAACAGAGTAAAAACAATATGTTCCCCAACTTCGTTTGGGGAACATAATAATAAGAAACCGAGTAAAAACAATATGTTCCCAAACTCCGTTTGGGGAACATAATAAAAGTGTGTTAGTTACACCTTGTGGGCAAGATTGACAGAAAACCTTTGCATTAACCATTCTCAGTGTTTACATACATGAGTGGCAGTATAAAAGGACGAAGCCTATTCATTTTCAAGTTCATTGATGAAATATTTCTTCAGATATCGCGTTTTTACTGCCTCAAAACTCTGATATTTTATGTACGAGTTGACAATAATCATTTGTGGGCAAGATTGACAGAGAACCTTTGCATTAACCAATCTCAGCATTTACATACTTGTGTGGCAGTATAAAAAGATGAAGCCTAGAGTTTGATGAACGTCGCCGTTTCATTACTGAAGTCCAACAGGTGTCTGGGAATTTGGGGTGCACGTTATTCCTAAAAGCTGTAAATACAGTCCACAAGTTCAATTAACCTCTCGATGTACATATTGTGTTATTTTTCATTATGAGAAAAAAATGCATATTGCTTGGAACTGTGAGATATACTTAGGTAGGTAAATAATTAAAATTACTGAGACTTATACATTTAGCATACGTGATATGTTTCTGCTAGGTATAAGGGAAACTGCTCAATTATGTATGCATATTATTATTATGCCCCCCTCCCCACTAAAATGCTATGCAATTTGATTTTCGTTAAAGATAGACACCCCAACCCCCGTTGAAACAAGTTAATTAAGGAATCACTGTCTAGTTTTGAGAGTATGCCAGGGCATCAACAATAGTGGGAAACATGGGATAATTTGCATAACGGGCGAAGCCCGTTATGCTAAAATTATCCCATGTTTCCCACTATTGTTGATGTCCCTGGCATACTCTCAAAACTAGACAGTGATTCTTTATATTTCCATTTCATTGTGAAATAAATTTGTAGACTTAGACATTAAGAATTTAGACTAATCAATTTAAATTACATGAGGACTTCCATGCCGATTTCAATAGTCCTCGCACACTGACTTCAAACACAAAGGCAGTCGCACGAGATTTATATGCATATTTGGCCTCCTTAGCATCAGACACAGAGACAGATGCGCATGAGATTTGCATGCGTATTAGGCCTCCTTAGCTGCTGACCTATCGATCTGCCTAATTTACATTCCGGTAGAATTATCAGGAAATCAACTCTGCTTACTTTCAGAGGGTTATTATAGTAAAAAAAATTAGAAATGGAAATATTATCATATATTAAACTTTACTACCCCAAATTAGGTATCCATGTTATGCCCCCTCCCCTTTACCAAGACGCTATGCATTTTGCCTTTGGAAAAACTGGATCAACAACAACACCCGACTAATAATTTTGTCAAAAGTAAGGCAGTTGATCCTAATGTGGTTTTGAATCCCTTTTTGGGACGTGGAGACTGGTCCTTTGAATGAGACCGTGTAAACCAAGGGCCCATGTCCCAATAGATGCTGGCACTAAAAGATTCCTCACTGCTCAATGGTCGTCAGTTCCTATTATAGAAAAGAATGTGCATCTCTCCAACGAAAAACCTTCATATGAGCAAAAAAGTCCTGGGAGGGACATAAAACAAAACACATTTAACTATTAATCTTTAACATGTTTTACGTCCCTCGAGAGAATTTATCTCTTATGAGATATTGCCATTACCAGTAAAGTTCCTGTCGCGAGGGGATGCTCCGCTTAGCAGTGCCCTTGTTTTCTATGCCCCAGGTTGTTTTTATCAAACCTTTTAAAAAAAATATCAGCCATTATTTTCATGCGACTTTTTGTTTGCTTTTCACAAAACAGAAACTTATTCTAAAATACTAGTAGCTAAATAAAGCTCTAATATATAGGTAAATAAAGCTATATAGGTAGATTTAGCTATATAGCTAAATATAGTGATTTTCCTGGACCTGATGAATATTTGGAATTTAAATAGCCTTAAACACTAGTATTCTGAACATTTTTTCAGATATACCTTTGCTTCAGCATCACCAGATAACATCAAACAGTGGAAATTCCCCAATGGAGACTTTATACAGAATCTCTCTGGTCACAGTGCCATTGTTAATGCGCTGGCTAGCAATGCTGATGGCGTCCTTGTGTCTGGAGGTAGGGTACATTTTAAACTTACACCAGAAATAATGGTTTAAACTTTATCATGCAGAGGGATTGTTTTTGTGTTTTCAAGTTTTTAAAGATATTTACTGGTATAGACCACCTTATATGTGTACATGTATATAATTGAAAAGTGTAATTTACAGCCAAATCATACATGTTATAAGTATTAGAAGCAATGATAAAGCTTTCCCAGAACCCCCCCCCCCCAAAAAAAAAAAATGTTTGGGACATAGCTATGTACATGTACATATGTTTAAATGAAGCTCTTTTATTCTAATCAGCTGACAATGGATCAATGTACTTCTGGGATTGGAAAACTGGATACAACTTCCAGAGAGTCCAGGCTGCAGCCCAGCCTGGATCCATCGATTCGGAGTCTGGAATATTTGCCATGACCTTTGACCAGAGTGGCAGTCGTCTGCTGACCACAGAGGCAGACAAAACCATCAAAATTTACAAGGAAGATGACTCTGCTGTAAGTTTCTGAACTTTTAAATTTGGGTTCTTGTTTTTGCTGAAACCATGTTGGAATTTAGTATATTTCTTGCATAAAAGAAATGGGATCATGCAGAGGGAAATAATAAAAAATAATTTTCCAAGAAAGATGCAACAAATATGAAAATATAATTGCATTGTACAGCAAAATAATATATGCAGTTGTCAAAGAGCAATTAAAATATGATTTTTGCAAATTAATAAGCAAAAATTCAATATTAAATGTTTATAAATTATTAAAATGAAATATTTTTTTCTAGACTGAAGAAACACATCCAATAAATTGGCGTCCAGACATCGTGAAGAAAAAGAGATACTGAGGAGTGAGGAATCAGAATGTGAGGATGAGGAGTGAGGAATGATAGAATGACAATAATGGATCAAAACAGGTGTCATCCATTTATTTAAATAAAATTGGAAGTGATTTTAAACACTATCAAGAAGAATAGAGAAAATCAATGACGACCAACATTTCCAAAGATCAACTTTTAAGATTGAAGGATGGTTTAATGAAGAATTCTCTTCGTGCAGTATTCAGTAATGTGGAGTCAAAACTGATAACACAAAACAAACATTTAACAAAATAATTTTAATAACATGAAACAATAACGAAAAACACAATATGTGAAAAAAGAGTGACTTTTCATCATTTTGCTATATTGTCCTAGACAATAATCATCAAAAATCATCATCACTCATGAAAAATTGTCATCTTCATGTAAATAAATATGTACAAAAGGAGATTTTGGTGTTTTCTTATGAATTTTTAATACTGCAGAGTTGATCATTCTAGGAGGTCTTAATTTCCTGTCCTCTCATCAAACAGAATGTCCCTGACTGTTTTCCTCCATTTCTATAATCTGTATGATGTCCTCTAAGGGTAAGTCGTCATTGTTTTGTGTTGGTGTTGTCATTTCCTCAAATTCTCCTTTGCTCTGTAATTTATACAGGTACACATGTACTACATTGTAGCATTTCTTACTTTATTCTGTACAAGAGGGCATAAGTTTTAATAGTAGGGAAAACAATGAAATTAACTAGAAAAAAAGATGACATGCCATTTTTTGTAACATTTCATAACTAGATTTGAGTGCCCACATTTGAATGCATAGATAGACTATGACTGAATAAAAAAATAAAAATAGTGACAATATTTTGTGTACGTTAACAAAATTTTTCATTCTAGTTTGATCTACTTGTGTAATCTTGATTTAGTTTATTTCACTTTTACTTACTTTTTCTTAGTCAGCTGCATGCTTAACTTGTTACTGTTGAGACTAAGAGGGAAGAGTTAAGATCAAAGAAATAAAATAGTCAGAATTATTTTTAAAATATAGAATTATAGAACAACAGTAGAATAAATAGACAAGTTCAGGATTAGTTATATAACAGAAATGTTTTTTACAGAAACATGCAAAAACAAATCCTGCATTTCATTTTCATATTACAGTTAATACATTATACACAGACACTCTATGCTACATATTTTTCTTACTTTAAAAAATAAACCCGGGGCATGCCTAAAAAAAATGTAACATCAAGAGCCTGTGGTAATATACGTTTTATGATAACATTAGGAAAAAACATTACTTTATTTGCGTCGGAAACTTAAATGTAATATGAGGTGTTTGAGATTAAGGAGTAAGAGCTTTGAAAATTAACCCCTTCCTTTTTTCTTAAACAAAATTATTTTAACAAAAATTGAATTATGTAGATATCTCCATTTTTATTTAAAAGGAATCCTATTATTTACAAACAGACATAATTGTTACCGTGGAAAGAGGTTGTCGCTCAAATTCGGACTGAATCAGTCGCAGAACTTGCTGGACTTTCGGGTGATTGTGATGTTGGTGTATTGTGGCGGGGTTATTTTCAATTTCAGTCAAAATCATCTGAACCTCTGGGTCCTAAATAAAACATTAATACGACTACAGTATCACTACAGAAAGAACATTCTAATTTTTCAAGAAATGTTGGGCTTAGAAGAATATACAATAATAATAAAATTCTGTATATTGATATCGCTCCTGCAGATATGGAGATAAATCTGCAGATATATAAGATGTATATTTCAATATACAAAGGGTCCTTATAGAAATAACAGTAGAGATTATTTATCGTACTTGATAGAGACGCCTGAGTTCTTCATTGTTCAGGAAGTCCTCTAGTTTAGGTAACCGCTCCTCACCATCTTGTGGCACGCCACCTCCACCCTCTGAAAGAAAACTCCATTTTTTCTAACGGTTCGAAATTATTTTTGTTTAAAACTTAGCTAAGGCATATTATCATTGTGTTGCAAAACATTTTGCAAACAAAATGGACGTAGTTTTTGTACCAGAACAGAAATTTGAGAGAGAGATAGAGATTGGTTTTGTAAGCTTTACTATACCTGCCATGTTTATGTTTCAGACACAATATATTAAATGCGGAAGTTTATTGATTTTTATAAACCGAAAGTACAGTCAAAATTAATAGACTAATCCCATGCTATTTTTAGTACCCGAAAATTATAGATAGAGATTGGTTTTGTAAGCTTTACTATACCTGCCATGTTTATGTTTCAGACACAATATATTAAATGCGGAAGTTTATTGATTTTTGTAAACCGAAAGTACAGTCAAAATTAATAGACTAATCCCATGCTATTTTTAGTACCCGAAAATTACTAAGTCTACATGCCTCACAAGTTATTACATGTATCTTTCTAATATATCTCGGATCCACTTTGGTGGGATAAACCCTATAGTGCTTGCACCACAATCCATCCACATTAAGACATATACTTGTAAAGTCATTTAATTACACAATAGTAAAATTCATCAAATCACCGGATTCTTTCATTTGATATCTTACTCGAGAAAACTAATAGGCTCACAAATATACTTTTTCTTCCCACTTTAAAATTACAGTAAAACTCGTTTAGTACAAACACAGATATTGCGAATTCACGGATATAGCGAAGTTATATTAGATACCCAGCTTTATAAACGAATTCCTTATACGGATATAGCGAATTACGGATATAGCAAAGTAATTTTTTAGGTCCCGTGCAGTGACTTCGTTATAACCGAGTTTTACTGAACAAAATACTGAATGTTGTATAATGAATATGATAATTTACAAAATTGAAACCTCATGACTCATTGAAGTTGATGGAAATTAATAGATTTTCAGAATTATTAAAGAAATCATTGCAAAATCATAAGCTTTACAATCTTTGCAGACACGTCATATTTCAGCATGGTCGTACATGCAGTAACTTTCATCAAATCGTCATGTTTGGTTAAACATTTGTTGTCTTTCGTACGTATTCGTTTATTTGCCACTTACTCTCGTACAGATGAACTTTTATCTTGTGAGGTAAGGATTATTTTAAAAAAAAAAGTTTCATAAATGTGACTACAAAAACTGGCCAAGAGAAAAAGCGGGATGATTTTTAAAAGAATTCTTATTAATTTGGAAAGGACATGAGAAAGGCCCCTTTATATCTTTCGTACAAGTAAGGTAAGGTCTTTGCAACTATCAGCAGAGAAATTTACTCTAGTTGTTTACTTGAGCCTTAGCCTAAATGTCATTCTGCTAAGAAAAAACGAAAACCTTTAAAAACTTATTCTTGTGCTTTTACCAATGCATCGATCAAGTATTTCCTAATGGCTAAGCATTAGAAACAAATCCTTTATATTGCAATTTTTTACGACCTATACCCAAATTTAAAAAAAAAATAAGCTTTTATTAGTCAGAATATATTGCAATTTTGATTTCGCAAGAGAAAATGAAAACTTGAAGGAATCATTAAGGTTTTGATTAAAACTGGTGCCAATGTTAATGAGAGATATATGAGTTATTTGTTCTTGTTCTAATGTTCATATTAAACTTCATGCTTGTCGTGTAAGCAACCATTTCAGGTAAGTCAGACGTCCATCAGTTGCTCCTTGTTTTCTACTTTCTTTCCTTCTGGAAAAAGAGACGATGGCCAACTTCTAGAACGAAATATACTTAACGAGACCCAATGTAGTTGGAAAATTTGAAAATGGAATATCCAATTCAAGCATTACTTCATAATATATAATACTTGTATGATTGTTCTCAATGTCTTTCACTAACAGAAACAAAACGGCAATCATTTCGGTGGAATTTTGAAGAAGAGTGTTGTAATTTTCCAGACATTCTGGTGGCATTCAGACATCCTGGTATTATGCATCTTCAAACTTTAGCAGCAGTTCTTATTTTTACCCTTTCTCTGACGCATTCAGCTGTATTGCCTCTTCTGAATACCACCATTTCTACACCAAGCAACGACGAGGTATCAACCGATGAACAGCAGACGAGTATTGCAGCTGCGAATGAAGAAAACCTTTCGGTAACTACTTCTGTTTCATTAGAGTCAACATCGCTGTCATCAACCGAAACGTCATTTGATTCAACCATTGACAGCCATGGCATGTCATCATCGACGGTAAATTCGGGGAATGTGAGTACCACAACTGCGCAAGAAGAAAGAGTTCCTTCGCCTCTACCAGGTTACACGTTTCCACGGGTGTCGGAAGTTGGTCAAGTTGATTTCATTTACGGTCCAATCGTTATCGGTTTGTCTTTCCTGTCTACCATTATCATTGTCATAACATTTATGAGGAAATCAATGCGATCCCCAACGACCATAATTTTGACCGGGATAGTAGTTTCTGATACCCTTAAATCCCTCCTCAGGTACGGAAACTATCTATACATTTACTTTACTTACGGATCGGGAACGGTAGATATTGTTCTGCCATACTGCATCTTTCTGTTCTACAGTGATTTCGGCGAAAACGTCTGCTATTCCGTTGGGCAGGCGCTGTGGGCATGTCTTGCTGTTCAGAGAGTCTTGGTAATAAAATTTCCATTCAAAAGTAGAGAGATTTTGACCACCAAGGCATCTCTTTTGACCGTTGTCGTGAGCGTTTTGTTGGCCTTTCTTTACCGATTCCCAGAGCTTTACTTTTCGGGTAAGTTCACTTCCTACCGAGATTATTTAATTTCGTCTGGTTACAGTCCTTCGGACTTCTATTATTACTACTACTATTACTACTATGAAGAAGGCTCAAACGAACCCGTGGGTTATGAAACCTATATTTACTCTACCATCGCCGGAGACGAGGATCTTTGTATGGTTTACCGCGACCCTGCTTTCAGCAAAGCGTTCGATACATACCATCCAATTTGTTCACTGGTTCCCTTCTTCGTGTATTTGATCTCAAGTATTTACATTATCTACTCCGTGATCACCCGAAACGAATCCACCGACATCCACGAAAGCAAAGGTCGGATGCAAAAAATAGAAATGATGACGCGCTCTATTCTCATAATCCTATTGGTCCAATGTATAAAGAAATCCATTGGCCTATTCAATCTCATCATCACTTTTATTACCAAAATGGAGATCTACGATGTTTGGGGCAAAATGGATCTGGAGGCTATGAAAGTACTGTACAAATTCCGTGAAATTGTTTCCGCGGCTGCTGCTTTGATCAATTTCTGGATCATTGTGGGAGCATGTGAGCAGTTTCGCCGGGAGATTTTCACCATGTTCACGGTTTGCTGCAGAGTTAGAGGCATCTTTTCCAAAGCTAAGGCCAAAAAGCTAGAGGAAAGTACAAGCAGTACATCTACTAAAGCGTCTAGTGTTGTGAATAAAACTTAGAGGAATATTCTAGCTGTATCATCAGTGTAAATCTTGAATCAAATTGCGGATGTACTGAACACATCTGTTAGCTAAGGAAAGACTGAATCAAGCATAATGCTTATTAAAATTTCTGTCTCATCTTCTGATCTAAAACTGTTCATAAATTGTATGAAAATCATTTTAGTGAGCAGGACTGGTCCTTCTTCCCAAAAAATTGTTCTTATCCTTTGTTTGTTGAAGATGTAGTCGGTTTGTACAGTGGAACTCTACTTTGTTATCTTTATTTGTGGACGACATAATGTACCTGTTATATAAAGTCGTACCTAAATTGCTCTGATTCCTTTATTTGTTGATAATATGCACGGTTTGTATTGTGACATCGATTGTTATCCATTTATTTTGAAAATATCCAAGTTATGTTCAATGGTACCTTCTTCATCCTTATTCCTTTATTTGTTGACTATATACCCGTTATGAACAGTAGTACCTTGATTCGACAATCCCTTTTTTTTACACAGATGTTGATCTATTATACTTTGAAGCGAGATCCTGTGCATGTCTTATTAGTGCCTTGTGATGTACTTAAGTTTTTATTCAAGAAACAAATGTGAATTCTTCTAAACTGATGAAAATGTCATCTGAATTCACAAGGTGGAATTAAACCTCTTAAAAATTTTGTATTGACATGTACTTTCACCCATTTAATTGAAAATTAAAATATGATGATTAATATAAGCTTTTGGCATTGCCATTTACATGTATATAGCAATTAGTTATTGTCATTTTGTATTATTTTGATGTTTCTTGATGTTACTTCATATATTAAAAAATAAAGCATCTCATAACATATTACAAATTTTATTGGCAATTTCTTTAATGCTTAAAAATATTTTTTGCAGCAAATATTTTCGAATACTGCCTCGGAATTTATACTCAACAAGAGAAAGATTTATACCACGCATATCTTATTTGAGAAAAAAACCCATAACATTCTCTCTAACTTCACAAAAAACAGTTAAAAATCAGCATCAAATAAATTAAATGATAACAGAAGTTCTTTTGAGAAGACCCCTGTTATAAAAATTAGACATTGATGACGATATCCTAATGATGACGTTGATCAACTCGTGAGATCATCAATAAGACTTTTCTTATACAACTCCCAGTTCTCTTTTATCTGAAGATTGTTTTGGAACGTGTTTTCATCTGGGTACGGTCGGACTTGATGACGTATCAATTTTTTGACTTGTTCGTTGGCGTGTTTGGCAAAAAATTCTTTGTTCAGCATTATGCATTCTGCTCCTCTGGATACCTAAGGAACAAAAAAAATTAATGGTTACTTAATTAAACAATTTAAATTTTTTTTTTCTTTGAGAGAAAACATGTGAGAATTTCAATTTTTCATATGCGTCAAGATTTAGTGTTGGTGGTGTTGAAAGAGAGGATAAAGAACTTGAAGGCTGTGTGGTCAGTATACGTTTTTGTGCAAGACTTTTTAATACCTACAAAATATTTTAAAGAGATAAAAACCTTAAGAATTGAATTGAATGATAAATCCTTACCAGAGTAACCACTGTCTTTGGATTTTCTATAGAGTCCTCGAACTGTATCGTCTCTAAGCCCTGTAAATGATGCAAAAAGTTTAGGCAAAAACTCTTTTCTATAGATCTTTGCTAGCTAAGATTTCAGATCCCAAAACTTTTTTTTCCTGTAGAATCTTCGCTAGCTTAGATTTCTGATCCGCTCCGTTCACTATCACCAACACCTTATTAGAAAAGGGTTGGATAAAAAAAAATCCCAAAGTTATAATGCAATAAAAGTATTCTATTTGAATGAATAATTTTGCTCTTACAAAGACATCCTTAGGTTTGAGACTTCCAACCTGGACGAACACAGGAGGGGGTTTGCTAGGGGGTATGTCTTTTGGGGGCTCCTTTGGTTTGGGAGGTTTGCATTTCTCTGGAACTTCGTATTTTTTCTTAGTATCATATTTTGACATTTTTATGGGAGACTGAAAAAAAAATAAAAATAACATTGACTTTTTATCCTATCACCACAGAAAGGAATTTCCTTGACACTGCATCTATAAATATAGTCACCGATACCAATTTGAAGCAGAACAAGGAAGCTAAGGGCATACCAGATGGGCCTTTCGAGTGACAGGGTTCAGTGAGTATTCAGCTTTTGAGAACTTTTTGGTAGAGGGACCGGGAATGGCTTGTGGCACAGAAGCAGGTTCTAAGTTTTCTTGGTTTTCCTGAAATAGAATATTTTCAAATCAGCATATATATTTTTTCTTTGAAATTCAATTTGTTGTGTGAAGTTTGGGATCAAAAAGATTATAAACTTACTAGCCGTCTTTCATCACCGGCAGATTTTGTTTTTCTTCTCTTCCTTCTCCAGGTATCAACTTTTGGACCTGGAAAAAGGAAAAAAAAACATTTTTTAAAAAAGAAGTGAAATGGTCAAGTATACCTTTTTATGGGCAATACTTTTATTGGAAAGGGGAGATGGGATGGTTGGGTGAGTGAGGTTTTTAACACCATGGCACACCATACCTGGTAAAGGAGTTTCAAGTGTTGGAAGTTCTATTTTACTTTGGTTAGGCTTTTCTTTCCATCCAATTTTAGGCGTTACGCCTTTCAGCTGCTTTAAGACTTGACAAAAGCCCTATTGAAAGAACAAAATAAATCCAGTGATTTATTCAAGGTTTCGGCAAAATGAGGTGGGCATATTCTTGCGTATATCCAAAGAAAAATCATATTTACCGATTTTACGACATACAGCCATTCGGAATTTGTACTGTCTCTAACTATGACCACATTCCTTCTGCAAGAAAAAAATCAAACAGAAACTCAAACTAATGATCAATTATTAAATAATAATCAATAAATCTGTAGTAAATCAAAGCCAAAATACTGGTCAACTTACTTGAAGAAATGTAGGAGACAGTGTTGTGGATTTTCTAAGAGTTGTTCTAAGGGCCAATCTTTCATAAAATCACACGTGCTAGAATGGGATAATTAAATTTTCAGAAGTATAAATTCAATTTTAATAAATTACTTGAAAGAGTAAACAAAAAACTGAAAAAGAAATCGAAACACGAAATATTGCAGGAAATGGAAACACTTCATGAGAAGTGCATGGAACTAGATGGTTCACGAAATCCCAGTTGAAGTGGGAAAAAAAAACTTTAAAAGTATTAGTTTAAACATTGATGACACGTATGTCCTGTGAATTTAAAATGCATTATCACCAACATTTCAAAAGATGTTACCAAAGTTAACGTTTTTCAAAAGTGGTTCAAACTCCCAAGGTCTAAGTCAAACGATCAAATTTGGTATTCAAGGGAAGAGATCATCACTCAAGGTATATATTTTTTTAAAAGTAGCTTTAACTGCAAGATCACTTAAAAAGGTCAAATCTGTTGGTACACAAAGGAAGGTGTGTTAAAAGACATACAATGTGAAAGTCCCAGCACAAATTGTTCAAAAGTTCAAATACATGTACATGAATATCGTCAAAATTGTTGGTATCCAAGAAAAGAAATTCTTAAAGGAAAACAATAGTTCTGACCGTTTTAAAAAAGTTTTAACTGTAGTTAAAGAAAGGTCTTATACGGAAAAAAAGATACAAAGTGAAAGTTGAAGACCATACGCCTACTGGTATGTTTTTGGGAGGGGCAAAAAGGAATTAACACGCCAACTAAAATCTAAATGCCCCCATATTTTCGCTTACCATAAGCATAAAAACCAAGATGTGTTTATGAAAAACTGAAACATAGATATGGCATGCAGCTCAAGACAGAGGTTTATGTCAAGGTAAAAAGTAAAAAAAGCCAAAGAAAGGCATTGTCTAAAAAAAACGCATATAAAACATTAACGCACCAATCAGAAAATTTGTCAAAGATTTTTTTTTTCAAATGTGCATCATAGTTTAGAATATTGAGAGAAAAACCATTGGTACCCTAAAGATAGTCTTGTTACAAGAAATACACTTTTGAAATATGAAAGCCCAAGCACCAACTGTTGGAAAGTTATGGCTAAGGTTAAGGTTTTTCAAATGAAGGTCAATCTTCAAGGCAAAATTTTGCGACAATAGAAGGTCAAATTCCATGAGCATATATGTTGGTACCAAAAGAAAGCTTTTGTCTAACAAGGAATACACATGTAAAATATGAAAACCTTAAAAAGCACCAACTATTCAAAAGTTATGGGCAAGGATAAGCTTTTTAAGATTTTGCGTTTTCGGACAGATGGACTGACATGTAAAAAACTGCCCTTGAATCTTGTTTACCTGGGGAACAAAACAGGTACTAGAAATACAAGTGTATTAGATGTTAATCTACCCTTATCACCAGAAAGGATTTTACAAAAAATGAAAGTATATAACAGCAATCAATCTTAATTTGGATAGGATTTAATCTCGTGCATGTTTCTGACATGCTGAACAAATCTTAAACAAACATAAAACATTTGAAAAACAATCTCCTTACATACAAAATTCATCTCCTTACACATGAAACTCAAGTGTCTTAAAAGGATTGTAAATAACTGTTATTATTTCTAACGATACCAAAAAAAACATGACGATGCATTTTAGGAGTTAAAAGTACTTCAAATATACATGAAGAAGGACGGGTTAAATATCAATCTATTTTTTCAATTATTTTTAAGTCCAAGTCACAAATTTTCATGCTTTATTGACAAAACAGTTATAAAAAAAATCAGTACATATCACTGTGAATATATTTTAATATTCTGTGTAAAATGTTTAAAACGTTGTTATCAATTGTGACTTAAAATTACTAGTAGCCATTCCAATTCCAATTGCATAAAAAATATAATTGCAAGTACATGTAATTTTAATTTCACACTTACATTTAGAAGTATGTATTACCTCAAATCATCCAAATTAATGACATATGAAAATATGGCTTATTAGAATGCTGTTTCAATCGTTGATAGTAAGTACAATCTATAGAAAACTTTTTTTTCATAAAAAAAACACCACCCTTCCCTTTTTAATAGACCTTCCTTTTCAAGAAAGTCATAGGCAAAACACTTACCTGATAAACTTGATATGCTCTGGTATTTCCCCAGGACCAGCCCCACTCATGAAAATATCAAAGAAATCCGCCCTCCCCACGGACAGTAGCTGTACCTCCCCTTGACTGGTGACGGTAGCTGTCCTACGAGAATGGTGGAGGAGGGCCAACTCCTACAAAATAAAAAAATGCTTGAAAAATGAAAAAAAAAAATCAGCAAATGACAAATTTTAATCGTATAATTTATATGAACAATATTTGTGTGACAATTTAGTTGAAGTGGATCAAAGATTTTTATTACCTACCCCAAAGCTCATGCCCCTTCTCATGATTGTGGCAGTTTTTACAAATGAAGCCCCGGTTTTTGGATCTCTAAGCAGAAGTGTTACGACCGCTGCAAAGAAAAATATTTAGCAATTATTATATTTTATAAACTTTATAAAATATAAAATCATCTTTATCATCTTGATTCTTTCTTAATTCAAATTTGTAAACATGTTCTTTGTATGTTTTTTTTAAAAAGGTTCAATAAAAAATATATATTCAAATGGACAATTTGGCTTTTTTGTTTTGGAGTTCATGTACATGTATATTGAAAGAACACAAAAAGTATTCATCGAAACTGTTATTGCCAATTCTCTTTAACCGCTGATTAATTCTACATTTAGCTTTTGTCGTTATAGCAAATTTATATAAAGACAAAAACTTGATAAAAGACAGAGAGAATTATTGGTTGGCAATAACAATTACTATGGCATGAGTTGGCATTGCTCAACATTGCAAAACGACACTTTCAGGCAATTTTCCACGAAAGCAATATGCTCAGGATGTGTTCGAATTACACGTTAAATGTTAAAGTATAATTTGGATAGCTAGAAACAATTAACACCTGTATTTACTTTTGATTAATGCCCTACCTTGACCTGAGACGATGAAATAGAAATTTTCTGCAAAATGTCCTTGCCTAATGATAATTCGTTTTGGTGGAACCCTGTAATTAACAAACCAAATTTGATTTAGGTGAAGTGTTTGGGTTTTTTGCCAATCACTCCATAACAATTGGTTACTTTCTTAAAAAAATGTAAATAGGATAGAATATTTGGAGTATGAAGACAGTACATGTAAAGAAAATACTAGCGAACACTGTCCATACAGTAAAGTCATACTTTTTAATTCTAAAGATTTGGATTTAACTAGTAACCGGTATTGGTAGAAGTATTTTGGATTCAAATTATTTTCAAAGAACTCGTTTTTAAAGTGATGAACAAAACCATGAAACCGTACGACGCAACGATCTAGATTTGGTTAAATATTTGGCAAAAGAAAAAAATTACAAAATACGGAATGACAGGCGTCCGCAATTCCACATATCAGCAAATTCCTTGTGTAACAGAATTTTTTCAATGGTATTTTAATCAAAGTACAACTTACACTTCAAAATACGCTACTTTGGCCAATTTCTCCTGCATATGGAGAGGGTATTCAGCAAAGGACCGCATTATTTGTAGACCAAACATTGCCTGTGAAAAAAAGTTAATAAACTCGTGATAAGTTTAACACTCCCGTAATCAAATCATTAAAAGTACTTTTTCAAAAGTAATTTATGTGAAAAGGTCGACTGAATTAGGCCATTGCTCAATATATTTCGCACTGTGAAAGTTATTAAAGTTGAAGAATTAACGGCAAGCAAGCCGATGATGGCTTTTTGAATTGGAATTTAAAGGTAACTTTTCAGCACAAAAGAAGTAATTATATTCTGGTCATGCATAGTTGGACATAGTAAAATAAAAATGAAGGGAAGTTTTTGCTCAAACCAGCTGGCTAAATGCTCTTTACTAGAATAAAAAAAAAATTCCATCTCTCTCTCTCTCTCTCTCTCTCTCTCTCTCCTCTGATATCAATTTAGATGTATCAAGGACCATTTTAATTGTTTTAAGTATCGTACACTATACCGTTTGGACTTGTTCAGGCGATCTTTGCTCCGATGGTAAACTTAAGATTCCTTTGACCTCGGTGCTGAGATTTATCTGAAAAACAAATTTACATAGCCATACATCTAATGTTTTAAGGCCATCAAAGATCTATATCCCCATTTTCCTTAGGGGACGCGCCGATTAACGCTCTCAATATCAACAATTTCTCTTGCCATGAAGTCTGTATTATGGATAACAATTTTCATTATACTAGCTTGCAGAAAAATTCGTCGACAAGGTATCCATGTTTGGGGCATTTTCATGAAAAACATTTTGGTAACTTTCATACATGAAACAAAGATCTGTTTTTCAAATGCTCATATCGGAACCATTAGAGGAAACTTCTTTTCCACATTTTTTAATACTTGGAGGAGGTTTTTTTTTCCGGTGAGCCAGTTTCCAACGAGATGTGTTAATTGGTCATTTAAAATACATGACCCCCTCCCCTCCAACAGAGTGATGACAAGTCTTGAACGCGGATACCTTGTCAATGAACTTTTCTGTATGCTTGTAATGAAAATTTAATCCCCAAAACCATCTTTTGGGAAGACATGTTATGAATAGCAAACTTGAATAGATGACAAATTACTTTCAAATTTGAATTTAAACGATTGCTTGACTTTTGGAGATAATTGATTCTGGTTTTTGTAGGGAAAATGCAAATTTGTATTTTTATTTTTATACTAGAAAGTGAATTATATCCATGGATAGGTTTTTGGTGATATGGTAATATGGAAGAATTCACAAGTTCATTGTCATCATCATTATTATTTACAATGTTGAATTCTGAAAATGAAATTTTTATTTATACCTCTTTGTTTGCCTTGAAATAATTAGGATCAAATGAAAGTCCGGAACTTTTCATACTGGAGGACTCCACTTCGCTGGAGATGTCCATGAAAGTCTTCATACCCTCTCCTGGGTCGCTGTTTCATGTTAAAAATATATTATAAATGTATAATGTAAAATTTAGTATCTCATTCGAACTTCAGAAAAAAAGTTCTATATATATTACTAGTATTTGATTTATGTGGTACATGTTGCATAATTTATAACATTTCACCCGTAATTATTAAGTTTTACTTCAGTTCTTATTAAGAATTACTATAGGATATATAACCTACTGCGTTCATATTTCGAATTCAGTGAATTCAAAAATTAATGATTAATATCACATGATTATATACTACATATTTATAATTTTTAAATATTTTTAAAAATGAATAAATTTCTTACCTGCCAGAGGCTGAACTTGAAAACTTGAGAGCAATTTTCACCCAGAAAATAGCTTTCCGAAATTTTTCTCGAAGCTGCAAATATTAAAGCTACTTGTCATGCAAAGCAATGATGTCTTATTTCGATGACGAAAATGTACACATAAGACAAATAACAGAACTTAGCATTTAAATGCTTTATTGTTAAAATGCAAGTCAACATCCTTAAAACCATTGTTTTGTAATTTTTAAATGTCATCATGCCCTTCTTTTCAGATTTAACTTCTGGATACATCTCTTGGAGATTTTAAAGTCTTTGTTTTTAAAAATATTGTTTGCAACTATCGTAACTTTAAACCTTTACACATCTACTTTATAAAACAAAAATAGCTTTAGATTCGACATAGCATTGTAACTTATTAGATTTACTGAGTGAAAATTGCTTTAAAAAGTAAAGTAAAAAATACATTGTATATTATTTAAATCATAACAGATATTTAGACATCGAAACTATATTTTAAAACTGTTCATACTTATAAGTTATAATTCATTTAAAACCATCCCAGTCAGTAACATTATTAATGTACGTAGTATCTAAATGATATTTAAGCTGTCAGAGATAATAAATTGGAACAGAGGAAAACGCATGATATTTACAGTTCTAAGATTTCTTTTTTTTCAAAAACAAAATGTGAATTGTACTCACTGCACTTGCACGTAGTTCCTTAGCAATCTGCTGTTGCTTTGTAAAACGCAGAGAAACCGACGACCGTCCCCCAGAAACATCTGGTTGCCCCCTGGGTTTGGGGGGAACAGGTGAGGTACTGGTGACACTGTCTCGTGGGGACGGGGTCGATTCGAATCCCGGTGGAAAAGGACTTGCACTCGAACGCCTCCTGGAATCAGCCGGAGATTTTGGAGGTTTATCTCCAGAAGGTGAAACAGTTTGATCAACCTTATCTTTCACATCCTTTTTCTCTTTGTCTAATTTATCTTCACTAATTTCCTCACTTTCCTCCTTTATATCTTCGAATTTAGTTTTCTTGGCGGAATCTTCCTTCGCTTCCTCTGTTCCTCCATCTTTTCCTCCTCCTCCTTCTTCCTCTTCCTCATCTTCTTCTTCTTCATCTGATACGTATCCTTTTAAGATGTGTTTGTATCTAGCGAAGAGATCGAATCCACTCTTCTTCTTTTTAGTTTTTAGATTCTGGTCACCTAAAGCTTTGTCCTGCTTTTGCTTGGCAAGAGTGAACTTCTGCAAGGACTGGAGGTTGCTACCGGTGTAATTTTCGGGTCTGGAATAATAATCGAGATCTGTTTCCGGCGGTTCACTCATCTCGACTTTATCCAAAATCTGGCATCATTTAACACACTTCTGTTTTAAGAAATAGGCAATAAAACAATGTCATTATAAAACACTTACACATCACATCAACAAACTCTTGTTTCGTTTTTTTCAAGAAATTAGCTTTTACATCTCGGCAACTGCTAAGAGTGATATGTGGTCAGAATTTTTTTTTTTTGGTAAATTCCAAAAGTTGATAACAATTGCTTGTTTGCCGTAAAGATATGGATGAATTGGACGATACGACGAATTTTAAACTGTGAAGTATCTTTAAGTATCACTCCAGTAGATTTATTCCAGCCCAATTTTACCGGTTGTCTCCTAGGTATTGGCAAGAGTCAATGCTCTCAAGCAGTTGACAATGTTTTGCCATCACTTTACAATGGGACAAAAATTATTGATCAGTAATCTGAAGTAATAAATCAAATGCGCATTCACACCTTCGAAACACCAGCTAGCAAAAATAACTGGTCATTTTACCAAATCAACGGAAAACTTTTCTTGTGGGGTAATTGCAAAACAATTTCGTAGAAGAATATTTCTCAAGAAAATATTATTTATCAATTGTTCCATCTCTAAGCACGGGGAAAACGGTAGATTGCAATTTAATATATCAAAACGGTAAAATATCCAGTTTGATTGACCTAACGGGCGACAGGATTAGGCTGTGATTTAAATTGGTTTATATTGAAAAGTGAAAATTATATTGAATATATGGGATACAGAAACGTAAAATGTCTGATATACTTGGTAAGATCCCATAAAATGACGACTTTACTTTTCTGTGGAAAATATTTTTTGAATCTAAAACGTTTTGATCTACAACCCCCAAGTTACTAATATTTACTGTTTTCATATCAAATTTTGCTAAAGAAAATTAAACTTGGTAATTAAGTGAATCAATAATAGGTTGAGAAAAATGAAAATTTTATTAAGGTTTTAAATTCGTGGAAAAAATCTTATTGGGGGAGGGGTCATTTTATATCACGGAACAGACAGGCATTAGTTTATTTTTTTTCTCAGTCTTGGTTAAGTAAATTTACATATAAAGATATACCACGCATGTGTCAACATACGGAACGCTCAAAAAAGGTCTGTATTCTGTTTTTGCGAATAGGTGTAAGGTCTAACTGATTTATGTCGAAGTTAAGTATCATCTTGTCTTTAAAACCAAGACGACATCAAATGGTTTCTTCATTTCTAAGTAACGTATGATGGAGTAATGGGTTTAAATTACGCAAGATGCAATTTTGATTTGCTTTTTTGAACACCAGTGTCAACATTAAGAAATGAGTTTGATGTACTCTTAACAGATAACCCATATCCATATATTTGTAAAATAATTAGGAACAAAAATAAGAACAGTAAGATGAAAAGGACTTACCTTTGTTTTTGTCCTACGGAATTTAACAATTAATGAAACGTCACAATCGGCATTATGACGTCACAATAACATATCTTTCAAAAACAATAAAAAGCAGAAATTTTTAGCGTCAGAAATAATATTTTACTCCCTTAATGTCACTTGGGGCAATGACTGACATACACTTTCATCTTTCAAATCTATTCGATACCAGATCTATTTAATCAGGACAAAAACAGAACAAAAAAAATCTCACACTGGTTTCATTATTTGTTATATTTGCTATTAAACTCAATCAAACAAAGATTGCTGTGAAGTATTGCTCTATTCAACGTTTTACAATAGAAAGTGACCAGCCATGTTGATTATACTGAGTCAATGTTGCTATTTCATTTCTGTAGATTTTTTCTGCATTTTAAAAGTCTGCGGGCCCTTTAAACCCTTTAAACCCCCGTCACACGTTCCTCAAACCCAAAGAGACTTCATTACGAGATATTTATGCGATTGTCTCGAAGAAACAGGCATACTTCAACGTGTTTCTTCTGGAGACGATATTTTCTTGTGTGGGTCAACTTAAATAGCGGATTATATATTTACGCCTTTGACACATTGGGTCGAATTTTCAATATTTTAATATTTGTTTTACGATTGTGACCTTTTTATACTTTCCTCATTAAATACCTTCCATCTTAATTGGTAATTTAATCACATAAACACGGCAGATTGAAGATCCAATCCTTTTGTTCTAACATTTAAACAATAAAATATGTTTATGTTCAAACCGAAGGTACATGTACGTAGGAAGTAAATTTAGTTGAGAAGGGGGGGGGGGGGGTTGCATACTATATACTGTATGCGCTATCGAGATAAAAATTTCTGACAAGCAAAATTAAAAAAAAAAATCCTCAAGTGAACGCAATTATTGAAGGGACATAGCTATAAAATGGCTTTTTAAAATTTTTTAATATACATTTATACAATATAAAAATATATGAAAAATTAAGGGGGTGTCATTTAAATAATGAATCAGTCATAATTTAAGCGTGTTTATAAACAAAAATATTCAATAAAACATTAATCTATTTTTGTTTCTTTTCTTGGTTAAGTTTACTTTAGAAACAAGAGTGATGTGTGTAATTTTATTACTACTATCTGAAACGTATTTATCGACTTAAGTGGTTTCATGTTCGACTTTTTATTTGTTTACACAGTCAGTGAGAGATTTAGCAAATAGTTCTGCACCATAACAAACCCGAAAGAAATTTCATGCAAACTGTAGTATCAATGTCGGGGATTCAATATACAAAAAATTTAAAGATTTGCAAAACTTAAGAAGAATTGATATGACATAAAAATAATACATTTTTACATTAATCATGTTCGATCAAACTTAAAACTATTCTTCTTTTTAATAAAGTTTGATAAATATTATTCATTTGTTGTGAAGAGTCCATTCTCTATCTTTCCCCCTCTATTGTCGTTTATTTATCAACTAAAATTTTCACTGTAGAATAATGTGCCTTTCATTTATGGTATTCTTTATTTATAAGTTCAGACTAACTAAGATTAAAAAAGATCTTTTATATAAATTTGTTTTGTTACTTTATATAAAGAGAGGACTTTCCTGTAAATTATATATTATGCAATTTAAATCAATCTCCTTTTCATAGATATCCGAGATTTAAAACAAAACCCGATTTATTTACCGACTCCACAATTAAATACCAGGTATCAAACACAGTTTAAAGTTAATTTAATTAGAGAAACATTGAGATATTTAAGTTCAAAATCGGTGAATTTGATTGTAAAAAAAACAAATATGTTAATGTACACTTAATCTCATATTTTAATTTTTTTTTTTAGCTCAGATACGCCATATACATGTATACATGTAGCTTTAAAAATATTGCTAAGGTATTACTGTAGTACATTTTTTTTCTATTGCATATATCATCTGAAAGAACCCTTCAAAGAAGCTAATCATTAAAAATTGATTTAAAAAATTGAGTTTTTGAAACAGAAGTTTAGTTATTTAACAAATACATTGCTGTACAATTTTTTAAAATTTGTTTATTGTAAAAAATAATCAACAGAAACATAACATAAAGCATCAATGTAATTTTCATGAACATGCAAATAATAGTGGCTATTTTATATACATTTGTAGTACTGTATTTGTGTGATTTGATTAAAGGAAAGTAACAATTTAACATTTCCACATTTTCAATTTTCACACTTCATTTCAATAAGAAACTTATTAAACCTTAACAATATTGGATAAATAAATATCTGACATGAGAATAAATATTATGATGACTTCAAACAAATTCAGCTTATGATTTGAAGAGTACAAATTAAAAAAAAAAAACTATATAAGTATTGCATTGTGAGTATTATCTTTATCACAGTCACATAGCTATGGAATGTTTTGTCGTCTGCTTGTTGTCCTAGACTAAAATGGCTGACAAGGATCAGGACAATACTGGAGCCAGCTCTCCAGGTGACCAGAATTGACTTGCATCACAGCTGAGTAAGTAGTTAACTGTAAAAAATATTCAGAGGGGAAGTTTGAAAAATTCAGCAGGTCAAACTGTTTCATTTGAATATGACTATCAATTTATCACTGAAATATTAGAAGTAAGCATGTACCTCAAAGTAAAAATTAAATAAATGAAAGGTAAGTTGAGTAATTCAGTGGCTTACACTTTTGATATCAATTTCTGTTTTCCATTTTGAAATATAAATCAATTGATCACAGAAAAATTGGAAGTAATTAAGTGTGTACCTTAGTGTAAAAATTACATAAGAGGCAAAGTTTGACTAATTTAATAAATCACACTGATATCAATTTCTATTTTTCATTTTTATATCAAACTCAATTTATCACTAAAATATTAGAAGAAAGCCTGCACCTTTATGTAAAAATTATCTTAAAGTTAAGTTTGAGTAATTCAGTGGATCACACTGTTTGATATCAATTTCTGTTCTTTTTCAATTTGATATAAAATCAATTTACCACTGAAATATTGGAAGTATACATGTACCTTATTCAAAACAGGCTTTGAAGACAATACATTGAATAATCCTTTGATTGACACATTCTGAAATGAACAATTCAAAACTTTAATTAGCTCTGTTTTTAATCTTATATGCCTATTGAAAATCAATATCTGACAAATATGATCTGTTTTTATTGAAAGTTTACAAAGACAAATATCAAATCAATGAAAACTTTGCTAATTAGGGAAAATTCAAAATTGACAAATGACAATTATATAAATGTATTTGTAAATCTAACACACATTAGTCAATGAATCCAGCCCAAGATACTGATCTTGTACATGTATTTGTTTATCTTTTATGTTTATTTTTAATAATATTTGAACACTAACCTGTGATGTAGTTTTCTGCATACATCTGTGGGCTGGAGTACGCCGGTCATCTAAGAAAAGGGGGTTTTCCCAGTGGTCATAATTTGTCTCCAGAATGTACCAACCATTGGCTTTCTTCATCTCCCATACATCAATGGCTGCCTCACGAGATCTGGTGATTACACAGCCCTACAGAAAAATTTATCATGTTTGATAGTGATTAATCATGTACTAACTTTTTTCTTGGGGAGGGGGGTATGTGATCCCCCCTTTCAATATCGTTCAATACATATATTTTTGTTTTTTATAAGCCTTCATCATTTTTTAAGAAACACCATGATTTAAACCTGCAGTTTTAATTTTTTGAATTTTGAGTAAAATTTAATTCAAGTATATGTCAGGAAGTTTTCTGTTAATCAAAGCACCAAAGTGCTTCAATTTCAAAACATTAACTGAAATCATTGTATACTGTATGGTTTAACAGTGCATTTTATTTGGTAACTTTCATCAGTTTGATACACATGTAGATTAAATAATATTTCTCCCTCTCCAAATTACATTTTTATATTTTGTTGAACACAAAAACCAACAGACCTCTCCCGACTTGTTGCCTCCCACTATGAAGTAGGCTGGGGCCAGCATCTCTGTCTTAGACAGCATGCCTACTGCCTCCTGGTAAGAACCAGCATTTAGCATTGTCTCTCTGGTCAAAAATCCCATCCATTTCCCTGTTCTGATTCCCAGAATCCATTCAATGACTCCTACAGGTAAATAAAGAAGTGTATGAATTTTTTTTTTTTTTTGAAGATTGTCAATTTTCAGGTATACAGTAGTTGTACTTTTATATGTAGTTGTACATTTACTTCACTGCATCACCATCAAACTACTTTATTGATAGATAATTCTTTAAATAATTATAATAAAATATCTTTCAATATGCATGATAATCATACCAATATATCCACCATCCAGACCAAATCTCTCATTCATAGTCAATGTAAAAATTCCCTGAAATAACACAAGAAAGAAGTCTGTTATACCATGACTATAACACAAATACATGTATATGGTACATGTACTAGACAGGTACGAAGACGTAAGAAGCATTTTAAGATGGAGGTGACAAAGTATAGTTGTCCATCACAAATTGAAAGATGGAAGAGCTAGATATGCTGATGTATCCTTTTATCAGTAATGAATACTAACTGGCTTGATGGCTGTAAGGATTCCAATGTATCCTGCAAAGTTAACAGACTTGAAGACAGTTTTTCCTCCTCTTTGGAAGTCCAGATTGACGATCGTAGGTCGCAGGGTATCTGTTATTTCCCAAGTTTTTGTTCTGGTGTCCCAACTACAACAAAAACCTTATATCAGTCCTAATTTCTTTCCAAAATCTTACTTATTGGTCTTAAATGCTCACACTGTGCAATCATCTTGCTCGATATACTGGATAAAAATACTGCTGTGTTTCCTCTTTGTAGCTTAATGTCTCTCAGATATTGCACAACTAAAATATATTTGCATAGTTATCCCCTTTCTCTCTTTGTCCTCGGAAAATACCTGAATGAATACTTTCTTGAATTAAATTCTTCTCTATTAAATTTAAAATCAAAAATGTGTAAAAAGGATATTTTCAAAACCTTGTGGTAAGCCAAGGGATATAACTCACTCAAAGTTGTGCAGCAATCACAACTTCTCCGGCCTTTCCGACTATAGCGGAAAAACGACCTTGAATGTATATGGTAGACGCCATGACAACCCTCCCTTTTCATGATCTTTGAAATAAATGCATGGAAACCTTTTATCTGTGGAATATGGAGTTTAACTTTATTCAATGTAATGATATAACCTAAAATATATGATAGAAGGGACTTCTAACTCTGTCTATCCTATATTTGAATAAACAGGAAATGTATAAATTTTTAACATCTGGTGATGTTAATACATTCGAGGTTGTTTTTCCGACCTCTGAAAAGAAATGATTCAAAAGGCATATAAGTACAAGCTTTATAATAATATGAACATTAGCTATTATAGATTTTAATAGTGATGCTTAAAATAAAATCAAAAGTCATAATTATTAATTAAGCATATATCACTTCTAAATCTGCAGTACATGTAAAAAAAAACTGCTAGGTGTATATTGTATCTTTCATTCTTCCTCTTACCCCAGGAACAGCCCAAAGTCAAGATTTCTTGCATGGAATAGTTTTCCTGAAAAATAAAAATATGAAAATAATCAAAATGTCATCTCCATTAAAAATTAAGTAATGGGAAAAAACAGAATTTCTCTGCATTCAGCTGGCTCAAGAACAAAATTTAGATGCTAGAATATTCACATTGAATCAAGATTTTTTTTTAAATTGTCTTTATCTGTTCTTTTTACAGAATATTTTTAACAGTTAATTCAAATTAACAAGAGGCCCACGGTCACCTGAGGGTCATGTAACAACTTTTAACAATTGAATTTATTTCGTGTTTTAAACCAGAGGCCATGAAATTCATAATTTTGAAAGAGGCACTATTGCTTATCATAATTATACACTTACCATGCTTACTCTAGTTACTTAATACCCAGACGTAGATCAGAGTAACAAAGAGAAAATGCTCTTCCACTTTATAACCAGTTATGCACCTACACACAGAAAAAATTTTGGAAATTTTATCATAAATTTTATTTCATCATAAATGGTTGATTAATACCAAAAAGCAGATTTCAAAGCATTAATTTATTTTCAGACTATGTACCCCCCCCTATACCCCTGACCCAGGGGGCATGAAATTAACTGTTTTGCTAGATACACCTTTTTTCATCAAAAATATATATATATACTTAGATCATTGGCATAATCTAATACCCTGGAGCAAAGGAAAATATTTCCAAAGAATTAATGCATTTTCACTATATAATCAAAAGTCCCCCCCCCCCCCCAAAAAAAAAAAGCAAATGGCAAAACCCCTGACACAGGGGACATAAAAAATCACAAATTTGGTTGAGGTGCCATTCTTGCTCATCATAACTATGTACTTTATGTTGTTTATTTAATACCCTGAAGCAGAGAACATTTTCAAAGAATAAATGCATTTTCACAATATAACCAATAGAGCCCAGCCTTAACCCCAAAACCCCTGTCCCAGGGGCCATAAAATTCAAAATTTTGAAAGAGGCACTCTTGCTCATCATAACTATGTACTTAGTTTATATTATACCCAGAAGCAGAGAGGAAGATTTTCAAAGCATAAGTGCATTTTCACTGTATAATCAATAGAGCCCCACCCTAACACCAGAACCCCTGACTTTGGGGCCTTAAAATTCAAAATTTTGAAAGAGGCACTCTTAATCATCATAACAATATACTTAGTTAGTTTATTTAATACACAGGAATAGAGAAGAAGATTTTCAAAGAGTTAATGCCTTTTCACTAATGCCCCACCCTAGCACCAGAACCCCTGACCCTGGGGCCATGTTCACAATTTTGCATTTGTTCAAACTTTACAAGTTTATTTAATACCCAATTTTCAAAGAATTAATGCATTTTCACTAAAAATGTTAGCACCAAACCCCTGACCCTGGGGCCATAAAATTCACAAATCTGAAAAAGGCACTCTTGCTCATCATAACTATGTACTTAGATTGTTAATTTGATATCCAGGAGCAGAGAAGAAGAAAAGAATTAATGCAAATATTATCAATAGAAATTTGGGGCCATGAATTTTTTGGTAGAGGACTCAATGCTGATTTCATACCAACAGTTTGTCTGCTTGATGTCCAGGAGTAAGAAGAAAATTTTTAAAGATTGCACTATTTTTAGTGGTTTTGGCCCCACCCCCAAGGCCCCAGGGGGACAGGGACCATGAAATTCACAATTTTTGTTCCCCTTCACCCATAGATGCTGTATGCCAAAATTGGTTAAAATTGGTTCAGTGGTTTCAGAGAAGAAGCTGAAAATGTTCAAATGTTAACACACGACGCACGACACACGACGACGGACGAAAACGGATAGCAATAGGTCACCTGTGTTTACTCAGGTGACCTAAAAATGTCACTCTAGAATTTAGAAGAAGATAGATCAGAAAATGGCTAACCAGATGGGTCCTCTGCCACAATGGATGTACACACAGAAAACAATTCATAAAATATGTTGTACAGCACAATTTCTCCTGAAAAATAAAATGAAATCAATAAATGTATAAACACAGTCTAATTAAAATTAGATGCTAGATCCGCTCGCACACTCGCTACATCTAACATCTAATTTAATAGATTGTTATAAACATAAACTCATTTCAGAGCCAATCTGGAGCATTCAATTTTATGTACCGGACCGGTAGATACAAACCTAGTGGTATCCCTGTAGCATCTGCCAAACCTCTCATCTCATCAGCATAAGGTTGTGGTAGTGTATCATCTAATTTACTCTGAGGAAAATTTCAAAATTAAAAATAAAATCCTGTTGGACAACTTCAAATTTCTGCTTTAGCAGTACCATCTTTAAAAATAAAAATCATTGTAACTAAAACTTACCCCTTCTTTGATTAGATAATTAATGACTTTTCCAGTGGCATTCTCACTCCATGCTTTGGCAAAGTCAACAAATGTGTCCACAAGCTTCTTGATCTAAAACCATGCAATGAAAGCAATGTGCATCACAACCTTTTTTTTTTAAATTGAAGGTAGTATTTACAAAGTGATAGTGCATGGATATGAGATATTCAACAAATTTACTGCAAATATCTTTCTATATATAAATTAAACACACAAAAATTCAGTAGCAGTTTATAATGATACACTTCTAGGAGTAATTCATAAACCACTGTAAATCAAAATTCAAATCTAGAGATATGCAGTTTACAGGCCATCATCATTTTAATACTTATGCCAGATAGGTATATACCATAGAATTGACTGCAATACAAGACTATACATATATATCAAGATGGACAAGTATGTGACATACATGTAAATTTTATATAGATACTTAAATCCTTCTTAAGAAAATATATATCTTACATTACTTGTATATGTACTTATGGTATTAACTAATGAGTAGATTTTAACCCCCTCCCACCCTCATCCACCCTATTAAGGAGACAATTAAAAGATCTGATACCTCCACTTTTTTATCTTGACCAACTTGAGTCCATCTTTGCTTTGCTGGTAAGTCTAAGTTTATGGTATACCATGAAACTGCATGACTGCAAGATATAAATATATATTTCACATACTTCAAATGAATAATAGCATTTAAGGTCCACTTAGTATCTAATTATTCTAAGGGATTATAAATCCAGTTCTGCTGAAATTGTATATAATTATTCAAAAATAAAAATTGTTATAAAATGTTTTTTTTAATTTTTTTTTTTTGTATTAAATCATTGCACTTCATTTTTTGCTCCTAAACACACACTATCATTCTTAGTGATTATAAACAATATATCAAATTAAAGAAAAAAGAAATGATTGGAAAAGTCCACTCTTTGTGGTCACAAAAAATTCAAAATATAAATATTTATAATGAACACTATAATTTCAAATAGGTTATCATAACCTACATACATGTATCAAGTTTACTTTGTTGATTTTGAAATCTGATAAGTTTGATTTTGAAAGTGGCTATGTAAGCAGAGACAAAATTGATAACTAAACAATGCACAATTATCACACAACATTTACTTTAGATAAAATTGTCTGTTTATGAATATGTATAGACTGTGAATATAGGAAGCCTTTGAATATAGGAAAAAAATATAAACTTACGTCTTATTTGGAGGATATGCATTGTAAATACACGTTTCATTAAACTGAAAAAAGGGTAAAATATATGTCAAGAGTCGAAAAAGTATACATTTCAAAATGATATCCATACAATAATGTTTATGATTATCTAATTCAAGTTTCAATACAATACTGCAATAGAAGTAATAATTATCTACCGGTGGAAATTGACAAGTTCCAAAACAAAATAAAACTGAAAGGATAAACACGACTGGAAACCACATTGTTAACCCTTCCCCTTTGATGTTGAACAATGATTAAATGAATCACAAAAACAAAAACTCGTGACTTTAGACAAAGTGAAAGTAGATTATACACAAAAATACTGAAATGTGAAAATAAAAAATTCGGGTTAAAACGGAAAAAAGAAATATTGAAATAAAAAAGCTGGGCATTTAAAAAAATGCAAAGATATAATTTAATATCATGTTTGATAATGTTAAGTAATATAATAGTCATAAAGAATGATTAAGATATAAATTTAATTTTTATTAAACTTTTTTTCACATGAATCATTGTACGTTAAATCAAGAGTTACCGTTCTTGAGATGCACACATCTTTGACAGCTGCCGACACGTGAACAAGGAAGGAAGATGTCACAGGTATGTGGAATATTTTGTACCTGTTTTAAATTTTTGTGTAAATGTCCTTTGATCAATGTGTAAATCAGTTTTAATTTATTGAATTGACATATTTCAGACATACGAGTTTGAGATGGCGATGACTTGTGAGGGATGTGCAGGGGCCGCGAAAAGAGTGCTAGGAAAGCTAGGTGGTAAGTGAATTTTAATATTGAGTTAGGCGTTGCGGTTTTTTATCAGGAATAAAATTAAAAGAGTTTAACCTTGATCTAAAATTATTTTGCCATTATTCTTAGTTCAGAAACAAAAAGTATTTTTTTTTTTGGATTTAAAAAAAAATCAATTAATTAGGTTAGAGATAATTAATTGACTACCTTATAACTTGTACTGACATACAATACTCAGGTGTACTTATAGTTATACCTACATGTACTCTTCTTAAAACTGTTACAACGTTTGGATAACATTAAACATATATATACAAATGGTCAGAAAATATTTCACAAAACAATTACAATTGTATTCAGGTATACACCTTTACATTGTACACTTGCTTTTTTTCAAACACAATGAATCAATGTAAACAAAATGATAGATCCGGGACCGCGTAGGTATGTTATTTACACAAATTTATTTTATGTATAAACCCAACCCATCCTGTTTAAGCATTGAGTAAAGGCATTCACAGACACAATCACTGTTCGTTGAATTTTAAGTATACCATATTTATTACTCAGATACACGTAAAGAAATAAAGTTTTTAATTATATTTCACCAACAAAATCATTGTAAATGTGTGAACTGAGTGCTTTGTGGTAAAATTTTTGTTCAAATGAGATGAATATAATACGAGAACAATGTTAACAACTGTGAACAATTATCTATATATGCAATAATTCATTGTGTTTTTAATAAAAAAAAATTCTAGTATAAATGTCTTGATCATATCCCTTTCCATAATTTACAAGATAAATTGTATGTTAAACATCATTTCAACTTTTCATCAAAATAACAAAAGAAGTCTATTTTTCTGTTGACCTCATTTTTCATTAACACTGTAAAGATTTGATTATTGCAATCAAGTATATGTTTCCTGTATAATTATAAAGGAAACATAATAAATGATTGAGTCTCTATTCTTGTCCCAAATTTGATCCCACCTCCCCCTCGACTGTCTTTTAAAGTTATATAGGCCTATGACATATTTTTGATAAGATCAGAATAACTAAAATTAAAAAGATTTTTCTAATTGTTTTGTTACTTTATATAAAAATAAGACTTTCCTGTAAATTACACAATTTAAATCAATCGTGTTTTATAGATATCTGAGATTTAAAACAATAACCAATTTATTTCCAACTTGGATAAAAATATCAGACAAGGTTTAAAGTCAATTTAACATATAGAAACGTGGGGATATTTAAGTTTAAAATCAGTGAAAAATTAAATTTGAATGTTGTTAACAAAAATCATCTTAATCTACACTTAATCTCATAGCTCACTAGATACGCCATATATAGCTTTAAAAGTTTAACTGGTATTAAACCCTTGCAATACTGTTTCAATTGTTTTTTTGGTTACATTCAATGAAAATTAAAATAGAAACATTTTATTAGATAAAGTGACTAATGTGGAGACCAACGTAGAGACTAAGAAGGTCAAGGTGACATCATCACTGTCCTCTGATGAGTTGTTAGAACAGCTTAAGAAAACAGGAAAAGAGACCAAATTCCTGGGAACAGTGTAGTCAGCTTCATCATTGAAATGGTGGGTATTCAAAAGTGAAGGTTAGGACAATCAGAGTGTTCACAAACAAAGCTAAGGCTAATGTAAAATGATTAAAATCATTGGTTAAAATTTATTATATGAAGTAATGAAGTAGTGAATGATACTTAAATTATTAAATTCAATAAGCTGGATCCAGATCCCAGTAAGCTGGATATAAACCTCAGTAATCCAGATAGTAAGCTGGATATATACACTGTAAGCTGGATTTAAATCCTCAGTAAGCTGGATATAAACCTCAATAAGCTGGTTATGAACCCCAGTAAGCTGGTTATGAACCTCGGTAAGCTGGATATGAACTTCAGTAAGCCAGATAGTAAATTGAATATTAACCTCAATAAGCTTTATATAAACCCCAGTAAGCTGGATATGAACCTTAGTAAGCAAGATATGAACTTCGTTAAGCTGATAGTAAGCCAGATATTTACCCCAGTTAGCTGGATTTGAACCTCAGTAAGCTGGATAGTAAGCCTGATATAAACCTCAGTTAGCTGGATATAACACCTCAAATAAGTTAGATATAATACCTTAAGCTTGGGTTTTGTTTTCCTCCACAGATTTGACCAAGTTGGAGTGTAAATGGAGGCTAGACAGAGAAATTCATCTGCTGCATCTAATATCTTCATATTTAGGAGGAGGAAAAATAGTGATATCATCCTATCACTGCATCTCATATTTTATTTTAACCTACATGTATTGACTAGCTCTTTATGAGCATGGTAATTAGATATTGAATTAACATTATCTTCACTGATTAAAAAAAAAGTTATCATCAGAATAATGTGATGTTTATTTAAGACTTTAGATTTTTGAATTTTCCTAATCATGTTTTTTTAAAATTTATAATTTGGATTGATTTTTTAAATTATAATTGAGTGAAGAAGATTTTTATAAAATTATATTTTTGAAAAGAATCTGTCTTATTTCCGAGTTAATAAGTTTGCTTTGGTCATCTTGTGTAAGTATGCAGATTTATAACTGGTGTACTGTTAATGGATAGATGCTTCTTCATAATAAATCAGATATTATCAATTTCTACTTTTTGGGTCATTTTTAAGCTCATTTGAACATGCTGAATTGAGAGTTTTCATTTAGATCACATATAAATGGTTCTATTGTTTTTTTCTGACATGAGTTATTATAAATGCGTTTTTCTTGAAGTATATATTCACTTATTATAGCTGCAAATGTTCTTTTGATCTTAGCGAGATTCATAGCAACTAAAAACACCAAACCAAAGTTTTTAGTTTCTATGGATTTCACTGAGATTAATGTACCTTCAATGTTGTTTAAAATTTGTGTAGGGACAAAAGTTCCTAGCATTATGGTTTGTGTATAGAAATGTAATATCCTCCATTGTGCTCCTGGCTATCAGTATTTGACAAAGTAACTTGGAAAAAGATGAATTCATTTTGAAGTTATCAGCAACGATGTTAATCGGCACTGATTCCAAGATTCCGTTGCAGAGTTATATTATTATATTTATTAATTCACCTTTCTTTTTCACTAACTCATTTCATTTAATTAAGCAAAGCCCGTAAAGAATTAATTATCTCCCGTTTACAACAATTTACACCTGCCATTAATGTCATAGAATACCAAAACAGACTAGACAATGGTTCCTGATATGTATATTTATCATGAAAATATAAATTATAATATAAACCAAAATATGTTGTATGTTTAATAGAATATTAAATTAATGAAGCATATCAAATTAATTTCCATAGTGTTCACTCACTGACTTTGGGCACAACGTCAGCCCAGGAAAATGACGTGCATAGTCCGTATATGAACTTTTACTTTGCATTGCATAGATATTTCAAGGTCATCAGGATCAGTTCTCGTACCCGGCCCCCAATATGATAGAATGTTCTCTCAATGGACGTGAGTGTATTAAGAACTTTATATGAAAGTTATTTCCCACTACTCGTATATATATATATATATATATATATATATATATATATATATATATATATATATATATATATATATATATATATATATATACTGTTCACTTTTTATTCTCAATAATTACGCGTGATAGTGTGCTCGTGAAAATTTGTATTATAATAATTCCATTTATATACCGCAATAACCACAATTCGTGAAAATTTTGTCCCAATCAAGAGTCTACACGAAAATAGGTGTCTTATATTTATATATTTATAAGCTGTTGTAGACTTGTGGGATGCGACCGTTTCTGGTGATTTTAATCCGCCGATTTAGATGTCCGGGGTAAAACATGATACTTAAAGTCAACATATCGCAAGCTCTGTGAATGATACACTGACACTCTCAGCCAATACAATCTATAATAATTCTGAAGTTGACGGACTTTTTCAAACAAAATTTGTTAAGCCATTATTTTTACCCCGAATTATTTAATTTTATTTCCATTCGTCTTGTCTTTCCGACATATTTTCTATTTATCAATAAAAGTACGCATTATGACTACTTTAAAGTAGTCAATAACTGTCATAATGCATATTTTTATTGATAAATAGAAAAAAAAATGTTAGAAAGACAGTCCTATCATGGTAAAGAGCAGATGGGTGTGACTGATCAAAAGGGACGCTTACTCCTCCACCAGGCACCTGATCCCACCTCTGATATATTTCTTAGGTTTGTGTTGGCTTTGCTTCCAATTTGTATCGTTTCAATGGATCTTTGAACTTGATAACCATCGTTTGTTTCATTTATCTATAAAAATGTATGATCAAAGTATTTTATACGTGTATTATTCCACGTATTTAAGTTCTTTCCGAGGCTGTTGTCTCTTATTTACAGACTATGTTATTGTTTTACTTTCGTTTATTTCTGAAGAAAACCAATTGCTGTTCATCAGTCGATTGATTCTCCACATTTGTACAAATGGTTTTAAAAGGCATCTGTCTTATATAGATTTTTTTTAAGAAATTGAAACTTTCATCAGCGTAACGTTTGGGTAAATAAAACATTTTACATATATTTTTATACAGTCAAATGTAATTGTAATATTTACAGATACTTTTTACATGTTGTATAAAAAACAATAAACCGTTTTTAAAGGGCTTTCAGTCATAGCAGAACGAAAAACTTCCTTTTTTCAGTTGTTAACCTGTTATTAATGGTAAAAATAAAATGACGTCGCGCACGTTGTTATAATTATAGAACTGTAGTTCACACAAAGCTATGAAAGGGCACCTTTGAAGTCACTATAATTTTTTCACTCTATCTAAACTACTTGTACCAAATAAGATATTCAGGGTAGGACTGATTCCTATCATAAACAACAAACTCTCGATCTGAAAAAGTTCCACCATTGGCCACTACACTGTCATGTGACTCTTGATGAGTAGTACAAATATCCCTGCGGCAAATTTTACACGGGGGGCGTCTAAAACTTCCTCCAGTTCCCGTCAAAAACACATCCCCAAGACACATCCTAATCAGAAACATGGGATGTTCTCCTTTATTATTTGGTCCTGTAATACAAGGTAATATTTGTTTAGATTGTCCTCCAAGTTATCTTTTTATTCATTAGTTTAAGCAGAAAATTTAGTGAGGATGCAATTTAAAGCGAGAGTGTTAATAAATACTAGGTATTGTTAATATATTTTATTCCTACATTTTAGGTTACTCTTATCTTAATTTCAAGGCATCACAAAATCGCTGCAAGATTTCTCGCTAAAATTAAATGCCTTTTTTATAAAACTAAAAAACCGCTAAATTTTCGTATAACTAAAATTTTACTTATACGGTATTTAAAGAACTTTCCATTGTCGGAACCCACGGGTTTTCTCTCCGTTATACTACGTTGAATGAAGTGTAACGGGGAGAAAACGCGTGGATTCATTCCGACGTTGCCAAATACCTGAATATCCATGGGACTTTGATGCCACCTCTGCTCCATAGACGCCACTCCCGAGTCTTCCATTAGCAGCCAATCTACTGTCTAATCCTTGTGAACATATCACGTCTACAAACGGGGCTTTTGTAGCATGGAAAAAGTAATAATCGTTAATTTCTGGGTAGGTATGTCGGATCAAAGACGCGTCCAATTTCTTCATTACTCTAACAGGGCCTTGTGAACTGGGTAATTTTTCAAGTGCAACAAAGTTTCCTTCAACACTTGCTTTCCGAAATAATCTTTGGCATTCATCAGCATATTTTTGAAAAAGACCCACATTTTCTACTCTTTTTATGCTTATGATTCTTGCTCCGCCCAATGTGCTTTTCAGAGCAGCGCTTATTGAATTGAAAGCCAATTGGTCTACATTTTCTAAAGAGTGAGTATTTGTTTTGACATCCAAATTCCAGTCTTTTAATTTTTTTGTACTTGTGTATTTTGTCCAATATTTCGGTGTTCTCAGGTCCTCTCTGTACTTCCATGCAAACCAAGCTTTAGTCCCACGCTGAGGTTCCGTGTATTGCGAATACTGTCCGCTCGGTACTGGGTGACCAGCAGCGCTCACTAAAGGGAAATACACCATAAACTTCTGACCAAAGGTAAATTTTAATACTTTTATCGAGAGCACATCTATTAAACCATTTCATAGAATTGCTATGATTTCAGAAACTTTATTAGAATGAATCTTTTTTTTTCCAAATCTACCTTTTCTTCCAGGATTAGTCAATTCATCTTTATACGCCTGCAAAGATGTAAAAATTGGAAAGTTGCAAATCTTAGAAAAACAATTTGACACTCAAAATATGAGACTGAAAAACTATATCGCACCTTTTCTAACTGCTTTAAGTCCGGACTTCCGCCATACAATACGATTCGTACTTCAGAAATGCTATATTTGGCTGAAAACTTTCGAATTGCCGCCACAATGCAAGCAGCAGCTACGTCTAATGGGAACTTTAGTTGTCCCGTTCCAAGTGCTGGGAACGCTATGGACTTGTGTCCACGAGAATTGGCCGTTTTCAGACACTGATAGACAAAGCCCTCCAATATCTGAAAATATCATATGGTTCAATTCCATTAAAAACCTTGCACAATCAATAATAAAAAATGCTCCCTTAGAGACAGTACATGTACTTACAATATCAGGTTGGACGGCTTTGCCATGAGCTTTATCATACCATGACAATAAGGCACCGTGAAAAACTTCGGAGCACTTTAAATTGTAACCCTTGGTAACAACAACAGACCCTAAAGCAAGCTGATTGGGACAATTATGATGAAGCTCTTTTACGAGGTTCGGTCCGGCAGCAGCCACCAGGGCGGTGGAAGAGGCATTGTTCATGTTGAGGTCAGTTCCAACGGCATTGACCACTGCACTCACCTGGTAATATATCTCTTGCAGTTAGAAAATACTGCCCAACATTTAATTTAAGTTCTTTTAAATTATCATAGTTTTACACACAGGGCCTGTAACATGATACATGTATACACATGTACATGTATTTGATTTAACGCAATCACTTTATATACAAAAATACCTTTTTGAGTATAAACTGAAGTGATGCGTAAAATTAAATATGTAGTACGTATGGTACCGGCCCCTGTGATATTATTAGTTATCCAGGTTCAATCAAGGGTGTACGGGGATTTACCCCGGGTTGTATTCCATACACCCTGAGGCCGCATTGTATTCCATACACCCTGAGGCCGCAGGCCGAAGGGTGTATGGAATACAACCCGGGGTAAATCCCCGTACACCCTTGATTGAACCTGGATAACGAATTTATTTCCTTTGTATCCATAAAAATGCTTTGTAAACATACAGAGTGTATCTCAATCTATCGATAAGATATTTATCATAGAGAATGTATGCATTGTGACGTCTCGTTTTATTTACACCCGGCTCAAGTCGGGTGCACGGATATTTACACCCGACTTTGTAACCAATCAAAGCGTGTTACAAGCTAGATAGGAAATAATACAGTGTATGATCTTACATATAATTTGTTGAAAAGCTTACAACATTGCAAACCTCTTCTATATTTGAAATTAAACACATGATACTATTTTTAAATTGAAAAAGGCTTACATTTTGATCAGGCAGACTTCCTACTATAACATTCACAGCAATTTTGCCTATATTTTTGCTAAACTTTGTACGTGACATTCCAGTGGAAGAAGGTGCCGGTGTTGCTTTGGAAGTCGAACCTGTGGGAATAAAGAAATATACCCTGGTTCATAAAAAATGAAGTATAAAAGTACCAGATGAATTTTTGACATGGACATACCTGAAGCACTTTTACCGATTCCAAGTTCATTTAACAGCTCCTATAAGAAGACATTAATTAAACAATATCACCGAGCCCGCTTTTTTATGAATTAAATATATATTAAAATTGGGAGAAGGAACAGAAATAACTTTGGCAATTTTTTTTTTTACAATTTGATTTTAAAAAAGAGAGATAACTTTACATACAGATTGGACTAATGAAGAATCTTTGCTTCCTTTAAATATCACAATGCTGACATCTGTAAGACTAGCTTGTGGGTGTTTACTGCTGAACTTTTGGATGCTCTGTACCATAACTTTGATAGCGGTTTTTGTGGGATATTCCAAAGCGCCAATGCCTAACGTTGGAAATGCTATCGACCTTATCGAGTTTAAATTCGCCGTTTCTAGACAACCGGTAACAAACTGTTCCAAACACTAGAAAAGATACCTTTTTTGTATTAGCCAATTACGAAAAAAGGTGTTTTGGCACCATGAGCACAGAATTGAAACTTTATTTTTCAATGAACAACAGAAAAATATGAAATCAGTGTATGAACACACCCCAGCAGGATCAGGAGTGGGTGTTCCCCATTTTGGCAAAGTGCCATGGAAGACATATTTGCATGACAAATTGTATCCATTTGTAATAGCCAATCCTCCAAAATTTATTCCCTTTGCGGCTACGTTGTTGAGTTCCGTCTGCAGTCCAGACCCTGCGTCATTTAGTAAAACCCGTGATAGAGCACCGGTGCTGAGGTTCAAGTCTTTTGGTGCGCAATGAGCTAAAACATCAGCCTAGAATAATACACATTTTTTTAATTTCAAATTTCCAATGAAATAATATTAAACACACATATTTAGTGACGCTTTTAGGCTCTAACAGTTTTATTCGTAAAATGCTGTCAAAGTTTTCATACTCATTAAAGGCATATGCAATGTGAAAATCAAAGTCAATGAAATGCATGTACTTACACTCTGCTTGTTTAAGGCACCAAGAACTACTTTCACATTTACAGTTCCAAGCCTAACACTATTCCCAGAATTACTGGAAACTTTGGAAGGACTGCCGCCATGTTTTTGATCTGAAAGAAAAAATAGGTCTATTTTTCTAAAGATTTATTTCATTATTATATTACATGTAGGAAAAGTAAATTGGAATCACAGACTGTCAACTTACATTTGTTTGATGTTGATGAGGAATACTTAACTGCTGCATTTAAGAAGTCCTTTAAAATAAATGTTCATAAATTCAAAGGCAACCTTTATAATGTTTTTTTTTTTTTTACAACATTTGGATTTAACGAGGTCCAATCTACTTGATCTGCGATACGTTTTAACGCAGCGTCAACCCAGGCACGTCACACAAGCTCCAGACAGCTCAGTATTACGTTACGCTACAACTCCATATGATATTCGTAGGGCACGAAAGTAGTCCCGGAGAATCGACAGTGTATGGAGTTTGGTCACAGTACCCTTGACTGCCGTCACAATTAAAAACAATAACGTCACAATTAAAATGACGTCAAATTGCGCTAAAATGTTTCGCTGATCTTGCATACCTGGTAGCTCTGTATACTGTGCATGTTGAAAGCTGGCTCATTCTGGCATTTCTATTATTTACATTACGGTTTTTTTCTTTAAATTAATAATCACTTGTAGAACATAATTTATTTTGAGGTATCAATTTCTAGGTACAGGATCATTAATTTTATCTTGTTTTATTTCAATTAGTGAGTTAGAAAAAACAAACACTGCAACCAAATTGATTTTAGTCTTTCTCCTTGAACATGTTGAAGAGTTTATACACATCACTTTCATCATTTATATTTTTTTTATTTGTCAATTACTTTGTTTTTATGGGAGTTTAGTATGTAATTGTGTATAAAAACACGAAAAATGGTCCATATCTTGAAAGTGCCCCCATTTAACTACAATGAAGGCAAGGTAACAAAATTTCACTCTAATTTTCCTTGGCATAATACATACAAATTTATTTCCAAGAATTGAATCTTTTTATCAAATCGTTTTCGTAATTTCCAACTAGATTGGGCCTCGTTAATAATGTTTTTTTTACCCTTTGACCAGGAATGGGAAAAGAAATATTTATACAAGGAATACATGTCCAATAAGTGTCAAAATTTCCTTCTTACGAAAACAAAACAATACATTTTAACTGTACTTGTTTAAATTCTGGATCACAGTCTGTGGTGAGGATAAATTCATTTTTATTGTTAATTTTAGATCATTTTAATCTTTCACTTTACATTTCCTTGTTTGGCAAAAACAGCAATGCAATATATTGTTTTTACGTAAATTTTCAAACATCCATGTTAAATCTGAATTTGGATTTCTTGTAACTAGGGCATGAGAATTAATACAGGAAGCGTTTAAGAAACTCACGATTTGTTAATTATATTATTAATCAATCCAAGCATATTATAGATCCATATTACATGTATAATCAAAATTCAAAGGACAAGAAACTTCATCAACTTTTAAGAAAGAACAATTTAATGCAATAAAAGACTTTTTTTTAAATCAAATGCAGCCTTGCAATTAAAAAAGAATTTGTTGCTGACCAGGATATGGTTAAGACAATCATATTTATTCAATTTTTGAAAGTAATAGCCTGGTATGATTTTTAATGAACAATTTACATTTACCTTATGGTATCATTCTGTAAAGCATCATAAGTAGTAAATTGTTTATACCTGGAAAGTGCTGCTTTCTTGTGAGTATATAACAATGGCCACAGATGTTATTGATCGAGAAGTACAATCTTCAATACATTCCAACATAATTTCAGCAACTCTGGGTGAGGGGTAAGACAGGTACCCGGTCCCAATTGGTGGGAAGGCGATGGATCTGTAACCGTCAGCATCAGCCTTATCCAGACACTCTGTCACCAAGTCTGCTAGAATCTGTGAACAAGGACATATCTTCCTTAAATCGGACATAAGGTAACATTCCATTTATTTACGTCATAAAATATAGAGATGAAGAATAGTCTTCATGCTCAAAACTCGTATAGAAAGCACTAAAACTGCCTTTTGGCTGATTTACTAGTACTCAGCCCTAACCCCTGAAATCCTGAACTTGAAAGCTTCTTTTAAATTAATACATTTGTAAAACTTATACCTTTTCGTCTTTTTTGGATGAATATTTTGTCAGAACTCCATGATAGATAGCCTTACAGGTAAGATTTCCTCCTGTTGTGACGGCTATTTCCCCTGGGGATAACTTCTTCGGATATTTCTGAATGCATTCTCTCTGAATGCCCTTCCCAGCTGCAGATAGGAGAGAACTGGATGCTCTCCCTTGTCTCAGATCAAGACTAGGATTTGCACTGTGAACTATTACGTCAACCTAAAAGAAAAAAATTAAGACTATTTTCAACAATAATATAGTTTTGTACAGTTATTTTTCAAACAATAAGAGTATGTAGGTTTTTTGCATCAATCCTCTGGCATACTCATGGTACAGAGAATTACCACTACCTACATTGCAAATCTAAATAAGAATACTTATGAAATGAAACAATAAAACATCTAATGAATGAATAGGTACCGAACGACAAGTATTCTTGGGGAAAGAATGTCATATAAATTTCCATTATCACTTGAGAGATTTTAGCATGCTTTCATTTCATTTTTTAAATTTTTAAGGATTCAATCTTTTTTTCATAGTGTTACCTTTTGTCTGGTAATATCTCCTCCAACAATATTGACTGTAATATTACCGATCTGGAAACCCGATTTGACTTGAAAACTTGATCCTGGGGAACTGTGCTTGGGAAAATAGGTGGCCCCTTCTAACTCGTCGGAATCCTCAGTTGATTCTACCGAGAGAATATTTAAGTTTATCACACAGAAAAAGAAGAAAGCAGCACTCATATTACCTTATAAATATATCAAGACAGGTCTTGGCATCAATATGAAGAAGTTGAAACTTATAGCATTCATTTGAATTTTTAAAAAAAAAATAAAATTCTTCCAGAAATTTAATTTAAAGCGACGAATCTGTTTTCTTACTCACCCTCTTCGTCAGATTCTGAGGTTTCCGACGATTCCGGCGATGAAGAATCGGAATCATCTAATAAACTGCGACCTCTGTATCCAGCCATTCTAACGTGTTCAGTTTGTCGGATAATTGCAGCAGTTTGATATCACGATAGGATACAATTGCATATTTTATAATCTTTTATATTTTAGGAATTTTTATAGATCTCTTGCATCCTTCCTCATAGATTTTGCTATTTTTGTACAATACTGGTTTTCTTCCTCGAGAGAATCTCATGATCCAGGAAGTTGTCTCATGCATTGAAGAGATTGACTGATATAAATGTATTTTAATTTAATTATTGATATTAAAATATTTTAATTATGATATATACTATTTTACGACTTAGTTCTATTATCGAAGCAGCCAATTTAAAAGTATACAGCAAAAATAAAGTTGTATGCAAAAAATCTATAAAAATGATGTATCCGGTAATTGATTTTTAGGCCCTTTTTTACAATTAGTTTGTCCTGAACTGAGCGAATTTGAAAATGTAAATTCTAATGTTTTACAGTTTTATGTTTTATTTATATTTTTTGTTTTGCATAAAGTTTATTCAAAAAAAGTATTGGAATGAACTACCGGTAAATTGAACAAGGAATTGCACTTTCGGTGTCTTTGTGAGTGAGATGCCATTTTTTATGACACATTGTCTCAAATATGGCCCTAATATATGTCGAAAATATCACTGAAGGTTTTTTCCATTATTTTCAAAACATGACAAATATATTGCACACGGTGGCACATGCGTGAAAGCTGGTTCTCAATATAAGGCAGGGGATGCTCACTTCTCCATGGCAGCTGATCCAACATTGGATGTTTTAGTAGTCCGTGTTTGCTCTGTTTTGATTTGTTTGAATGAACGTTTGAGCTTGAATACTGTTCGTGATCTCCATATATTTTTTGCAAGTGAGAGATAAGAAAGAAATGTGTTTCACCTATGTAATCAGATTTTTAAATCATCATACAAAACATTGTTATATCAAGTACATATCCTTTGTATTTTGGGGTTGGCTTTTTAGCTCACTCAGTTCAAGTAAGTTTGCCGTTTTCCTAATCATCTGTTGTAAAACATTTATCCTGAACAGAGTGAATTTGAAAATGTAAATTCTAGTGAAAATTCAAAATTAACACTTTTATGTTTTGTTTATATTTTTTTGCTGATAGATGTCAGCAAATTATAGAGAGCACAAACTGGTGCAAGTGGAAAAAGTAATGGAATGGACCACGTATAAATTGCAAAAATTAGAAGCAAAGAATTATAATAATATTTGGCTAATATCGTTACTTTTCATGACAAAAATAAAAACAGAAATATTTTGTAGAAATATTTAATAATTTTCATGACAAACAAACACTTTTCTCGCAATTTAATTGCCTATCTCATGTGAAGGTAAAGGTCACATTAACACCTTTATCCCCATCGTTCAGCTGATATACCAAATAAGAAATTCGGGATAAGACTGATTTCTATCGTAAACCACGAACTCCCGATCAGAAAAGGCTCCACCATTTGCCACCACACTGTCGTACATCTCATGATGGCTTGTACAGTAAGCACTGCTGCACTTTTTGCAAGGGGCCCTCCTAAAATTAGTGTCTATATTATTTGTCAAAAAGACATCACCGAGACACATTCTGACCAAGAACATGGGTCTTTCACCTTTGGTATTGGTTCCTATGAACAGAACAAAATATTGGGGTAGTGTTAAAATTCTCAATGTATTCTCTGAAAGTCAGCATGACTTTAATTCTGCTAAATTCTTTGTTTTCCTTGTAACAAACGTTACATTCTGAATCACCAATACTAGAATATTCATTTAATACATGTACATGTAATCCAATTTTCAGATCTTTTAAATACCGGTTATATTGTTCAATAGAACTTTAAAAAACGCTGATTAAATGAAAACATAAAGATTCTAACCTCTACATAGAAGCTCGGGCTTGTTGTAATAAAGATAGCGTGTAATGTACCTGTGTATCCGTGAGACTTTGAAGCTTCCTCTGCCCCATAGACTCCCACACCTAGTTTTCCTCCCCCTAGTCTACTATCCAGTCCCTGTTCACAGATCAAATTAACAGCATTGGGTTTTGTACCATGGAAAAAGAAATACTCATTTATTTCTGGATAAGTTTGCTTCGTTAAGGATTGGTCAAGATACTTCATCACCTTCACCGGGCCCAGTGAGTTCTTTAATTTATGCAAAGAAGTAAAATTCCCTGCCATACTAGCTTTGCGAAATAATCGTTGACATTCATCGCCGTATTTTTGGAACAAACCAACATTTTCAAGCCTTTGTATACTAACAATCTTTTTTACGGATACAGATTTTCGAAGGGCGTTGGTTATGGAACTTTTAGTAGCTTGATCCACATTTTCAAAAGAGCTACCTCCCATATTCCAATGTTTTAGTTTTTTGGTGTCGGTGTATTTTGTCCAATATTTTGGTGTTCTGAGATCTTCCCTGTACTTCCATGCCAACCAAGCCTCTGTGCCTCGTTTTGGTTCGCTGTATTGCGGAAAATGTTCGACAGGAGCTGAGTGGCCTGCTTTACTCACTAAAGGATGCAATTTTGAGAATCAAAGTAAATGCAATACATTGTAATTTTTATTAACAAACATAAACACAATTCTTCGCACGAACAAGATAACGGTAAATGCACTTATTTTCAAGGGGTAATTTTTTTTTTATATTCGAGAAATTGATATTGATTTTATTGGTAATTTGGCAGACATGGCACAATACTCAGTACGTAATTTGAAATGTTGACCTTTCATTGAGTGAGTGGATTTCAGAAAACAACTAGAATTAGCAATCAATCATTTAAGATTTTTTATAAGAGAATATATCGTGAAATCATATATTTTCATGGGGGCTAATTCGAGTTATGTCCAAGACACGATGTAGTTACGATATCGACACATTACTTTTTTATAGTTTACTATAATAGTTCTATATGCTCATGTGTTTATTACAATACTTTCTGTTTTAAGCATATTTCCTTACTGTTAATATCCTCGATATCGGCACGATATCGAATCATGGTTGCTCCAAGAATTGTGATTTCCATCCTTAATATGATGTTTTTAACAACTGTTACTTAAAAATGTCTTTATAAATCTTTCCCTGATGTGTCGATATCGTCGATATCGACGATATCGCTTCGATATCGAATCATGTTTGCTCAGCCCTTGGTAAGTACCTTTCCTGTTACTTTGAATGTGTTTATGTTTATTTACTTTACTTTTACGGAGATTTTACCTGCCGTCGATATCGTCGATATCGACGATATCGTATCGATATCGAATCATGATTGTTAAAAGCATATTACTTTACCAACCTTCACCATAATACAAAAACTTTATTTATACATCACTTCTGTGTTTAATAAGTTTACCTTACTGTCGATATCAAATCGATATCGTATTTTATCGAATCATGATTGTTGAAATATTTTCAAGATTTGTCACCCTAACCAAACACCTTACTCTAAATCTAATCTAAAACAATAACAACACTAAAATTTTCTTAATCATATTAATTTATTTTTATATTCATGCCAATAAGGAATCATTTTTGACTTCACTTGTGACTTTCTAAAATTCTGTAATACATTAATGTGAAATATATACTGATGGGAATTAATATCGATACGAAATCGTCATAATATTGTCGATATCGACGACATCGACATAATATAGAGTTACTTTAAGTACAGCACCAGGTATTTCCAATTAATAGTGCTGATTTCCATGATCTTTATGCATGATATCGACATAATATTGTCGATATCGACATCGAATTCGTTCTTGGACATGTATGAAATGATTAAGAAACATTGAAAAAAAAACTCTACCTTTTTTTCCAGGACTGGCCATTTCTTCCATATATGCCTACAGAGAGATTTTTTTTTCAAACCGCAGTTAGTATTTCTTCAGTTAAACATTGATAAAATCTTTATACTTGAAAGGGATAAAATGTGTTTGATGTTTTTGACTGAAAAAAGCAAGTCATGACAGTATCAGACCTTTTCAAGCTGTTCCAAGTCTGGGCTTCCGCCATACAATAAAATTCGTACTTCGAAGTTGTTGTATTTGTCAGAAAACTTTTGAATTCCTGCTACAGTACAAGCGGCAGCTACATCTGGTGGAAACTTTAACTGTTCCGTACCTAAAGCTGGGAAAGCGATGGAGTTGTGTCCACGTGATTTGGCCGTTTTCAGACATTTATAGACGAAATATTCCAGGACCTATAATTTATTTACAAAGAATCAACTCTTTGCAGAAATAATATTTTGATAGACAATTTTCAACAGGCACTTACAGTATCCGGTTCTTGTTTACTGCCAGTTGTTTTCGAGGTCCATGGAGATAAGGCACCATGAAATACTTCTTTACAACTTAAGTTGTAACCCTTAGTGACAGCAACAAATCCAAATGGAATTTTACCAAAACAAGTCTGACGAAGCTCCTGTACGAGATTAGGCCCAGCAGCAGACACTAGGGCGGAGGACACTGCGGAATCTATGCTGAGGTCCTTACCAATGCTATTGACTATAACATCCACCTGGTACAAATGTATTGGTTATCAAATTCTTGATTAAATATGATTCCTGTAAAATTCTCTCAATAGAATATCATCCATAGTGTTTGTAATTCTTGTTTCATTATTGCTCTTCAATATATACTGATGGGAATTAATAAGGGAAAGCATAGTTACTGTTACCTAATGTTTAGCATGTTTGATATGTTCGAGGCTCTATGTAGCTAAGTTACTTTAATTAAAAAAGAAACTTTGCGATTGAAAATTGATTTCCATGATCTTTATGCATGATTACGCCCTTTAACACTACAATAGACGACAATTGTCATTATACCCTTACTTTAAGAATCATGCCAAGAGCATACCTTTCTGAAAATCAGAAATGGCAGGCTGTCGGATGCATAAACGGGTGTCAATCAATAAACCAGATTTATAGACAATATAAGTCAAAATTTGTTATTTCACGTCTGTGGTACCGCCAGACAGGGAGCGTAAAAATTAGACCAGATCGTGGTTCCAAACGTAAAACAACAGCAAGTGATGACCGTGAGCTGGTGCTGCTTTCCCTACGTAAAAGATTCAAACCAGTATCAAAAATAAACTCTGAGTTGAGGGCAGGTAGAGGAGTAAACAAATAGTGATCGTACTGTCAGAAACAGACTCAAACGCAGTGGGCTTCAAGTCGCGTCATCCTTTTGTAGTAGTGAAGATGACGGCCTCTCAGGAAAGCATGGGTTACTCAACACCAAGCACGACAACTTCGACATTGGCGTTTTACCATGTTCAGCGAAGAATCTAGGTTTACATTGGACTTTGCAGACGGTCGAATTCGCGTTCGGCGACGCCTTCGTATACGTCATTATTAGTGTACCTTTAAACAAAATGATTCCTATCGAGGTGGATCGGTGATGAAGTGGTGCGACCACAGAACTGACTTGGTTCGACTTGATGGAAGAGTGACTGGTGCCCAATAACGAGATGAGATACGGAAATTGATACAGAGTGTCCCACGACGGTGTGAGGAAGTGATAAAAAAAGCAGGGAGGACACTCCAAATGCTAAAATTTTACTTGGGATGCACATACTTAATAAAATATCATCAAAATCCACAGACAATGAAGCAAATTTAACGATTAAATATACATGTAAGTGTTCCCTTCTTAATTTCCATCAGTATAAAATACTATAAATGTATCATTATATTTTTTTTGAATTGTAGCATTTCAAGATGATTGTGAAGTCTTACTTTTTGATCTTGAAGAGTTCCAACAGAAATATTCACATTAATTCCGTTTATATTATTATTAAAGTTTGCGAGGGGGATTACAGGCGATGGAACTTTAGGTTTATGCTTTGTATTTGAACTCAAGCCTGAAAAAAAATGGAAGCATGTTTTAAAATTTGAACAATTAAGACAAGTTGGGGCTTATTTTAGAATTATTACAAAAATACTTACTCTGTTTTGAGGTTGATTTTGAGGTTGAAAACGAACATTTCATAGCTGCGTTTACAAAGTCCTTTGAACGAAATATTCAGAGAATGATTATTTCCAGAAAGGGAATTGCAAGAGAAAAGTTTAAAGGTGTACAGTATCTTAAAAAATACGAGTTGGTCTTGTGATAAAATCCCAAGGAGCCTGAGAATATTTTATGGTAGATCATGCTTCAACCCGTATGTTTAAAATTATACATGTACCTTTTATAATACATTTGTTCTTTTATAACAAATGTTTAATATCTTGAGATATACTACTATAAGGAAAGAAGGTACGATTCTTTTTTCTTTGGAGGAGACTAAATATCATGTCACAGAATTTTTCTCCTTAGTATGAAATGCCCTCCATCTTTCCACCCAAAATTAAACTACTAGATTAATCATGGTAAAATTGTTCATTCTTCATTCATTTACCGTCTTTAAATAGTCTTATATGATGGAAACATTTGCAAATGTTACTTTTATTAATTTATCAATCATTAACATAATTTCGATTTAAAAAAATTGTCTTCATATAATTTTCTCAAAAGATTCGATGTATGAATGCATAATATGTAATGATTCTAATCAAGGGGGGAAAGAAATCTCGGAAATGCTTAGACAAACTTTAAAGAAAAAAAGATTAAGTGACTATTAGCTCTCTAATAAACTTTTTTTCTTTTTATATCCAGTAACCAGTATCAATGAAGAAAGATTTGCTAGTGTTTACCTGAAAACAACTACTTTCTTGTGAGTATGTAACAATGGACACAGATTTAACTGTTCTTGAATTACAATTTTCAATACATTCCAACATAATTTCAGCTACTCTTGATGGATTGTAAGACAGGTACCCGGTCCCAATTGGTGGGAAGGCGATGGACCTATAACCGTCAGCATCAGCCTGATCCAGACACTCTGTCACCAAGTCTGCTAAAATCTGAAGAAAATATTCTAAATCAAATGTCATATGAAAGAAAAAAAACATTTCCTTTGAGTCTAATATCGAGTTTCTTAAACTGTTTACATGATTTGCCTGAAAATTTCATTTGCTTAAGCTTTCATTGAAACCTTTAATAAATTTGAACAAAGTACAACATGCCCTATTTTTATCAAAAGAATTGCTTTGAAGAGTGGTTGTAATTTCAAATTTTCAATTCATTAAATGTTCATTTTATTCTTGCAAACACAACATTACAAATGTTCAAATCAAATACTTAATAATTATAGTTTGGTGCTTCTAAATCTATATATAAATGCTAATGAGAAATATATTTCAGATTTTATTACTATGGAATCATTGAAATTCTTTGGGTCCAATTTACGTGGATTGCCTAAATTTTACAGGTTCGTGGAGATTTGTGTTCACTCAGTCTTCCAATAAATATTAGACATTGATCGTTAGGATGTACTCTATTGCAATGAATTTCCACATTTTACCCCTTATCCTACTTAAAAATGGATAAAACTTGAACATTAATACCTGTTCGTCTTTTTTAGAGGAATACTTTGTCAGAACTCCGTGATAGATGGCCCTACAGGCGAGGTGTCCACCTGTTGTGACCGCTATTTCTCCTGGGTCTAACCTCCTAGTATAGGTCTGACGGCACTCCCTCTGAATGCCCCTCCCTGCCGCGGCTAGGATAGAACTAGAAGTTCTCCCCTGGCTCAGATCCAGACGAGAATTCGTAGTGTTAACTATTGCGTCAACCTTCATCGAAAAATTGAAAGTGAAGAAGACAAAGGTAAGTAATTTTGTAATGGTAGAAAATACTTCAGTTTAAAAAAGAAAAAAATATATCATGTCTTATTTTTACTCAAATGTTTTGAACATTTCCTGAAAATGTTTTTAAAATTTTATGTAAATGACAAAAAATATGTATACATATGCCACCATTACCAGAGCTAATATTTCACGCAGACCTGCTACTTCTTTAATCAAATTTATTAATGAAATGTGAAGATAAAAACACTATCATTTATTTTTAAGAACAGTTAATTTTTAAAACATTTAATATGTATGTTAAGTTAAACAAAATATTTAAATAATTTTATTGATTTATCTCTTGAAAACTTCCACCTTTTGTCTGGCAATGTCCCCTCCAACAACAGTGACCTTTATATTACCGATCTGATACCCTGATTTGGTCGTGTCACCAGAGCCCCGAACCCTCCGTTTAGATCTGTACGTGGCCCCTCTTAAATCCTCCTCCGATTCCTCTGATGATTCTGAAAGTGAATTAAAATTTTTAAAAACATACAAAACTAAATTAGAAAAAAATATAACTTCTGTATAAATTCAGTAGCTCCGGACTTGTAAAGTAGGCTATTCTGCTGCATGAAGAATGCTCATAAAATATGACACAATGAAGCACCATAAAGAATACGTTTTTTTCGTGTACTCGTTATCTCCAGAATATTAAAATACGTGTTCGGTACTTGGAAAAACACTAGACATACAATTTTAACTTCCATGTTATCATTAATCATCATTTTTCGATGACATACCTTCATCGTCGACACTCTCAAAATCAGACGACTCAGACGACGAAGAATCCGAAAAATCTAATAATCTCCGAGATCTGTATCTGTGACTAGCCATTCTAATTGTATATTGAAGCTGGTGATAACAGCTGGAAATAACACGTCAAAAAAAGAGCATTCCTATTTCAGTTATGCATTTGTAAAGGGTATCCTTCCGTGTATGTTTCAATAAATTTTCCTCTAAATTTCGCGTAAAGGCAAGGGAACTTTTCTTCCGCGATTATCCAATGGACAAGGAAAAAAAATGCATGAAGAACATTACATCTCGAGATATTCTGTTCCTGTCGTTTATTTGAAAATTAAGAAAATATCGACATTAATGTATAACACTTTGATTTCAAACGCATTTTTTTCATTCTTGCACCAAATAATTTGCAAAAAAATATTGAATTTTGAATTGTTATTATTTTTATTGTATAGGGTGCAGCCAAGAAGAATTGATTTTATAGACCCTGTTTACACTAAAACCATTTTTTGGACTTATAGAAAATAGTACATGCATAGGGAAATTCCATTTAAATAAAGGGGGTGCCTTTTTAAATCCAAAATAAACCTTCAAATTCTCGATCTGAAAAGGCTTCACCATTGGTCATTACACTTCAGTTTCCTGATGAGTAGCACATACAGGGTTTGTGCATACTTTTCATGGTGGCCTCTTATAATTTCCAAATATTGAGTAACGATTTTGGTTGTTACATCCTAAGTGAAAAGATGGATAAACATTTACAATTTCTACGAGCCTATAAATAATTTAATTGATCAAAGTATTGCATTAAATATATGTCAAATATTCCAATCAACAAATTTGCGAAATTATTTTTCCCGTAAAGCTTACATTAAAATAAAAGACCAAAATGACAAAAAAAGAGAGTTTATATACTCAGTATATCCTGCATATGATTTAGAGACTACATCAGAAGCGTACAAGCAGAGTTTTCCTCTCATTGCACTTCGACTGTCCAATCTTCTTGACTGCAAATGTTGTCTACGTACTGTGACCATGAGCCATGAAAAAGTAGTACTCAATGATTTCGGAAAGAGTAGGTTTTTTTCATGGAAGAATCCAACAAACAAATTCGTTGCACAGGCCCGCTTGACTGGAATTTTATCTAAGGTTGTAAATTTTCCCTTCACGCCTGCTTTTCGAAGTAGCCCCTCTATACTATATTTTTGTAATCAGGGTAAGCATTTATAGTATTCCTCGTTGTTGGACAGGGCGTGGAACAAATCAAAGTCCTAAAGACATTTTTACTTCAAATAAATTTTCATGTAAAAAATTAATATAAATAAAGTAGAAATTTTAAATTCCTTGCTATATAACCCTTAACATATTTTAAATATTGTAATATATCACTTGATTTTAAAACGTAATATTATGTGGTCGTCCAGTTCTCATTCTTGTTAAATCTATGTTCAACATGTGCCTGCCAGGAAAGTTGTTCGTTTATGATTTTATTGAAAATTATATGTCAGCTTATCTAGATACGATTTTAGTAATGGCTATTATCATCATAATTTACCTGTTGTCACTTCATGTAATATCGTAGGAGTTATAATATCAGGGAATAGAGGGTGGATTTTACATTTCATGTTTTGGAAGCCATCATACTTTACTCGGATCGTCATTTCCGGTTTGGTGACCTATATGTATTTACTAGTAATGCATTGTTCTATTGAAGTTATGAATATGGGATCGTATTCTACTTTTTAGTTTGAGTTGTTCTGTGATTTGAAGCTACAAGTTGTTATTTATTGTTAGCATTAACTTTATAATCAGTCAGCTTTATCGGGACTACATTTGTTTACGCTAGTGTCGGTAGTTACGATATTCATACGCTATATTGTTCAGCACATATTGTGCAGTCTAGGGATGTTTTATAAACATTGAAGGAATTTATTAATTCGTCTAGTCAAGCTTATTTTATGTGTTATATTTCCACTTGTTAATTTTACATAGTTTTACTAGTTACGATGTTGTACGGTAGCTTGTGTGGCAGAAGTAGTTCTGTGTTGGAACTTGTGTGGGAACTCAGCCTCCCGTACAAGCTTTTGATTGGTTAATAGTTCGTACGGCATAATTTTATTGGATAATTCGAGTCATGTGACAGAGAATAGGAGGTTATATAAGCAAGCGCGTACTACGCTACGACAGATTTCAGCTAGTTGTATGGCGGCTATATTTGAAAGTTAAAAAGAAGAAAACAAAGACGGTGAGATACTTATAATGTTATTTACGTATAATTAGCCTAGTTAGAAATCTCCTACCACACTGGACGACCTAAACTTGTGTTTCTGAAGAATCAGCTGTTTTATATTGGTATTTACATATTGTATTGTTATGATTATGAGATGCTGCACATACAATAAATGCTGAGTATGACTGATCAATCATCTTGAGTATCATTCAACAAAGAATCTACACAGAGTGGTGCCTGGTTTTTAACAAAATTTAATTACTGGTACATCCTGACAAAAGATGAATTATTTAGATGATAAACTATGGCCTATATAGATGCTGAGGATTCAGAAATACTAGCCACCCCTGGGGTAGCTTACAATATAACCAAAAAATATTTTGAAGGTGTGTTCAAAAATGTTTTGTTCTTTCTCTAGGTGTATATGTATTGCACGCCAAATTCACAAAAATGAGATAATCATAGTTTCACAATCGATAAACTAGGTTTATCGGTTGTAAACTATAGCTAACGGACTGTAAACTATAGTTAACAACGTTAATCTATATTTCACATCTGTAAACCGTAGTTAACGCAATAATCTTTATTTCACAACCGTAAACTATACTTAACACCTAAAACAATCATTTGCGATTGCAAAACATAGATTATCTAATAAATACAGTTAACTGTAGTTAACGATCTGATAAATATAGTTTCACGATTTGTGAAACTATGAGTAACAACTCTTAACTATAGTTTACGATTGTAAACTATAGTTTACAAACGTGAATCTATGTTTATCAACAAAATCTATTGTTAACTCTTTATTCAAACAGAGAAACTTAGATTAGCATTCGTAAACTATAGTTAACGACCGTTAAATATAGTTTTACAGATGAAAACTATACTTAACGAATCGTTAACTATACTTAACGAATCGTTAACTATAGTTTACGGTTTGTAAACTATAGTTTACAGTAGATAAACCTAGTTTATCAATTGCGAACTAGGTTTATCTCATTTTTGTGAATTTGGCGTGCCATAGATATGTGTTGGATTATGTCTTAGATCACAGAAAATCGTATAGAATGTTGCTAACTCGATCTCTCTTCACAACTCGATACACATGAACTTTAAATTTAAAAAAATTGATATATTCATACAATTAAAACTGCATTGTGGGTATTTGGATATAAAATCATAGTTTCGGTTTCACACGTACAATATAACAGTCGAATGAATAAGGTAAAAAAATTCAGGATCATGAAACTGAAACCATGGTATAAATCCTCCTTTACGGGTCCAGGATGCTTTCTTATTTTTGAAGGAAAAATGTTTTTTTTTAAAATACATGGTCATAGCGAGGTCACCCACCGACCCAAATCCAAACACATCCTCAAACATTCACTTTCCTCAAACAAATTAGAAAACGCAAACTAATTACGCATGATTTATTTTATTGCAAACGCAAGCAACAAAATTTTCAATCTAGAGAAGTGACAAAAAGTTGTTCTATTCTTAATACATTTAAAACTGCATTATTGTAAATAATAGCATTTATGTACTCATGTAATGATTTTTATGTACTCATGTAATGAAGTTTTGAGTTTGTACTTTTAGCTTGTTAATCAATCCGTTTTTATCCGTGTTTCAATTTTGTGTCAATATTAGAGCGATCGATAGGGGGTAATTTTACCGACCAATCAGAAGAGACACTAAATGTAGATTCTACGTCACTTCTTGTTTTGATTCGATCGCAGTAAGAACACTCGGAACTACTCGGATGTCTCGCGCACTCGACAATAACCTGAATTATGGTTAGAACGGTACCTGGTGAAAACGGCACCTGGTGAAAACGGCACCTGGATTATGCAAAACGGCACCTAGTGAAAACGGCACTTGGTCAAAACGGCACTTGGTTAAAACGGCACTTGGTCAAAACGGCACTTATAGAAAAAAGTATATATGTAATGACAATTTGATATATATATTGATATATATTTGCATGTTGGCATATAGATATGTACAGTTTATAATTTTTTTTTTCTGGGAAGGGGGGGGGGGGGTCCATTTTTTTTTCCAAGAAAACAATATATATATATAAGTGAATGTCCTTATATTTTTACATATTTTTTTATTCCTTAAATGTGCAAATTTAATTACTAAATATGAAATAAATTTCTTTTTATTTCATTTCTTTAAAATCTGGTATTAATATCCATATCGTCATTCTCATCTTATAGCCTCCTTTTTATAGTAAAGATATAACAGCATTGTTTTTTTAATATAACTTTATTCATAAAAAAACATCAATAAGCAATAACAACATCATCTTTTATTACTTTGAAATTCATTAATTAAAAATAGACAAGCATATAATTTTTAATTTGCTTATCTATAAGTAAATTCCTATAAACCTTGATAATATGTAATAGCTACTATTAATGTAAATTATTTTAAATAATAATGATGATATTAACTTTATTTTGTATTACATTATCATAAAATAGCATTGTTCTCATAAGATGTTCAGCAAAAATCACATCACAAAACTATTAAACATCACAATCACATATAGCAATCATAAAATAGCATTGTTACCAATGCGAATAGTTACATGCACTGCAAACATATAAATTAAGTTTTCATATTCATACAATCATACAATCATCAATAGGATATGTACATCATAAGATGTTCAGCAAAAATCATATCACAAAACTATTAAACATCACAATCACAATCACGTCAATAAAGTTCAGTCGGGAAAATGGAACACCTTCCTTAATTCAGTTCATCCATATTACTGGGCAGGGGGTCCATACACAACGGCGCACTCCTTCAGTAGATGACTTGCAGACAGGCTTCTCTCGCAATACCGCTCCCACAGATTGAACAGCTTCCCCTGGATCTGCCTGCTCTTCTTCCTTTGGTAGCGCTGGAGTTTCCCCTCTGTAACCAATCGGAGCTGGACAGGAATATCGCTGGCCTCCGCGTACAACTCCTGGATTAAATGGTAGAAAGGCACAGGTCCCCTTGTCAGGATCTGCAAAAGATGATCCCAAGGAGACGTGAAAAGTGGCATCAGCTGCTGGTGGCTGCCCGATGCTATCTTCAACATCTGGTGGCTGCTCGATGCTGTCTTCAACATCTGGTGGCTGCTCGATGCTCTCTTCAACTTCTGCTGGACGCTCATCGAAATCGTCTACTGCAGCCTGCTGCAAATGAAGTTATAATTGTTAATTTAATGTATTTAATAAATAATTATTATAACTTTAAGGCACAATATCACTTTTATTATGAATATTATGAATAAATGTACTAAACAAAGAGAAAAAAATATTTATATATAAAACTTTTGTCCAATTTTGATTTTATAAACAGTGAAATATGTTGAAATCAAATTATGTTTATACCATGGAGCATTGGCTGCAATTCCACTCCAGCTCATCCGAGTTCTTCACCAATCGACGATACTGGTCTCTGCTGATCCCTATAATTGATAATTTGAAAATATAATACGATATAAAATGAATATTAAGGCTTCTTGCATTACATCCGACATATAAAAGATATAATATAAAATAATTAAGGCTTCTTTAACTTCATTGATATAAAATAATTAAAGCTTCTTAAATTACATTGATCACCATTTAATAAATATATTTTCTAGATCTTGACCTTAAGAAATATCTAATAAATAGAACTTACCAGTGTTGCATGTTCTGTGCTGCCATAAATTACATGTATCACACTGAATGGCCTCTTGTCGGGGATGTACAGTAGTTTTGCAATGCAAACAGTTGTCTGGAAAAAAAAAATCACTTTTCAACATTCACATGTATATAATGTAATTTTCTCAGTAAGGAAACATACAATGAGGTTTTAACAGTGATTGATAATCAAGTACTAATTTATCATTATGCTAGCTATTACTTAAGGTGGAATGTCCCTCTGATAAGACAGACAAATCTTCTGATAAGAGAGATAACTTTCTTCAGACATTTTGTCATGAAATTCAGTGAATTGTCATGTCAGAGTTGGCAAGTTTCATTCTTGAGAATAATTTCAGAATCAACTCAAGCAACCCTATTCTATGCTACAAATGTTGATTTCTAGTTTCTATTGCTAGTATGTTGATTAATTATTTATAATAGTTTACTTAAAACATCTATACTTAGTTCCTTTAAACAGTTTAAATTGAGAAATATCTATCTCTTTAAGTAGATTTCTTTTAATTGTAAAGAAATTTCAGATGCAGTATTGTTTATAAAATTTAGTTAATATTTTGTTTCATTTAAAATTTCGTACAGAAATATTTCTTCTTAAATATTTTAAAATTTTATTTTGGTTTTGTTGATCATAATTGGGTTTAGATTACATACAGACATACCGATTAATCAAAATATCACATTTTACTTAAATGCTTACTATGCTTAAATTTTAGATGAATGGATTTTGAACAATTCTAAATAATTTTAATGTGTGAGCAAGTACAATCCCAACTTCAAATGAAACGAGATCTTTTAAACAACTTAGACGCTCTATATAACTTCGATGTCAACCAAATTGTCGATAACTTTAGTGATATCTTCATGAATTATTAAATTTTATAATATCAACATTGTATTTTTCATCTGCAGTTATATATAATTTTTTGGCACTTCTATATATAGTAATTTGTAGAAACTTAGAAAATGTATACTTATTCAGATTTTATGAATACATAAGTTTTAATTAGTTTTTCTAAGATTTTTACAAGTGTGTGCAATGCATATTTTAATATTCAATAAAGAATAGTGAAACACACAATAGTACATGTTTGCAAATTGATAATCAGCAGAATGGGGGAGGTGTGAAATGGTCTTTTGTTTCTTATTCCTACATGTGTATTCTAAGTAAACATTCACTATAACTGGCTTCTAATTAGTCATCTGTAACTGGCACCTTATAACCCCCCCAAAATATACATGTAATAAGTTAAAAAAAAAATTAAAAAAAAAAGATGAATAAACCAATTTGTTGAAAACTTCTACTATATGACACATACATTATTTTGAATATGTTGTACAAATGAAAAACAAAAATGCTATAAAATTTGTGTCAATACAACTCTAAATTATCTTATTTTTTAAAAATGTTGAAAATTATGAAGTTTAAGGTATTAAGAATATACATCAATTAAATACTATACCAAACAAATCTTAACTAAATCATCACTTTACTCTTTTGCAATATATAATACTTTAAATGATTTCTTTCACAATCATAAAAATTTAATTATCAAAAATTTATGATTATTAAATACATCTTAAATGCTAAATTTATAATTCTTGTATATATACCACCTAAAACTACCCTAAATTTGGCATCATCATGAAAAATATAAGAATTTTTTAATAACTAGCTTAAATATATTTCTTAACTAACTGAACTACTACATATACATATAATGATTTCAAACTACATTATTATTTTCATAATGTTAGAAAAATAAACTAAATAATTATTGCCTACTATTTTTGCATATATATACCACCTTAAACTACCTTAAATTTGCCATTAATTATCTTGAAAAATATAAGAACTAAATTTTAAAGAACTTTCCTAAATATTTCTTTACTAATTGAACTACTATACGTAATGATTTCCAACTACAATATTATTTTTTATAATGTTTAAAATATATAACTGTAAGGTATAATAAGTAATACTAATTTTTCATAATTCTTAACTAATAACTTACCCATCTTTCTTCTTCTTTTCTTCAGTGTAGAATGGTAAACAGGGTACACCAACCCCAAATTCCCGGCAGTGTCTCATCATTACCCCCGTAATTATGCAACCACTAGCTACTTAATAATCCCTTTGATCAATCAAAGAAGAAGACTGTTGAACACATATTATTTTAATTGATAGCAGTACCAAATTAAATATCAAAGGATCATAATTAATTAAGATTTTGTCCAGTTTGTAGAAAATAATTGACAGATAATTTACAAAACATTAAAAAATCTAACTATTGTATAATAATATATTTTAAAAGGAATTAATTATTTTTTTTCTTTTTTTTTTTAAATATTTTTTGTAAATTTTTATCAGTAATAATATAAAAATATATCATGTTATAAATTTAACTGAGAAAACACCAATTTCCCATATAAACAACTCAGGAAATAACAAAATAGAAAAAAATGAAATAAGTGCCGTTTTGACTACTCTCAAGTGCCGTTTTGACTAGGCCTAAGTGCCGTTTTGAATATTTCCCAAGTGCCGTTTTCACCAGGTACCGTTTTGACTTGTACCCTCACATCCGAGGTTTGAATGGAGCGAAGCGGAGTCAGCCGAGGATTGCCGATTGCAGTAAGAAGGGTTTTCCAAGTGTTGGAGTTTTACAAACTGAAACTCTTGTTTGCGATCGATTTTTTATTTGAAAAATAGAAGTGCGATACAGAAGTATTTGTGAACAATTGGTTATTTGTCAAATCATACGTATATCCATCAATGCCTAGGAAGCGACTGAAGTTCCCTCTCGTAGGACGAATGCAAAGGAGATAATGAGTGTGCGCCATCTGGGACATTCGTACATGTATATTCTATAGGCATTGAGTGTTCTTGAAACTTTATGAATGCTACTTGTGATGTGTGCAAATCAAATCTGGATTGTAAAATTTTCATGTTGGACATTGGGTTTAAAGGAGGTCTAATATGCATATATTATATGACACGAAAACTAATACTTGTGCAGTGCGTGGGTTTGAACAGTTGAATTAAATTAGCAGAGCCCCCACCGCGTGTCTGCCTCAGAGTGCCCGATGTATTCTGTCGATAGCTCGTTATCACATTTGGGAGTCGGAATTCGGCGTCTCATCATAGAATTACTGCTGCGAAGACAACCTTGGGCAATCTCTCTTAATTGTCATTAACTTTTGGAGGGACCTGTCATACCTAAAGCCGGATGGTTTGCACATTGCCTGTAATAACCATAGATCAGCTCCAATTAGAGAGTATTTGAGGGGTGCAGTATTATGCCATGCCATTGACAAGGCTAGTAATTCATAAATATTCCATGTAATTCATATTCAATGGAAGCAATAATTAACTATAATAATAAATAATTCTTCCAGTACCTATAATCCATGATGATATTGTTTTGGTGTCACAGTGTAGAACTCCAAATCAGTAATATAATAAATTTATGATAGATCTATATATAGTCTACAAGTCAAGTGACATTTTAATGATTTACCTTTAATTTCATTTTTTAATTGACAAAATGTCATTATATCATGGAAAGCTTTTAATATAGGTATAAGGGAAAGTTATTTACTTATGAAATGACATGCACACTTTGTTCGTGTTATGTCTTGGTATGCTCTTTATCTTCTTACTACGTGTGGTATGCTCTGCATTGTAGGGGTGCAGAGATAATTTAGCTTTTTGTAATTGATGATTTCCCATTTCTTTGTGCAAATTGGTGAGTTAAGGGTATGCATTGTAAGTCACTCTGTGATGTGCATTGTTAGTCATACAAGTTGATGTAAAGGTATGCATTATAAGCCACACTATTATGTGCATTGTTAGTCATACAAGTTTATATGGTATGCATTATAAACCACATTATTATGTGCATTGTTAGTCATACGAATTCATAAGGTATGCATTATAAGCCACACTGTCATGTGCATTGTTAGTCATACAAGTTTGTAAGGTATGCATTATAAGCCACACTGTCATGTGCATTGTTAGTCATACAAGTTTATATGGTATGCATTATAAGTCACACTTAAGTGTGCATTGTTGGTCATACGAGTTTATATGGTATGCATTATAAGTCACACTATTGTGTGCATTGTTAGTCATACAAGTTTATAAGGTATGCATTATAAGTCACACTTAAGTGTGCATTGTTAGTCATACAAGTTTATATGGTATGCATTATAAGTCACACTATTGTGTGCATTGTTAGTCATACAAGTTTATAAGGTATGCGTTATAAGCCACACTATTGTGTGCATTGTTAGTCATACGAGTTTATAATGTATGCATTATAAGTCACACTTTACTGTGCATTGTCAGTCATACAAAGCGATATGCATTGTGAGTCACTTGAATGTACACTATAAGTTATATAATCTTTTATTTAATGCATAATTCAAAAATATAAATTTATGCACTATTGAAAGAAAACCATTGGTATGCATTATAAGTTGCACTTTAGCGTGCATTGTTAGACATACATATGAGTGATTTTGTTTTTGTAGGGCCGATTTGGGATCGAAATTCATCCCCTGTCCTAATTGAAAATATATGATAATGTCTTTTTTCTCAAAATGTAGTGGAAGTTTTCCCAAAGAAAAACTACAAAATATGTGTCTGATCAAATTCGGTTTGTTTAGGCATGTTGGATATCTTCAAATATTAGTTTTTGCTTACCCCTATTAGTTCTTGATGCAAGTAATTAGATAATTCATACCAAGAAAAGTCTTATTTGGTTATAACAATTGTTTGTTGATTGAGGTAAAACAACGATAAGAACAGAGCTTTTCGACAATGTTTTTTAAGTGATATATGCATTCGGAGTCACCTTAGTGTGCATTTTTAGTCATATCTCTTTACTTTAACATATATATGCATATATTATTATGCATTGTTGAAACATTACCGGATATGCATTATGAGTAACAAGTTAGCATTCTTAGAAATACATGCGATATATATGCATTGTAAGTCACCTTAGTATGCATTGTCAGTCATATCTCTTTACTTCAACATATATATTTGCATAATTCATGTATGCATTGTTGAAACATAACTGGGTATGCATTGTAAGCCACACTTTAGTGTGCATTATTAGTCATACATATGATATATGCATTGTGAGTCACCTTAGTGTGCATAGTCAGTCATATATTATCTTTTTACTTCAATGTATATATTATGCAAGGTATGCATTGTTGAGGCTTATCTGGGTATGCATTATAAGTCTCACTTCAGTGTGCATTGTATGTCAACTCATACAGGATATATATATGTGCATTGTATTCTGTTTAATGTGTATTGTCAGTCAGACTTTTCTTTTACGTCGACGTACACATATGCCTAATATGCAATTTTCATCTTTGGCATGCATTATAGGTCACACTGGCATGTGTATTGTTAGGCATACATATATAGTGTATACAAAATGATCAAATGAGGTATGCATTGTAAGTCGCAATATATGGTGCATTGTTAGTCATACATATCAAATCAATACAGGTTGATAAAAATTTGAATCATATATCAGCAGTTCATTCAATACATATTCAAGCATTTTATTTGGCTTGTTATATTTGATACTTATTTCTGACAATTTTTTAAAACTGCTGCAACTAAGAAAGTTTATTTGAACACTTGGCAATTGCTATGTTCTGACACATTTCAGATTTTTTGCAGGAAATATGTCAAAGAGAAGCAGGTGTATGGTGTCAAAAGATACATGGCAAGGAAGGAATCCACACGAAAAAAGTCGAAAACTGGTGAAAAACATTGACTATGAAAGACTCGCTGCTGAGGTACTAAAACAACAAAATCAGTCAACAACGAGCAGCAAGGAGTCCGGATGACCATTCCTAGCAGAACTATTGAGCCAACTTCATCTTCGAGCACTCCCTAGGCAACCCCTCCTACACAGAGCACTATTCAGGCATCCCCTCCATCTACTCGGAGCACTATCCAGACAACCCCGATAGCTACTCAAAATACTGAAAGGTCATCAAGCAGGACAATAAGGGTTGGACACTGTGTCAGGAAGTCAAGATGCCTCAGTGGAGAAATTGGTGACCAGTGTATTGGAAGGTACATGTTCAGGGGAACATATCAAAAAACGGACAATCTCATTTCTTTATCTGATGGCATCCCTTAGGAGCATCAATTTCAGTCAAAAATAAAAGGGTTTGGGTAAATATGGGTGAAGAAGTTTCTGGCCAAATCATGAAAATAATTCCTTCACTTGGACAGTGACTTCAGTTACAATTATTGAACAGTAGAATTCTTAATTATCCCTCTTTTAATGTAAACAATAGACAAATACCTTTTAAGTTTTCATTTGTATCTACTTAGAGAAATTTCCAACTGACGCCCCTCATCAATTATAGTATCTTACACTGGTTAAGAAAATGTGTAAATTACACGGTTAGGTGATACAAAAACACGTGGAACACAGTTCTTCACTTGGTAGGATTGGTGGCCCCTTTTTTCAATCAGAAACCTTTTAATGATTTTCGGGTCATCCCCATAACATAAGATGTTCCAAAATTAGATCCAGGAAATTTAGGATAATCTATTACCTTGGCTTATCCCAGAAATGTTTCCATAAATTCAGGTGTTCTAGGAGTCTGAGGGCACTATGTTTAATTGATGAGATCATTAAATTATTTAGCAGGAGGAATATCTCACATATTACCTGGTAGATAATTTCTTTTTTATTGGTACAACCATTTCAAGAATATATTGCATTGGTATAACAATGTGTTTGTACGTGTCCAAATTAAAGATGATTAAAACACATTTCCTTCAACTACATAGTACATTTGTAAGTATGCTATCAAAATTAGCTCTGTTGCTTTGGAATACTGATTGCCTGGGGCTGAATTACTTAAAGTAAACATAAATTTGAATGATACTAGGTTTATGAAGAAAGTATGCAGTCTTTTATTTGTCTGCTTAGTTTTGCATGTGCTGTATACGTAAGTAGTTCCCGGAAGGACATTCCTAATGCGACCAATCAAGTTTAACTTGAGGGTACCAAAAACCTATTTCTTTACAATAAACTCACTTTTGACTGAAGCAAGGGCAGCTCTTGACACTTGGTAATATTTCATTGAGTATTACAATGGGAAATATATACTTCTTTCCTACTGATGATTATCTTTGCAATACCTCACACTTTTCACCGATGCCTCTGGGTCAGTAGATTTTGCTTCAGTCTTGGGGAATATTTCACCTTTTCTAGAAACAAGCATCAATACCACATCATCTCTTGATAATGTAAACACCAGTGGCTTAAAGCAATTTCACTGCATCTTTATCAAATAGCACAAGAGCATCTTAATGTCAATGAAGCTGGAAGATTTTTAAGTCTGGTCAGCGGTTTCAGTTGCCTAATACCTATTTCACCTATATTTTTATGCAATTTCATTACTCATTTATTTGCCAACAAATACTCAACTAATAGCATTTCATCCCACACATGTGCAATAGGGTTTATACACAAAATAAAAAATCTTGCAGATCCAGCATAATCTGTTCTTATTAAAAGAATTTACGTGGTCAATTCATTGTGGTCAACCAGTGTCTCATTCATTTGTAAATAAACATCTAAATTAAGCAGTATCTGTCATTGGTCTGAATCAAAAACTATAGGAAAGGCATAGCTTTCGAATTGGTGCAGCAAAGGATAATGCAAAATTGGGATTTTCAGAAAAAATCTATTCAAAAAATGGGGAGATGGAATTCGGATGCAATTAAAAAGAATAAGATTAGAAAGCTTTCATTTGTAAGTGACAAGTCAATTACTTATAGGCATTGTGGGATTTAATTTTTTAGAAATTCGTTGAGTTGACTCTTCAGGCCAGAAGGTGTCTGCTGAAAATCATATTGTCGGCTGCAATCTATCATAAAGTGTAGTTTTTGTGAAGTTAAACCTTCAGGCCAGAAGGTGTCTGCTGAGGTCTATCATGAACTGTGGGTTTGATGAAGTCAACTTCCAGGCCAGAAGTTGTCTGCTGAAAATTATCACGAATTGTATATCGGGTAAAGTTCAACTTTAGGCCAGAAGTTGTCTGCTGATGTTTGGAGAATATCATGTATCGTACACATATGTGGTTATCCATTTACGTTTAATAGGTGATAGCTAAGGTTTAAAGTATGGGTATTGCGATACCAAAGATTGTCTTTTTAATTGCATTTTGTAGACATGTTTTGAGCCAAACTCCTTTAACTTACATTCTAACTTACATGTTAATATCGGTTATTATCAAATATATGTAACCTTGGTGTTGCAATTGTTACCAAGGAAAAAAAAATGTGCCTACCTCTGAGTTGATCAAGTACATCATGAAATAGTCAGATTTGAATGTGCAAAATTATTACTACTCCGTCTCGGTGATTTCTAATTATACATGTAATAGGAATACTGATTATAATGTATGTCCTCGTTATACAAGTTCACTTTGGGTGGCAGTGTGTACAAACATTGCATGCTTGTACTTTGGCAGTTTTTGTCTGCCACCTTTTTTGCTGATTGTTATTTTTTACATTCTGGATTGTTTATTTGGATTTTCTTCATGTAATATGTTACACTGGGGAGATCAACTAATGTTTTGTACAAATTTACACATTCTTTCAAGAGTGATCTCCCCTTTATCTGATGTATCTTTTCATTATCTGCCGTCATTTATACATGTACAATAAATGACAAATTCATCCATCAAACTTTGTGTTTGCGTTACTTTAATATGGATGTGATATGGTCTACATAAATTTAGAAGTGTGTGCAAAAAACTAGCTTCAGTGAACTTGTAAAATTAGTTAAATTACACTGGAGAACATAAAACTGCATTATTGTAAATAATAGCATTTATGTACTCATGTAATGATTTTTATGTACTCATGTAATGAAGTTTTGAGTTTGTACTTTTAGCTTGTTAATCAATCCGTTTTTATCCGTGTTTCAATTTTGTGTCAATATTAGAGCGATCGATAGGGGGTAATTTTACCGACCAATCAGAAGAGACACTAAATGTAGATTCTACGTCACTTCTTGTTTTGATTCGATCGCAGTAAGAAGGGTTTTCCAAGTGTTGCCCACCATCCACCCCGATCATTATTCCACCTTTATGCCATACTGCTAAATTAATATGCAATGTAAAGGGTTAATGTATAAAATGTTTAAAAATACATATATGTTTATATATTTTAATATGATTTTATTTTGGCAGTTGTTTATCTGCCAAGGCAGTTTTTGTCTGCCACCTTTTTTGCTGATTGTTATTTTTTACATTCTGGATTGTTTATTTGGATTTTCTTCATGTAATATGTTACACTGGGGAGATCAACTAATGTTTTGTACAAATTTACACATTCTTTCAAGAGTGATCTCCCCTTTATCTGATGTATCTTTTCATTATCTGCCGTCATTTATACATGTACAATAAATGACAAATTCATCCATCAAACTTTGTGTTTGCGTTACTTTAATATGGATGTGATATGGTCTACATAAATTTAGAAGTGTGTGCAAAAAACTAGCTTCAGTGAACTTGTAAAATTAGTTAAATTACACTGGAGAACATAAATTGAAATGAGTACATTTGTAATACATACGTAGATTATTCAACACACGTTGAACTAAGGAGAATTGACAAACATGTGATTATCGTTTCTGATTCATGGACATTTTGATTAGTTTTATTTAATTCCTCGAAATTAATGTACTGTCTTTGCACGAGTCTCTTTGAGAGAGAGAGAGAGAGAGAGAGAGAGAGAGAGAGAGAGAGAGAGAGAGAGAGGTGTTAATATCATATATTAATATAATTTATGTGGTTGAAATTAAAGATATTTAAAGTAAAAGACAATGATATGGGTTTGATATAACAGGTTAAGGAGGCTGGGGGTCAACAAATTAATCATAAATTAACCACCAGATTTAACTTATTTTTTTACATACGGTATCTTAAGCTGTCAACTACCATTTGGCAAAGAAAAAATTCACATATTTTAGTTTTAAAATTTGATCATTTTTTATATCTTTATATGGAGCTCTTCTTTTAAAGGAGATAAAAATAGTCTGAAAATGGCTGCCACACCCTAGCCTCGTTAATATTATAAAAAAAAATCCTGAAGGCAGCTAGTAAACTAGTCTTCTTTTTGACCGGAAATGTCTGTCTGTTGCCTTCTAAGCTCTGTACCAAATAAGATATTCAGGGTAGGACTGATTTCTGTCATAAACAACAAACTCGCGGTCTGCAAAATCTCCACCATAGGCAACTACACTGTCATGAAGTTTTTGATGAACAGTACATACAGATTTCTTACACGTTTTACAAGGTTGTCTCGGATATTTTTCTTCAGTATCAGTCAGATAAATATCACCAAGACACATTCTCACCAGAAACATTCCCTGGGGATAACTTCTTTGGATATTTCTGATTGCATTCTCTCTGAATTCCCCTCCCAGCCGCAGAGAGGAGGGAACTGGATGCTCTCCCCTGTCTCAGATCAAGACTAGGATTTGCACTGTGAACTATGACGTCAACCTAAATAGAAAAAAAAGTCAGATTATATTCAACAACAATAGAGTTTTGTAAACTCGTACAGATAAAAATTATTTTTTTAAACATTGTTTTCAAACGATAAGAAAATGGTGAGGTTTTTGCATCAATCCTCTGACTGTGAGTCTGACATACTCAAGGTAAAGAGAATTGCCATTACCTAAATGCAAATCTAAATAAGAATTATGACACATAAATTTCCATCATCACCTGGAAGATTTTAGCATTCTTTCATTTCAATTTTTTAAATTTTGAAGCATCCAATCATTTTTTTCTTAACATTACCTTTTGTCTGGTAATATCTCCACCAACAATATTGACGTTAATATTACCAATCTGGAAACCCGATTTGACTTGAAAACTTGATCCTGGGGAACTTTGTTTGGGTAAATAGGTGGCCCCTTCTAATTCGTCAGAATCCTCAGTTGATTCTACCGAGAGAATATTTAAGTTTATTAAACTTATAACACACAGAAAAAGAAGAAAGCAGCACTCATATTACCTTATAAATATATCAAGACGGGTCTCTGCATCAGTATGAAGAAGTTGAAACTCAGCATTTATTTGATTTTTTTTTAAATGAAATTATTCCAGAAATTTGACGAATCTGTTTTCTTACTAACCCTCTTCGTCAGATTCTGAGGTTTCCGACGATTCCGGAGATAAAGAATCAGAATCATCTAATAAACTGCGACCTCTGTATCCAGCCATTCTAACGTGTTCAGTTTGTCGGATAATTGCAGCAGTTTGATATCACGATAGGATACAATTGCATATTATAATCTTTTATATTATAGGAATTTTTATAAATCTTTTGTATCCTTCCTCATATATTTTACTATTTTTGTTCCAAACTGGTTTTCTTCCTCGAGAGAATCTCATGAACCAGGAAGTTATCTTAGGCATTGAAGAGATTGACTGATATAAATGTATCATTTTAAATATTGAATTAAATATTGACTTAGCACTGTTTAATTTTCAAAATTCCTACTGACTAATTACTAATAATTAAATATTTTAATTATGATGTCATTATGCTATTTTACGACTAAGCCACATTATCATAGCAGCCATATTGAAAGTGTAAAGCAAAAATAAAGTTGTATGCATATATATTAACTGATAAGCCATTATTTACACACGAAGTTGTCGACGGTATTTTCAGTTATTTCCCAAATATGGCAAAGAGCACACGGCGGGTGTGACCGGTCGGCAGGAGATGCTTACTCCTCGATGGCACCTGATCCCACATCCGATGTTTCAGCAGTCCTTGTTTGATCTATTTCTGATTTGAATTGTTTGAATGAACGTTTGGGCTTATATGTTGCTTGTTATCTCCAGTTATATTTTGCCGCTAACAGATTAGAAATGTATTTCACATTTGTAATTAGATTTTCGAATCATGCTTCGGGTTTTCCTCATAAATTTCAAAAATTAGAAGTAAAGAATTATTATAATTGATTTCCTTACTTTTAGTGACAAAAAAAACAAAAATATTTTTTCAAAATATTTTATTTCTTCCAAATGACAAGACACTTTTCCCGCCATTTAATTGACCTTCTTGTGTGAAGTTAAAGGTAAAAAGGTAAAAAGATCCCATTTTCCGTATCGTTTAGCCGATATACCAAATAAGAAATTCGGGATAAGACTGATTTCTGTCGTAAACAACGAACTCGCGATCGGAAAAGGCTCCACCATTGGCCACCACACTGTCAAACATCTCATGATGACTTGTGCAAAGAGCATTGCCGCACTTTTTGCACGGGGCCCTCCTAAAATTGGTGTCTCTATCTGTCAAAAAGACATCACCGAGGCACATTCTGACCAAGAACATGGGTCTTTCACCTTTACTATTGGTGCCTATGAACAGAACAAAATATTAGGCTAGTGTTGAAATTCTCAATACAAATGTATATATCCCTGCATGTCAGCATGACATTAATTCTTCTTATTTTTTTTTTCGTTTTTCTTCTCTTTTAAGCAAAAGTTAACTTATGAATTTTTATTTTGTCTGAATCACCAATACTGGTACATTCATTAAATATATTTTTATTTGCATGCTATAGGCATCAAAGAATATTTTTTATACGTTCAATCTAATTTTTTTTTCAAATCTTCTAAATAATATTGTTCAAAAGAACTTTTAAGACCTTGATTGAAAATGAGAACATGTAAAATCTAACATCTACATACACATGAAGAAGCCCAGGATTGTTATATAGCGTGCCATGTACCTGTGTAACCGTGAGACTTTGACGCTTCTTCTGCTCCATAGACCCCGACACCTAGCCGCCCGCCCCCTAGCCTACTATCTAGTCCTTGTTTACAGATCAAATTCACAGCATCGGGTTTTGTACCATGGAAAAAGAAAAACTCGTTTATCTCTGGATAAGTTTGCTTTGTTAAGGATTGGTCCAGATACTTCATAACCTTCACCGGGCCCAGCGAGTTCTGTACTTTATGCAAAGGAGTAAAATTTTCCGCCATACTAGCTTTGCGAAATAATCGTTGACACTCATCGCCGTATTTTTGGAACAAACCAACATTTTCAAGTCGTTGTATACTGACAATTTTTTTTACGGATACAGATTTTCGAAGGGCGTTGGAAATGGAACTTTTGGTAGCTTGATCCACATTTTCAAAAGAGCTACCTCCCAAATTCCAATGTTTTAGTTTTTTGATGTTGGTGAATTTTGTCCAATATTTTGGTGTTCGGAGATCTTCCCTGTACTTCCATGCTAACCATGCCTCTGTGCCTCGCTTTGGTTCGCTGTATGGATGAGAGTGTTCGACAGGATCCGAATGACCTGCTTTACTCACTAAAAGGAAACAATTTCGGGAATCAAAGTAAATTATGCAATACCGGGGTTACATAATTTTTAAGTTTTATTAACAACCATAAACGCAATTCTTTGCACGAAACAGGTAACAGTTCGTGTTACCTGTAAAAATATTTAAGTGATTTCACGGTATATTCCCTTATTAAAGAGCTTAAGTGAATAAAGAAACATTGAAAAAAAAATCTACCTTTTTTTCCGGGACTGGCCATTTCTTCTAAAAAGGCCTACAAAGATATTTTTTTCAAAAGCTGAATATATCTCTTCGATTTGACATTTTAATCTTTATACTTTTAAGGATCTTCGATATTTTTTGTACGGAAAAGCAAGTCATAACAGTACCAAACCTTTTCAAGCTGTTTCAAGTCTGGACTCCCGCCATACAATAAAATTCGTATTTCAGAAATGCTGTATTTGGCTGAAAACTTTTTAATTCCTGCGATAGTACAAGCAGCAGCGACATCTGGTGGAAACTTTAACTGCCCCGTACCTAAAGCCGGGAAAGCGATGGAGTTGTGTCCACGTGATTTGGCCGTTTTCAGACATTTATAGACGAGCTCTTCTAGGATCTATAATTTGTTTAAGAAAAATAACTCTGAGAAAATTTAAGTCCTTCCAGACAAATTAAAAAGAAAAAAAGGACTTACAGTATCTGGTTGTTGTTTACTGCCAGTTGTTCTCGAGTTCCATGGAGATAAGGCACTATGAAATACTTCCTTACAACTTAAATTGTAACCCTTAGTGACAGCAACAAATCCCCAAGGAATTTTACCAAGACAAGTCTGACGAAGCTCTTGTACTAGATTTGGTCCAGCAGCACACACAAGAGCGGAGGACACTGCGGAATCCATGTCGAGTTCCTGTCCAATACTATTGACGATAACATCCACCTGGTACAAATATATCAGTCATTAAATTCTAAAATTAACCAATTTATGTTTGCTTATGATTCCTACAAAATTCTCTGAATAGGAATATGATCAACATTGTTTACAATTCTTGTTTCACCGGTACTCTTCGATTTTAATAAATCTTCGCTTATATGATTCCTGTAAATCTCTGAACAAAAAATGATCCACACTGTTTATAATTGTTTCATCATTGATCTTTAATATACTAGTAAATGCATCATTACATATTTTTCTCAAACATTTGTCTTGCGTTTTGTAGCATCGCAAGTTTGAGAAGTCTTACTTTTTGATCTTGAAGATTTCCAACTGAGACATTCACATTAATTCCGTTGATATTATCACTAAAGTTTGCGAGGGGAATTTCAGGCGATGAAACTTTAGGTTTTCGTTTTGTATTGGAACTCAAGCCTGAAAAAAAGTGGATTAAATGTTTTAAAATTTGTACAATTAAGACAAGTTGGAGCTTATTTTAGAATTATTTCAAAAATTCTTACTCTTCTTTGAGGTTGATTTTGAGGTTGAAAACGAATATTTCATGGCTGCGTTTAGAAAGTCCTTTAAAAGAAATATATACAGAAAATGAATATAAAAGAAATTGTAAAGGTATATTGTGTATCCAACAAATACGGGTAGGTCATGGGATCAAAAGAACGCGTCAACCCGTTCATTAAAAAAATTATACATGCACCTTTTACAATACATTTATCATTGTGATTCTTGTAAATAAAATGAATGTGTTATACTTTTAGACCATTTACGACGTCATTTTAAAAATACGTCGAGTGTGAATGACTACTACGAGGGCTGTTCAATAAATAATGTCCTCGGTGCTCAGAAAGAAGCAAAAGACGCTTTTCAATAATTTAGGTATATTGTGTATCCAACAAATACGGGTAGGTCATGGGATCAAATCCAATGAAGCCAATCTTTTGGTTGATCACGCATCAACCCGTTCATTAAAAAAATTATACATGCACCTTTTACAATACATTTATCATTGTGATTCTTTTATTACAAATGTTTACAATCGTTCCCTAAATCATTAAATGATTTTTCTTACAAACCTCTATGTTATAAAATGAATGTGTTATACTTTTAGATCATTTACGACGTCATTTTAAAAATACGTCGAGTGTGAATGACTACTATGTACACTGTACATGTAATACGCCTTATACATATAGCGTTACACTCTATATACTGAAAACATTTGCAAATGTTAATTTTTTAATTTATTGTTCATTAACATAATTTCAATCATAAAGAATATTTTTGTTCAACGAATACTTTAACAAAAGGTAAGCGAAAAATAAAATTATAAAGACTGGAAGAAAATAAATAACTTAAGTTATTTTTCAATATCGAATCTCAAAAGATTCGATATATGGACCCATACTTTGATATTGATTCAGATCAAGAGGGAAAATTATGCTAAGAAATGCTTAGACAATATTTAAAAAGATAAGAGTATACTAGTTACTATAAGCTCTTCATACAAGTTTTTCATTTGATACCCATTAACCAGTATTGATGAAACATTTGCTGATATTTACCTGAAAACAACTACTTTCTGGTGAGTATATAACAATGGACACAGATGTGACCGTTCGTGAAGCATAATTTTCAATGCATTCAAACATAATTTCAGCAACTCTTGTTGGATTGTATGACAGGTATCCGGTCCCAATTGGTGGGAAGGCGATGGACCTGTAACCGTCAGCATCAGCCTGATCCAAACACTCTGTCACCAAGTCTTCTAAAATCTGGAAAAAATTTGAAATCAAATTTGATATGAAATAAAAAAAATCCTTTCAGTCTAAAATCGAGTTTTTTTTAACCATTTAACTGTTTGTATGAAAATTGCAGTTGCGTCTATTAAAACCTTGATTACAGTTAAACAACATGTAATATGCCCTATAACTATATTCTCGCAATGCCAACCTTGAGTCGGTGGCAATGTGTTGCGAGGATGCATATGCCATATTACTAGGAAGAATTTGTTTTAACGAGTAGTTTTAGTTTCAATGTTTAAATTCATTAAATGTTCATCTTATTTTGGCAAGCACAGCGTTCCAATTGTTCAAAACCAATGCTCATTAAATATAATTTGATACTTCTATACAACTTGAACATTAGTACCTGTTCGTCTTTTTTAGATGTATACTTGGTCAGAACTCCGTGATATATTGCCCTACAGGCGAGGTGTCCTCCTGTTGTGACCGCTATTTCTCCTGGGTCTAATTTCCTAGTATAAGTCTGACGACACTCCCTCTGAATGCCACTCCCTGCCGCGGCCAGGAGGGAACTAGAAGCCCTCCCTAAGCTCAGATCGAGACGAGGATTCGTAGTGTTCACTATTATGTCAACCTGCATAGAGTAATTGAAAGTTCAGAAGACAAAGGTAAGTTATTTTAGATTTTTGTAACTAAAATTTCACCCAGACTACTACTGCTACTTCATCAATTTTATCTATGTAAGGCGAAGTTTAAAAAATACAATAAGTTTTTAAAGAATGGTTATTTTTAAAAATAAATTTAGATGTTAAGGTGACTAAAACATTTTTAATAATTCTATTGATTTATCTCTAAGAAACTTTAACCTTTTGTCTGGTAATGTCTCCACCAACAACAGTGACCGTTATATTGCCGATCTGATACCCCGAGTTAGCCTTGTCCCCAGAACCCCGAACCCTGTGTTTGGATAAGTACGTGGCTCCTCTTAGATCCTCCTCCGAGTCTTCAGTTGATTCTGAAAGTGAATTAAATTTTCTAAAACATACAAAACGAAATTTAAAATATAACTTACAATGTATGATTTAAATTGCCCCTGTGAAACCTGTGTACAGTATAATGTCAATCGGATGCCTTAAAGCCATCATATTCATATATGTGAGTCGACTCACTTTTACCAATTTCAAAACTCTATATACTGCATAAAGTTGCACATAAAATCTGACAAATTTAAGCAACATAAAGAAGACAATTTTTGTACACGGAATCTCCAGGATTGTAAAATACGTGTTCCTAATACTTAAAATAAAAACTAGACAAACAGTTTTCACTTCCATGTTACAAATAATCATTGCTCGATTACGTACCTTCATCGTCGAAACTCTCAGAATCAGACGATTCAGACGACGAAGAATCCGAATAATCTAACAATTTACGAGACCTGTATCTGTAGCTAGCCATCTGACTTGTATATTGATGCTGGTGACAACAAGTGGAAATCACAAATGGAAAAAATGCACTCCTACTCCAGTTTTACATTTGTAATCGGTATCCTTCCGTGTATGTTTCAATATGTTTTCCTCCAAGTTTCGCTCAGGCAAAGGAACTTTTTTCAGCGATTATTCAATGGACAAGGAAGAAAAAAAATACATGAAGAACTTGGATTTAAATAGTCCGATTTCTTTTGAATAATAATGTTTTTGGCTTATTTTTCTAATAAAATAAATTTCAATGAAATATGAAAATAATATTAATTTTAATCCGTTTCACCAGAAATAAAGAACGAGTGTTGCAACCACTATTGAAATAACGACCACTATTGAAATAATTATATCAATAGTGGTTGAGAGTGCATTTCAATAGCAAACATAGTTAGAAACCACTATTAAAATACGACCACTATTGAAATAATTATATCAATAGTGGTTGAAAGTGCATTTCAATAGCAAGCATAGTTAGTAACCACTATTGAAATACGACCACTATTGAAATAATTATTTCAATAGTGGGTGAAAGTGCATTTTAATAACAAACATAGGTAATAACCACTATTGAAATAATTATATCAGTAGTGGTTGAGAGTGTATTTCAATAACAAACATTATAAGTTATAACCACTATTGAAATACGACCACTATTGAAATAATTATTTCAATAGTGGGTGAGATTCATTTTAATAACAAACATAGGTTGCAACCACTAATGAAATAATGTTCACTTTTGAAATAAAGATTTCAATATGAACTATCAAAATAATTATTTAATCACTTTTGAAATTATAGTTTCAATAACCATCTAAAACTTCATTTTAGGATGGATGATACAAACAAAGTATGGATGCCTGGATTGGCACATATTTTTTCACATATATTTCATTGAAAATGATGCAAATAATAGAGAATATAACGAAATTGATGTTCAAAGTTTTGCTCAACTAGAATCATCCTTATCAATTTATACACTTTAATTATTAATCTATATATTTTTCACCCCCAAATCCAATTTTTGTGAAATTTTGGTTAAAATAATAAAAGTTACGCAGTGAAACTTTACTTTCAATACTTGTCGTATTTCAATAGTAGTTGAAACCTATGGTAATCATATTGAAATGCACTCTCACCCACTATTGAAGTAATTATTTCAATAGTGGTCGTATTTCAATAGTGATTTATATCTATGTTTGTTAGTGAAATGCACTCTCAACCACTATTGAAGTAATTATTTTCATAGTGGTCGTATTTCAATAGTGGTTATTACTTATGTCAGTTATTGAAATGCACTCTCACCCACTATTGAAATAATTATTTCAATAGTGGTCGTATTTCAATAGTGGTTACTAACTATGTTTGCTATTGAAATGCACTCTCAACCACTATTGATATAATTATTTCAATAGTGGTCGTATTTCAATAGTGGTTACTAACTATGTATGCTATTGAAAAGCACTCTTAACTACTATTGATATAATTATTTCAATAGTGGTCGTTATTTCAATAGTGGTTGCAACAAACGAGTACGTTTTTTCATCATGGAAGAATCCAACAAACCCTTTCGTTGCACAGGCCTGCGTGACTGTGAAATTCGAAATAGCCTCTGACATTAAAAAACTAGACATTTTCGAATCTTTGAATACTGTGTTATGTTCATTTTCTTTGTTTTTTCTTAAGATTTGCGATGTATATGTGTGTTATTTGTTAAATAGCTTCTATATAACACTATTTTTTCAGTAGATTTAAATCGTATATTTGGTCCAGTAGGTTGTTGTGATTGCTTCGGGAAATATATGTATTCTAGTAAAGTTTTTGTTCCTCGTTGTAGGAAGAATGTGGAACAAAGTTCAAGTGACTAATTCGAGGTGATAGGTCAACGGCATGTTTACTTTAAATGTACGTGTAACTAAATAATATTGATAAAGTAGAAATTATTTCTAATTCCTTGCTTTATAATTCTTAACGTATGTTTCATATAACCCACAAATTATTTGAAGGTGTGTTCGAAAATGTTTTGATTTTCCCATTTTAGCAAGTATACAATGCTGGAAAGAAATGACTTGAGGTGTACATGTGTTTTGTTACTTCTAAGGTCACAGAAAACCGTAGAGAATGTTGCTGACTCGATCTTTCTTGATAACTCGATGCACATAAGCTGTAAATTACAAATTTTGAGATATCAATATAATTTAAACTGTTTTATGGTGTTTTGGACAGATAAAATCATAGTTCAGTTTCACACTTAACGATATAACAGTCGAATGAATAAGCTTAAATATCTCAGGATCATGAAACTGAAACCATGGAGGTTCACTTCTTTTTTAAGGATAAAAGATGGTTTTTGAAAAATGTATGAGGCCTGGAAAGGTTATTAAGAGAGAAACGTTTTATTTATTTTTTGAACATTTTAATTTTGAAATGTAATTCCCAAGGTTCTAATTATTGCATGCGGATTGTGAAATTTTGTCGACAAAGGATATGTCAACACAATATGCTCAAGAAGAGAACACCCTTGTCTAACAGTTAACATCCAAATCGTTAATTGCAATTAGGTCACTCATTGAAAAGATTTCGGTATCAAGAAATAATTTAGAGGTTAGGAGGTATTTCTGTTATTGATTAAAATTGATTTTAGATGCTTATGATATGTCCGAAAAAAGAAAACAATATCAAATTAGGGCCTTCCAAACTTCATTAATCAACCTAATTTTGTCACTATTTTGATTTTTTATGTGACATAATGTAAATCTTGCCCCAAATCACAGTTTATAAGAATAAAAACAGTTTTACTATTTTTAAGCACCAAATGTCCAGACCCGTGTTTTACAGTCAAAGGGTTATTAAGTTTTCATTTCTTGTACTTTATTAAAGTGGCAAAAAATTTAATCACAGCAAGCTTTTCGTATGAACAATTTCTAAAACGAGGTAAATTATTGACAAACAAGTTGATGAAACAAGAATATCAGCAGTCTCGTTTAAAGTCATCATTTCGTAAGTTCTATGGTCAATACAATGACCTTGTCAGCAAATTAAAGAGGGATATGTGGTAAGTGTCTCAATTGGCCCCTTAAAATGAATATCTTAATTTTACTTTACATATAGCTTTAATTTGTACAGCTATATATGCGACATTTATTGGTCATTTTCATTTTGATCACAATGACGTTATTTTAGAAATATGACATCATAAAAATCACGTTTTCTCGCCATTTATTAGCATATCTTGTATAAAACTGCTTATTTTCAAGCAGTTTTTCTTCAAGAAAATATAGAGCGCAGCTTAGAACAAGCTTTATATTTTTACCAAAGATGTATCTATCCAATACTAATTATTGACAGAAAAACATCAAGAAAAAGGCATATTTTTGGGTTTTTTGTTAGATAGCAAAAATAGCATTGTTTCTCATGTCATTTACAGCTAGTGAGTGCATATAAATGTGAAAAATAAATTGGAAATATTTCTAATATAATCTCCTCTACAAAATAAATATCAATTAAACATATCTGAATGTCATTCTAAAATGTTGACTTTTAGAGGGCCAAAATTGGCTCTTATCATATATACTCCTTTATCATTGAGGCAAAAGCTGACTGACTTTTTTCATACTTATTGTTAGTCCATTATTTATACATTGAATTGACGACGGATTTTCCGTTATTTCCCGATCATGACAAGGAGCACACGGCGGATGTGACAGGTCGGCAGGGGATCGTCACTCCTCCGTGGCACCTAATTCCACCTCTGATGTTTTGCAGGTCCGTGTTTGCTCTGCTCCTATTTTGCATTGTTTTATGAAATTTTAATATTGAATACTTTTCTTTATCGTTATCTTAAATAAATTTAGGCATCTTTTCTAAAATACATCATTGTTCAGATCCCAGTCAGTGTAACTGTGAGTGTTAAAATGAAGATTGCAGTTGCACCACCAAAGTCGAATCGATTTTTAGATTACTTAATTTTGAAGATCAAAGCTTGAGGGAGTCTTATCCTTCGATAACGTACAAAATTTACAATTGTTTTTTTTTCAAAATACTTTTCACAGATTACAATTCATTGAAAGAAATTAGAATAAATAATAGATTTAAAAATTTAAGAGAACTTGTAATTATTTTATAATCTAATGCATTTCTTCATTCATTTACACACACTCAAAGATCACACCGACGCACACTCTTCCTCTCTCTCACACACCCTCACCTTATCTCACATTCACTTCCCCTCAAAAACAGAAGAAGACAGGATCTGATCATGCATCCATGATTTATTTTATTGCAAAATATTCAGTGAAATTAACCTGTTCTCGTATACATGATAAATTTATTTTTACATTGAACTGAATAATACATATAACACGACATTTATGCTGTAAGCCAGGCTAGCGGGAGCAACTGGCGTTTATTTAAGAAATAAAGTCCGCGTTTTCGTGAATGTTGCAGAATAACCTCCGAGGTCGAGAAATGTTGTTTGAAAGATAAAAGCCGAGGCGTTATCCGAGGCTTTTATATTTCAAACAACATTTCGAGACCGAAGAGGTTATTCTGCATCATTCACGACAACAAGGACGTTATTTCTATTCTCCCAAGAACGATAAATACGGCTGATCGTTTCCTCTATAGAGAAACGAATTAGGTCACCATGTCTCGATTACGCTGTTCCATTTTACACCAGAGGTAAAATTTGTTTGCTTACCTGTGTATAGAATGCAGACGATTTGCGCTTTCGTTACATTAAAAATAGCCTTTTTAGATTACAAATTTGTTCGTAATATGTATTGATCAGTTAGAATGAATATACAATAACAAAATCATGTTCCTGTTTTACTGCTAAAATCACGTTGTTTAATGTGTAGGGAGGTCCGTGGAATAGCCCCGCTTAGCTATAAAAACCGACATTCATCAGAATTTACAGTGTTTATAATGCAAAAGACGACATATCGATGCGGTCTAAACAAGTATTTCATTCTACAGCCAAACATGCATTTGAATTGTTCAGATTTGATACGTATTTCTGATCTGATAATTTTTTGATGACGTTCGTGATTAATTGGAGAATAATGTCCGGCGGTTTCCTTTGATGTTTTGAATAATCGTGGTAGAATTGATAATAAATAGCAAACAGGCATACATTAATGTGTATGCGATCAATAAAGTACTGCAATGTTTTTTGTTTATAACTGTACGTTACATGTTATGCATATTGCATTAACCCCTATCAAAGACATTAAAAACCACCCAGGAAAAACATAGACGAGTAACTATGGAAAACATTTGTCCATCGCTATTCAAATAATGTTTCAAGGGTATTTGAAGTTGATGGGATTGTTAAATTAAAATGGCGTCCCATAATTTTGTATTTTCTTATGCCACAGCCAATACTCGCCACAATAAATAACTCAAGTATAAATTTTAAAATTGCGTTTTGTGTCATTTTCTCTGTATATATAATGTCTCATCGGACGTGCGTTCTTTGCAGTATTGGTATGCATAAACACCGTATATAACATGTACGGTAAAGCAGAATAAAAAATATAATTATTATGACAATAATGTTGTTAATATTATAGATCTATATATAAATGTACTCATTTAAATAAAGAGACACGTATAAACAAAACACATGTGCATTATGCAGAGCACTGGCTTAGAATGGTCCAACATCTTACAAAATAGTAAAAATACCACCTTCTCATTGGCCTCCCTTTGGCCACGCCTATCATAAACAGGCATTACCAATAAAATACGTTCATATCATACAATGTGTTCCCGCTATTCTACGGAATGCGGGAAAACTATATGATATGGATTTGACACATCAGGATTATACAGTCCAACATTTACATTTGCAAATATCTTTCTTAGATGAACCTATTGAACAGAAAATATGTTCAATTCTGTGTGAATGTTATTTGGGGGTCAGAAGTCATAGCGAGACCGAATCACATCTATAGCGATGTGTTATTTTGTCTGCATATTTTCTGTCACGGTGCAACTTGTTTTGGAACGTTTCTAAGTTAATAACGATGAAAAGGATAAAATGATAGACAATATGGATATTTTTCAATACAGAGATGTATGATAATTCTTTTTTTTGATGTGAATAAGGTTTTGAATACTGTAGTACTATAGATTAGCTTTAAACCGCACTTAGCTTTTTGACCTGAAATTCCTATGTGGTTATGTAAACTAAAACAGGCGATACCGCCGCTTTCGACTTCAAATATTGTAAGAACTTATGAAATAGTTAGATTATTCTCAGCAGCGATCATTGTTCTTTCACTTTCTTCAGATATTTCTTAAATTGGATTGCTAAATATGAATGTAATCATTCAAATGTTGGAGCGAGGTAAACTTAATTTGACCAAACAACTTCTAGGTCATTGCGCGTCACAACATAGCAATACGATGGCCCGTTCGTGTTATAAATGCAATTTAACTCGAAATTTATTCGTCTTAAATGTAAAATTAAGTTATAAACAACAATGTTAAAAAGTTCACTGGGAAATGATCTATTAGTTGGTACGGGATCAAATCTACTGAGAAGCCTTTCGGGCTTCACACAGGATTTGATCACGTGACCAACTAAAAATTCATTTCCCAGAGAACTTTTTAACATTGTTGTTTATTTCTTAATTATATTATGATGATGACTATTACTACATTAGTATTCATTTTGACAGGAAATTTTTATTTGTTGCCTTCTAAGGACTGTACCAAATTAGATATTCAGGGTAGGACTGGTGTCTATCATAAACAACGAACTCGCGGTCTGCAAATTCTCCACCACTAGCGACTACACTGTCATGGATTTCCTGATGAGTCGCACATACAGGATTCGTACAGATTTTGCATGGTGGCCTCTTATAATTTCCACTGACATTTGTCATATAAATATCACCAAGACACATTCTTACCAGAAACATTGGAAAGTAGTTCCGATCGTCACATTCTAGATAAAAAAAATCTAAATGTTAAATACTATATATATCAAGTTGATTACATTAAACTAACATAAATATATATTTTGTTAGTCCTAATTAGTAAATAAAGTATTGTAAACCAAATATTATTCACGTCATATTATATTCGCGATTCGTCTATTGGAAATCAATCCGCGACGATTAATTTTCGCTACTTAAGAAACATTTTCTACAAACATTAAAGGAAAATGAATGGCTCGTGGCGATGAATATTCGCGAGTTAGAATATGTCGCAGAACTTGCAGATATTTCTCGCACGCGAATAAAAGTTGATAAATTATGTTGTCAAGCTTGATAAGATAATCTGATGTGTAATTATGAGGCTTCATCTGATGTAATACATAAAACACTCAATTTTTTTAAAAATAATGATTGCAAAAGTACCTGCATATTTATGTGATTTGGAGGCAACTTCAGCGCCATAAATTCCTGGTCCTAGTCTTCCAGAGGCTGCCAGTCGGCTATCTAATCCTTGACCGCAAATGACCTCAACATTCACGGCCTTCGTGCCATGAAAAAAATAATACTCGTTGATTTCGGAATGAATGTCTTCTGTCATAGACCGATTCAGTGATTCCATTACTTTTACAGGGCTCAGGAACGATGGAAATTTCTTAGTTATGGAAAGTATTGGGAAATTTTCTTTCTTTGCTTTACGGAATAACCTCTGACATTCTTCTCCATACTCAAGAAACAATTCAGCATTTTCAAGTCTCTGAACACTGAGGATATTTGCATTAGGTAAAGACTTTTTCAAAGCATTTGCTATGCAGTCGTATGTTATCTTGTCAACATATTCTAAATGGAACGATTTTGATTTATCTTGCAAATTCCAATCCTTTAATTCTTTAGTCGATGTAAATTTGGTCCAATAGGAGGGTGTTCTTAGTGTTTCTTTATATTTATATTCTAAGTACTCCATTGTGCCTCTTTCCGGAACTGTCTGTATGTTTCTGAATCTGACTGACGCTGAATGAATGAAAGAACACATATGCATATAAAATCAAGGACATACCTATTATGGATAAAATTAGTACGATCTCTGGAGTACTTCTTGTACATAAATTTATATTTACATATATGCAATAAGCATCTCAAAAATTTGTTTGCAGAACTTTTAAGGTAAGTCACTCCTGAAATTTGTTAAATCAAGGATATTTTAGAAGTATATTTTGGATAAGTACTCAAAAAGTGTAACTCAAAATTGCAAAGAAAATAGGGGGTCAGTGTGCATCCTACTGATGTACGGTACATTTAAGTTGACTTTTTGCACTTAAATTTTATCTATTTGGTTAATTACTTTAACCCTTATTATATTTTATCAGATGTAAGCATGGCAATAAATATAATCTTATTTTACGTAAAATAGTTTGAATAATATTCATCATTAAACAAATCTTGCAAATTAATGCGCGTAAATTATTGCGTGGACCTTTTTGCACTAAAAAATAACATATTTGGGGTATTCAAAAACTTAATAGGCAATAAAAAAATTTCTTATATTAAACTTTATACGACTTAAGTGCTGATCAGTAACAAAAATCGAGTAGTTTAAAATAATATAAGAAAAAGGTGGGGTCAGTTATGTTAATTTTGAAATATTTGTCAAAATATGTGATTTGCAGGCAAAAATGGTGTAAATTTGATCTTGACTTCTTAATCATATTTTCATTTTTTGGAAAATTTTGTTGAGGAAGGTGTAAAACTTAGTCTAAAAATATAAATTAAGACCTATATTAAATATTTTTTGCAATATCAAAACAGAAAATATTCTCCGAGTAAAATTATGTGAGGCTAAATTTACATTACATGAAATTTTATAAATGTTTAGATTTGCAGAATTTTCTGCTAAATATCCTTCCACCAAAAGAAATAGTCCCTCATAAATCTTGCTTCTTTGTAGATTTTTGAGCTGTTTTTTCATTGAATGTTAAAAAATTTACATTGTTTAATTTAAATTTGTTTTAAAAATTGAATTTTAATATGTAGTTTTGAAGTAAAAGCTTCTGCGTGAAATTTTCTAAAAAGCTGACGAGTGACTTACCTTAAATGCAAAGTAGATTCAACCCTCCTTTATTTGTTTTTCTATAATGAGTTAATACTCTTTGAAGAAGTGCAGATTGAGTCTTAGAAACATTACCTGAAGCTGTTCTCTTTTTTATTTCGTTCTGAAATGCCTGCAAATTATCACAGGTACATAAATAACCATTAATCATTAAATGGAATGGATTAGATAAAAATCCTTTCAAGATATAATTGCCTTTAAAATTGAAGAAAACATATGTTCCTATTTCCTATTAAAAAAAATTAGTTATGTTTCATTTTCTTTTAGTTGCAGGAAGATTAGAAATGCCTCTGAGTTTTTGAGTCGAACATTTTACACGTCTCTAATTTGGAAATGACCAAGGGTAACTAATGATACTTATTTAGTAAAAAGATTAGATTTTTTAGATTCCGAGATTGTAAGAACTTTAATAGAAAGCAGTAACCATAATTCTAAGGTAGGTCAATCAACATTAAAGTACTAGTTAAACAATATATGAATTTAGAAAATACCTATGATATGCTGCAATGATAATACAAGATTCTTACACGATATATTTTATAACAGTAGAAGTAAATAGAAGAACTGAAATACGGTCTAGATATTAAAAAAAAACATGCAGTTTTCTACGAATGTCTGGGTATCTATACATGTTTTTATTTTTTATACTAAAATATAATGCTAAATCAATTCTTTATTGAAAACGCAAAGCTGGTGTCTTTATTCACGTTTCCTTGAAAAATATTTTGATGTTTTTTTTTATGTTTTTCCCTTGTCCCTATACTAGTATATGATTAATGTTGTGATACACATCACTTCGTAAATTCAGACTAACTTTTGTGAGCTTTTCCTATTACTTATCTGTTGATTTTCAGAACCTGAGGATCAGACTAGCTTAACGCAGCCAATGCAAAAAGTGAAAGGGGATTAAACCATAGAAAGAAGGTAAAACATTTTATTAAAATAATCGTCTATGTTTAGGGATTGGTATGATCTCCATCTTGCTTTTCGTGTGTTTTCTATCAACTTGCCAAAGACTTGTAGATAGAAAATACGCGATTCATTTAATAAAAATAATATCCATTCAGAGAACTTGGGAATCTACAGGTATTGTACCTAATATACTGTGTGAAGAGTAATATGAAATTACTTTATTATTGATATATGTATATAAAATGTACATGTAGAGTGCATATACTTACTGATACTAGTTCAGGTAAATCACTGTTTCCCTCATACAACACTATTCGCAAATCTGCTACATGTATGTTTTGCTGTTGTACTTGGTTTGAGAACTTTTCAATACCAGAAGCAATGCATGCAACAGCCACGTCTATAGGAAACTTATGAAACCCAGTGCCAAGGGCGGGGATAGCAATAGATCTGTAACCATGAATATTTGCCTTCTCTAGACAAGCAAAGACAAAATCCTCTAACACCTGCAATAGATAACTACAAAACATATACTTTGAAGAAAATACAAATGTGTTCATCATTAATAGGGAAAATAATTAAATACAATGTACATGTATATGCAAATTTGATTTTGATTACCTCATGAAGAAGTTTAATGTGCTCAGAACGTTTTGAGTACCATGGTAATAGAACACCATGATAAACTTTCTTACACTTCAGTGCGTAACCATTTGTTACAGCGATTTCCCCATGTTTAATTTCGGAGGGGTAATTTTTAGTAAGCTCATCCTGTAGTCTATTTCCAGCCTTTTCCAATATTGCAGCGGCTGCCCCTTGTGTCATCTCGCGATCGTGAGCAACACTGTTGATAATGACATCAACCTGTATGAGGAATCAACACAAAAACTTATCTGAAGTTAAAGTATGGTCGATACTAGCAAGTACATGCCACAAGTAAAATTGAATTTTGTCTCACCTCTTCTTCAACTATACTCCCGACCATTACTTTGACAGGAATACCTCCAAGGTGACCAGAATATGAATGTAGGGAAACAGAGCTCTGAGCTATGAAATGACAAAAACTGTAAAATTTAGAATATATTTTGAAAGATCAAATACAGATTCAATACTTTTAATCCCTTTACATGGAAATAAATCAAAATCGCGTGTAAACAGGTGGAAAGTGTACATAAACCAACAAAAAATTTGCATATGAAGAAATTGGAAGAAAGTTACTAGATGACAATAGTTACTAAATACCTGATCAAAATTCATTTTTAAATATAAATCTCCATACCTATGGCAACTTGTGCCCCAGGATATCCCCTTCCTCCACTTAATTCATTCATAAAAACCTAATATGTAAAATAAATTTAATTTATTTTGTTGACAAATTTATTATCTATATTTCATATTGTTTTTTTGTCCCACCTGGGTTTCAAAAAGCTTCTAAATCTCCAATTTAATTTAAAGGAAAAAGTAACATTTATTTTTTCTGCAACATTTATCAATAATTTTCTATTGAAAGAGATAACAGAAATATTACAATTACCTTCTGAACATTGAACCATTCATTGCTTCCACTATACACTACAATGATAATGTTCTTGATATTCAAAGGAAATTGTTTGGAACCAAAGTCTTGTATTGCTTTTATCATCAATTTTGCTGTTTGATTACAAGGATATTGCAAAAACCCAATGCCAAGCGTTGGAAAAGCAATGGAGCTTCTATAATCAGCGTTTGCTGTTTCCAGACATTTCGTCATAAATTTCTCTAAAGTCTACAAATTTCAAAATAATATCGTAAACTACGGAAGCCCAATAGTGCAAACCAAAAATAAATAAAGAAAAAACGAAAATATTAAATAAAGAGAAACGAACTGATTTATTTAATAATTTCGTTTTACTTTATTTAATAATTTCGTTTTTCTTTATATATTAATTTCGTTTTTCTTTTTTTAATAATTTCGTTTCCGTTTATATAATAATTTCGTTTTTCTTTATATATTAATTTCGTTTTTCTTTATTTATTTTTGGTTTGCACTATTGGGCTTCCGTAGTAAACAGTTTACTTAAGAAAAACAAATGCAAAGTGATATATCTCATAATATAAAAATCTAGAAAAAATGTAATTTTTGCTATACATTGTTTCTAATTGATATAAACAGTAACAATGTAATTCTAAAAAAATACTGAGCAAGGATTGGGTTGACTGGTTCTCCATTTTGGCAGAGCCCCGTGATACACAAATTTGCAATGAAGTTGATGACCTTCACTGATAGCAATGTCTCCGTATTCAATGCCGTTTGGATATTTTTGGTTTAATTCTTTTTGCATTTCTCGTCCAGCAACTCTCAACAAAGCTTTAGACAATCCACCATTGCTCAGTTGCAAGTCTTTTGATCCACTACATACTAACACATCTGCCTGTATCATTAAACAAATAATTTTCATTGATTCAAGAGGACATTTCTTTGATTTTAAATTGTAGTTGTACATTAATTTTTAAAGTATTGAGAATGTTATAATTCAGTTCAATTGCTCTTTTTTTTCAATTTTCATCGAACTACGAAGATTTGGAATGTCAATGTGCTTATTTACGTGAACATTCAGAGTACTTAAGGACCTCAAAGTCTACTTTCCCAATTTTATTGCTACTATGTTTATTTTTTATTCGACACATTTGAATGATATTCAATGTTCACCATGACATTTTTATTTATGTTTTCTAACATACAAAACCATTCAAGTCAGGACAGTTTTGAATATGTTATAGAAGGAGCTTATTAATGTGCAGCTCATAGGTCAACTGGTGAAGCCTGTCGGTTTTATTAATAGAATACAATGTATACCGTAAAACAGTTTATTTTCCTTTTGCGAAATTTTCCGAATGGGACAAATGTGTGACCAAGGAAATTAGTGTTAATCCGGGACAAAGATCAAAGCGCCTCCGGGCAGATCAATTATAAATTGAACAGGTGTCAAGGACTTCAGAGTTAAAGACTTGAGTAAACATTTATCTCTGGACGATACAAATAATTGCTTAATTGATTGATAAATAACTCTATTGTAAATATTATGTAATTGTATGTAATTTGCTGTTTAACCCTTCGATAAAACTTAAATATTGCCTCGTGCGCTTTGACTGAAGATTTTCTAAAAAAAAAAAAAAAATGCAATAAATGAGACAATTTACCATTTCAGCAGTTGTTTTGGTTGGTACTTTTGCAGTTGGTTGGATTTTGTAGCTCAATTTAAGGGCACAATTTAGACGGTTATAAATGCATCAAAAAATGCAATAGCAAAATTATCTATAGATATATACTCAAAGGAAAACAAGCGCAGATTATACTTTGGAAGTGATTAAAATTTCCAGCATTTTTTGTAACATTTAAACTCATTTTTAACTGATAAGTATAACCAGAATCTCATTTGATTTTGATCGATAATTTATGAGATATTGTAAATCATATGAAAGTAACCCCCCAAAGTGAAAATGACATTTTTTCTATCTTCTATTCCTCCCTCATGCATTTGTCACAGCTTTGATTTTTTTTTTATTTATACAAGTTTTATTCACATAAGTGAATGGGATTGGGCAGCAGGCAAAGCCTATTTTAGCCCTCTCCCTAGATTTGATTTTCTTGCATGGGAACCGAGTTCATCATGGTATTTGCCTTTCTCATGAAGACATTGTTGAACCCTTTTGACATGGGTGCCCTTAGTTTGTAGAGAATAGCTTGAGCATTCCGACGCCTTCAAACTCTACAGTCCAGGTAGTTCCATAGATGCTCGATTCGAAAAATAGGTGGACTTTCGGAGGGAGCTGAGTGGGTCACTGTGATTGAGAGAATACTTTCAGACCTATGATCATCAAACATTGTCAGTTGATGCATCTTGGGACCTCAAACAATGTCAACCAGAATGTAGGTCCCAGTGGCCTATTTTTGAAATGTTATGGTTATATACTTCAGGTACTTTTTTACCTTATCGAACTTTGAAAGTTGATGCATCTTTGGACATGGGAGAATGTCGACTAAAGTAGGTCACTGTGACCGTCGTTTGAAATTTTACCTCATGTACTTATAGGCTTATTATCATCAAACTTTGTTAATTTATGCATCTTAAGTCTTCAGAGAATGTCAATCAAAAAGTAGATCACGGTGACCTACTTTTGAAATTTTGGCTATATTTATTTATTTCAGGCCCTAATTGGCTGAGAATCTGCAATCTTTGTCAATGATGTATTATGGACCCTTAGAGAATCTCAACTAAAAATTAGGTCTCGGTGACCTATTTAAAAAAAATATGCCTATATTTAATTTTTTTAGGTCCTGATTGGCTTAAAATCATCAAACGTTTATCAGTTAAGGCATATCAGGTCCTCAGAAAATTTTGATCAAAAAGTAGGTCACAGTGACCTTCTTATAGACTTTTTGACTATATTAAATATTTCTGGTCATAACTGGCTAAGAATCAACAAACTTTGCTTTGTCACTTGATGCATCTTGGACCTTCGAAAATGTTAACAAAAAACGTCATTGTGACTTACTTTTGAATTTTTTTTAAATATTCAAAATATTTCGGGCACTAATTAGCTAAGAATCATCAAACTCTGTCAGTTGGAATGTCTTAACTAAAATGTAGGTCACACGGACGTTTTTAATTTCAAGGCATTATCAAATATTTCAAATAATAGGAATGCTAATAATATCAAACTTTGTCACTTGAGGCATTTTGAGGTCTCGGGGTATGTTTTTGACTATATATTTGAATATTATAAGCGACTTCTTTTCATCAAATTTTAATTTTAAGTTAATTATTCTATGCTCTCAGTGTTTTAACCAAGATGCAGGTCATGATGACCTTGTTTTGGAATTTGAAGGTTTTATCTTACTATACAGGACACTTAAACGCTTTAATTACAAGTGATAAATTGTACAATTCATAATAAGGGCGATTCAGGGCCCTTTGAGATCATTATACATTCACGGTTGGAGTAAGTCTGAACACAGATTTTGGTGCACAGTATCAAAAATACATGTATTCATAATTTTTCATAAGTTTTCATAATGTTCGGGCATGCAGTGGAAAATAGATTTACAGATACATGAATGGATGAATGGAGAGATAGAGAAAGAGAGAGAGAACATACATGTAGTAATTAATAAGCTCGAAAAGTTACCTGTTGGTCACAAAGGTTTCCCGTGATAACACAGACTTTGAGGTTCCCCATGGTAAAAAATTGGTAACCATCGTCTGTAGCCATTGTCATGGTGCCTTAGGAGTCTATACAATCACATTCAAACAGAGATTGGTATTATGTATATCATTCAGGTACATTTGATAAGTGATGTTTGAAATTCTGATCATCTAACAAAAACATTTATAAATTCAAAGTCTTACCTGTGATCATGTACGTTGTTTTGTGTCCAAATTGACGAGTTACAGTGTTTCTGAGAAATCTAAATAAAAATGTGTGTAATTGCGAAATAAATTTTACATACTAGCACTTTTAAGAGGTATGGATACAGTGTAGTTTCAGATAACATTAGGAATGTCAGAAATGTCATTTGTATCATATTTTCCTTGTTAGGTAAATAACTTCAGTTAAAATACTTTCATGACTCAACTTGACTATCTAATTACCTTTTTCTCCTTATGTAATGCGATGTGCAAGATAACTTTTTTTAATGATGAATACATGTGTAATGTTTGAAGACGCCTATTTTTTTTCAAAAGAAAAGTAAAATGCAGAATGCTTACTATTGTGGTACTAGTATTAGGTATCAGCTAGTAACCATGAAAAGATGGAATGATAAAATACGATGATAAAAGGAAAAGATTGACGAAAACAGCAATAAAGAGAAAACCCATGACAGTTTTATTTCAATCTTAAAGTCAACATTCCGTATTTATGAAATAATATCACGCTATCACCTGCAAATGGTGTTTACATCTCAAAACTTACTCGATACTTAAGAGCGTGCTCCGATTTCAATCAAATTTTTAAAGGGAGACAGACTACTGATTAATAAATTGATGTAACAAGGATTTCAGTTTTAAGTCTGGCATTTTGGAAATTCTGTTTATTATCATGACCTTCTTAGAAAATGCAACATAAAAATTAATTTGGTAGTATTTTGGTTGAGTTGGTGCATATGACTTTGTTTTTAGCTCACCTGAACCGAAGCCTCAAGTGAGCTTTTCTGATCAAAATGCGTCCGTTGTCTGTCGTCGTCGGTGTCGTTGTTGTTGTTGTTGTCGTCGTCGTAAACTTTTCACATTTTCATCTTCTTCTCAAGAACCACGGGGCCAATTTCAACCAAACTTGCCACAAAGTATCCTTAGGTGAAGGGGATTCAAGTTTGTTCAAATGAAGGGCCACACCCTGTTCCAAGGGGAGATAATTTTGAATTAGAGAAAAATTAATGGCATTTTTTAAAAATCTTCTTCTCACAAACCACTGGGCCAGGAAAGATGAAACTCATGTGGAAGCATCCTCAGGTAGTGTAGATTCAAATTTGTTCAAATCATGACCCCCGGGGGTAGGGTGGGGCCACAATGGCCGATCAAAGTTTCATATAGGAGTATATAGGGAAAATCTTTAAAAATCTTCTTCTCAAAAACCACTGGGCCAGGAAAGATGAAACTCATGTGGAATCATCCTCAGGTAGTGTAGATTCAAGTTTGTTCAAATCATGAACCCCGGGGGTAGGGTGGGGCCACAATGGCCGATCAAAGTTTCATATAGGAGTATATTGGGAAAATCTTTAAAAATCTGCTTCTCAGGAACCACTTGGCCAGGAAAAATGAAACTCGTGTGGAAGCATCCTCAGGTAGTGTAAATTCAAGTTTCTTAAAATCATGACTCCCGGGGGTAGGGTGGGGCCACAATGGCTGATCAAAGTTTGACATAGGAATATATATAGGAAAAATCTTTAAAAATCTTCTTCTCAAAAACGACTGGGCCAGGAAAGACGAAACTCATTTGGAAGCATCCTCAGGTAGTATAGATTCAAGTTTGTTCAAATCATGACCCCCGGGGGTAGGGTGGGGCCATAATGGCCGATCAAAATTTTACATTCAAATATATATTTTAAAAAATCTTCTTCTCAAGAATAGCAAAGCCATGATTAGTGATACTAGTATTTATATGGAAGCATTTTTGGGTAGTGTAGAATTAAGTTTGTTCAAATCCTGATTTAAATTTATTCAAAGCATGGCCCCTTAGGGTAGGGAGGGAAACAATGGGGAATCAAATTCAAATTTTTATGAAGTTATATATAGGAAGGAAATGTTTTGAAAAAATCCTTTTATCAAGAATAACAAAGTTATATGCTGTATTAATATGAAAGCGTTCTCAAGTAGTATTAAATTCATGCCCCCTCCCTTTCAGTAAACTTTTCAGTTCTGATCAGATTTGTGCTTTTTCTTAGCCGATTTGCTCAGGTGAGCGATGTGGCCTCTGGGCCTCTTGTTGTACTGAGTTTTACTACGGAATGTAACGTCTCCCTGATGAATACAAAGAAGATATCTTTGAAGACAATAAACTTGTTCTTGTCTTCTTAAACAGTAAATACATGTATGTGTAAAATGGTTTTTTTTTCGACATTTTAGCTTGAAGCGTCACGTCTATGAGTATAAGTGTATACAAGTTGCTAGATTTATAATTTTGATTCAAGATTGAAAATATATTTCAATTGTTATTAAACGGTACTATTGTTTTCCATGAAAGATCTTATTAATTGAAAGGTGTATGTGTGCGTTAAACATGCTTTTTTGACAATGATAAAACACATGAAACATTTTCTGTCATGCATCTTTCCTATTTTAAAAGTTTTGATATATGCTACCCGTTTTTACGATTTTGTCATAGTATTTAATTTCTATTCAAAGACCCATCCACTAGAATCATAGTCATCCCGAATATGAATACTGGTATTTGAAACAGCATACAAAGACTTGATTGTTAGTTTTATAAATGTCAAGTGTAAATGAAGAAAGCAATAAAAGTAGAATGTGTTTCAAAATTGTATGTTAAAAAAATGTCATATGACAGACATGCCATGTATACATGTATAATAGGGGATCTCATCTGCTATTTAATGTCTCCTATGAGTCATTTAAACATATGTCAGATCAAACCCTGTGCTGAGCAAAATGTTAATTTGAATTTCTTATCATAGTGAGATGCATATCAAAACATATGCACTTATTTACGTTTTAAAAAACAAAGTGATCATTTAGCTGAAAGAATGGAATTTATAAATGTCTTTCTTTGCACACTTTCCTTCACAAGACATTATAAAATATTTTTACCTTTATATATGTTCTTACAATACAAGAATATTTTTTTCAAGAGAGAGAAAAACAAAAACGAAACATACCACATTTTTAAAGAAAACAAATTGTGATTCTTCCTGTGAATGAACAGCGGATGTATCCCATCAAATGTTTTTGCTGAAGTGGAGAGTTTCAGTTTCAGTTGGAAATTGTAAATGAGTGTATTTATGGAAAGTTAGAAAGGGCTACTGAATACAACTGTTTGAATTCTACACTAGCCTTGTAGCCCAAGATTATCCGGCCTGATCTCAACAGAATTTTATGCCCCATTTATTCGGGGGGCATATAGTGATTTCCATGTCCGTCCGTCCATCTTATACATGCACCTTGCTCATAAATTTTGATTAGTTGGAAGTTTTGACTTTCATACCTTACAGGTGTATTTCTTGTAACAGGGTCTTTCTTTGGGTATATACATATTATACATCATGACCTTGACCTTTCAGTTTGACACACTTTTGAAAAAAAGACTATATCCTTGGCCATAACATTTAAACTAATAGTGTTATGGCTTTCATGTTTCACTTGTATATTTCCTGTGTTAAGATATTTTCTTCGGTGCATATATTTTTACCTATACCTTAGAGTTGACCTAATTTTAAATTTATTGCGTAAACCCCGAGGTCCACGTTGTAAATATATAAGCGAGGTTAAACCGGATGCCATGGGTAAACGTCAAGATATACGTGCGCGAGATTGTTGAGAGTTCGCCCCTAAGACAACTTTTTCGTAGAATAATTCGTCAAGGTAGTCGAATTAGAATATACCATTCATTGACAATTCTTGCTTTTAAATCTACATATCGTATTTATATATTTATTGCCGAATCCGAATTTCCCTCATACATATATTTTTATATACAAACTAAACATTCATTCTATGGCACAAGCATTTGAAAAAAGTAAGAAGAATTTTCAGTATATGCTCGAGTAGATAACAACTTGAAATGAAAAATTTATGGAACGCCGTCACAGCCTTATAGCAGAACACAACAATTGGATTGCGTCAACCTTCCATTACATTATGTCAACTCTTTATGACATTTACTCACACTACTATTGCATAGTGTGAACTTTCCTTTACATAATGTCAACTCTATATGACATTTACTCACACTACTATTACATTGTGTCAACCTTCCGTTTCATCATGTCAACTCTTTATGACATTTACTCACACTATTATTACATTGTGTAAACCTTCCTTTACATAATGTTAACTCTATATGACATTTACTCACACTACTATTGCGTTGTGTCAACCTTCCATTATATTTTGTCAACTCTTTATAAATTTAACCCACACTACTACTGCATCGTGTCAACCTTCCATTATATTATGTCAACTCTTTATGACATTATCCCACACTACTATTGCATCGTGTAAACCTTCCAAACATTACATTTTCTATTGTAAAGTTATGTTTGGGAAAAGAGGGGGACTGATATTTTGTGACTGTAATTCTTCCTAATCAATCAGGACACCCCCCCCTCCTCTTACCAGTCATAAAAACACGGTCGTCAACATTCATTTTATACCACATATACAGCTTTGATATGATGTAAATGTATTTTTACATCAAGTAATGCACTTTTGGAATCAACCTGATAAAGAGTTAACACAATATAAAGATATTTTAAGATCACATAAGAAAGAGTTGACATAACGTAATTATATATCCACATCACGGAATGGAGTTTTGACATAATGTAATAAAGAGTTGATATAATATAAAGATATGTTCACATAATGTCATACACTTTTTACACCACGGAATAAAGCACTGACATAAAGGTTAGATGTGTTCACCTCACATCATGATGCTCTCGCTGTAAAATAAAGATAAATCCATATCATTCAATAATGCTTTGATATAATAGAAATATACACAGTCAAAAAGGAATGGATTTTTGACTTCATGTGATGATAAGTTTAATTATAAAACACAATTCACTTGACGTAATGCAATTTTGACCTCACATATTTAAGAAATGAAATGATGTAAAGAAACATTCCTTTCACGTAATAAAGTTTTAACACAATGTAAACACATTATCACTTCACATAATGAATTTTTGACTTCAAGTTATGAAGTGCTGACATAACGAAAGGATGTATTTACTTCATGTAATGCAGCATTGACATGATGTAAAGATATTTTTACATAATCTCATAAAAAATTGACATAACGTTAAGATATGTTCACATCACGTAATGATAAATTGACATAATAAATGCATAGTTCTATGCT